ATGCCTAGGATTGCGTCGTGGCGCACGAGTCCAGCTGAGAACAAGCCACGGACCATGCTGATGGGAAACTATTCCAATTTGAAGTGGCGCTTCGCCGCCGCATTTTCGCCAATCCTTGCGTTTTGCCATCCATTAGCAAACCCAGTTGAGCGAACAGCGCTAACAAGTGCAGAAGCATACTGCACTTCTGCATCTTTTCCTTGGAGATCAGGTGCACCTCAGATGCAGTGTAAAGCAACACTAGCAATTCTTGGGAGTTGGTGCGAATCTGTGTCTGCGCATATTCCACCCGTGGTATGCCCCTAAGTGTGTTTCTATCCTCTGTAGCTCCCTTAATCCGTTGCATCATGCGTAGGGTCTTTTGGTTTCCCTGGTGAGCCTTCTTTGCTTGACCAGCAGTTTGCCTTAGCTGGGCTCAGTTTTGATGCTTAATTTCTTTGGCTTTTGCATGCGCTGGCACATTCGGATTAACTGACTCAATCCACCACTAAAAAACCAGGTGCATTTTGAAAGAGCTGCTTTTGAATACCTAAAAGCAAGACTTTCCTTGGCTTTGTTTTAATGCTCGCCTGACCATGTAGGCTAGGGTCAGTTGAAACAACCCGACATTCACAGATTCTAAATCCCGCCTGTGCCCTTTCTTTCCGCGCAAAAATGCATGAGGTGAGCTCAGGTGCCTCAAAGCCGTGAAGTTCATCATTTGTAGATGCTGCACTGGTCGGTGGCTTAATCCCTGAGTCACTGGGCACTCTGTTACCTCTTAGTATCCCACTTCGCGTAGGCCTGAGAAAATCCACATATAAAGCACTTGTGCGCTAATGCTGGGGCTTTCGCAAGTCAAACCTTCATGTTTCTCATTACACTAACACATTCATCTATTTCCCAGCGTAGGCCTTTTGAGTTCCCTTAAGGCTTGCTGTTGAGCTCAACTCGCCATAAACCGACTAGTCAGGGTGGGTTTGAAGGCTGTAACTGCAGTAATCCATTCAGGCAGACAAACTTTTTGCATGAGCAGAGCTATCATTAAAGTGATTACCCCTGCTATAGGCGATCCACAAGGAGCACCCCTTTCGCTCCGTCTGGAGGTGTACAGTGAGGTACATCTCCAAACGGCAATAAATTCTTCAAGTCTTGCCCATCCTTACAGCCATCATGCTTTTATGGTCTGCGTAATATCATCAGCGCATTCATAAACATTTTCTTGGCTGACGAACCACGAATTGGTGCTAGCTATGGAGTACCTGACTTCAAATTGCTAGCAGACCGGCTTGTGCCACCTCAACACCCGTTCTGCCGCCGTCAAACTCCATCGCCAGATGCTTTTTCTCTCAGGCTTTTGCTCAAGAAATTTAGCTGATGGAATAGTCACAAAACTCTGTTAAAATTAGACAAATGATGTAGGAACACCCGAATTCCACTGCGTCGACAACCACTCTGGACTGCGCTATCTAAGTTCTCAGTCACGGGGCATTGAAATCCAGACTCAAAAAACTCAAAAGGAAGGTATTCGAGTGATCTACCAGAGGGCCTCCCTCATTTGCCTGCTCCCAGCTGTCAGAGGTGGGCTATGGGGGGAGACGGACGGCTGGGGTGCGCGTAGCTGCACCTTCTGAGCTACTGCGAACATTTACAGCTACTTTGAACGAAGCAAGGCATACAAACAGACATGTTGCATAGGCAGTTCTTCCGAAAGTCTCCAAATAGACAATACTACTTTTGTTGGATACACCCGCAGCGCGCCAAGCTATACCAACATTTTCTACTGCAATCGGTACACTTTTCTAAGAATAGCAGACGAAATGACAAATTGATCTATCTGCTACAATATACAGTTTATTGCAGAGTATTGGTATCTCGGTACATTAGGGTTCAATGCTGTATGTGCGTTCACTAAGTGCTATGCGCATATAACTGTGACTCCTTACAGATTTGAGAGGGTACCGCAACGCGCAACCTAGCTGACCTTCTCCTCTCAGCCTTCTTACACGAGGGGACAGAGAAAGTTAATCGGGGAGCTCTTGTGAGGAGGTGCTCAATAGCTGTATAAAGCTTGTACTGAGCTCGGAGTTTAGCGCCTTCCTGAGAAGATCTTTGGTGAAAGTTACAGTAAGGATTCGTGCTTGGTAAAGGTGCCTTCGGCTCACAGCAAATGTTCAAAAAAGCTCCAAGCCGCGTCGCCAATGGAGAAGTAAGTCTTAGTGGCGTGTTTCTAGTAAATTAAAGGTTGAGTAGATGCACCTTTGTTACAGTTACAGAGACGGTGAACGATGCCCCCCCCACATGGCGTCAGTGAGCACACATTGAATAATGCTTCTCGTTCAGCTACCTTTTCAAAAACAGATACACCAAACAAGTGGTTGTTTTAAAATTCCTGTACTCTTAGAAGGAAGCTGCTTCTGTTGCTGGGGGCTGAAGATGGAAATGCTAGAGGGAATGTGGAGGCGAAGTTGCAGCCGGTCGGGGAGATGGTGTAAAGTGGGCTTATATTTTGCTGAGTAGACTCCGCACAGCATTGCTCCTTCAGGTAGAAGTATTCGTAGAAATGTTCCATATCATAATTAAAGAACCACGTCTTTTTGCATGCTGCGCAGCTGCCGGCAGCCAGCAGCATGTGGCCACGGTGCTGATGTGCAGGCGGCGCTTCTCACCGCGCCAGCCGGCCGCTTGACTTTCCTGAGGCTCTGATCTGCCCTCAACTTGGAGGCCTGTTCTACAAACGCTTCTAATTAGACTGAAATTCCTTATTAGTTTTGATTGCCACGACGCTGGCTAAGTCCTGCCACTCATCAGCTAATCTTCTGCTTGGGCGTGGATTCGTTGACCCGGCAGAAGCATGTCGTTTGCAGGCGTCTGCGTCGCGCTGTGACTCCCTGCGTTTAATACTTCCCTTGTCACATACGAGTAGCTGCGGGTATACGCATGCGGGGGTATTGCCATCCCTCATCCTGTTGCTGCCTACGACGTGGGCTCGCTTCCCCCTTTGGAGAATCCCGGGGCTTTTGAGCATTCCTGTGCATGCACAAGCCGTTTGTTCCCCCGTTGTTGCTTCCCCAAAACATCGCATCAGCCACTGGGAAATCTGGGGGTGCGGATGCTACCGTCCCGTGGTTCAGGCCTCTAGAAGAAGTACCCCCAAGGATGGCATTCCGTCGCCATTGCTTGTGTGCCATCATACAGCAGCGTGACTCTAGAGCCTTTTCGGCTCCTGCCACACAAACGGCACACTGACTCAAGGGGGCGCACTGCTTTTATCGCGTTCAACAGGCGTATCTGGGGGAAGCCGCGGCAGGCGCGGCACTGGCAGCGCTGTGCGAATCCCGTGGTGCTTGGCACGACTCGCACACGCCGCCCGCAGCCGCGACTAAAGCGCAGTGCATCCGATCTCGTGTTCGCATGCCTCGTCTGCGGCACTGCTTCTTGTAACTAGAGGCTTGCACCAAACACGAGGGAGACCAGAAATCGCGGTGCTTCAGGAGGCGTCTCTCGTCTCGGGCTGCGTATGTTGTTTCCTACAGGACAGCATATCTTTCTTACCTCGTCTTTTGCAGAAGAGCGGAGCACAGGAATTGGCTGGCGCACCCCCGTGAAAAGCGTTTGTTGTGGCTTGATTGTCACTGGTTAATCAGGCGCATACCGATTGCAAGGCGGGCGCGTCAGGTCTGTACCTCGCTGCACAAACAGTGGCCAGGACTGCGGCAGTCGAATTTATCTGCATACATCCTGTACTTTGACGGCAAGCCTCTCTTCTTAATCAGGCGGTGCACCGAATCGGCCAGCCGTGATCCTCAAAGGGGATATATACATCCGTGGTGTAGGTGTTCGAAGCTCGAATCAAGACCACCATCACCGTTTCGCGGTGCCCCTTCGAGTGCTACGGAAGGAGTGGCAGTCGCTGACGCGGCGCCCAGCGGAGAGTTGGCGGTGGAAGAAGTGCTGATATGGTGCATTGGAGCCACCGATGAAAAGCTCGCCACTATGGCGCACCATGCAGACGGTTCAAAAGCAACTCAAAACCCTCTTAGAGATGCCAAGGTGGGAGGCATCTGGCGACTGGGCCGAAAAATAGGCTCCGGATCCTTTGGAGATATATACAAAGGTCGGTTGGACAGTAGGGGGGGACTCGCACCGTTCAAGTCGCCTGCAACGCATCTGCTACAGTGGAGTGCTTCGGGGGGGTTGCCCATGGGCATATGGAATACACATGCCGCGTCAGTACGGGGCTTGGAGTTCATGACAGGTTGCTGTTGCCCTTCATGCACCTGCGGATGGAACAAGAACATTTTTGGTTGGGGGGTTTGCCGCCTTTGTGCGATCAGGCGTGAACGTACAAACCGGCGAAGAAGTGGCCATGAAGGTCGAGAGCGCAAAGGCGAAGCATCCCCAGCTAATATACGAGTCCAAGTTGTTGAAGCACTTGCAGGGAGCCCCAGGTATCGCGCAGATATATTACTGTGATGCGGAAGCAGATTTCAACATTATGGTGATGGAACTGCTTGGACCAAGCCTCGAAGACCTGTTCAACCTCTGCAGCCGTCAGTTCACGCTTCGCACCATTCTGTTGATCGCTGACCAAGTGGTGAGCTCTATGTGGCACGGTTACGCAGAACGTCTCTTGGAATTGAAAGTGCTCATTGCATTCGCAGTGCGAAGGGGTTCGGGGGGGCATCATGCTTAGCAGGCTTCAGCAGGGGGGCAAGGTGTCATGGCGGATGCCAGAGGGTGTGGCATCGTCGCATGAACGACATGGTGCACGTGGGTGTTCTTCTCAGCTCGATCGCGTTGAATACTTGCACAGCAAGAATTTCATTCACCGCGACATCAAGCCAGACAACTTCCTGATCGGGAGAGTGAACAGTCCCCACCAGAGCTTGGTGCGCCTCTAGCGCAGTGGCCTTCTCGGGCAGCTTTATGCGCGTTATCAGCCCAGGATCCCAGCGACTTGTACGAGGGCTTCAGGTGTAGGCGGGCTGTTGGGGCGTCTAACTGCGAAGACAGGGGGGCCTCGTGCTGTCACTGTGTGTGGTCAGATTTACATGATAGACTACGGACTAGCGAAGAAATACCGTGACTCGAAGACCCATCAGCACATTCCATACAGGGAAAATAAGAACTTGACGGGGACGGCGCGGTATGCATCTATCAGTGCGCACCTTGGTTCGGAACAGAGTAGACGCGATGACCTCGAGGCCGTGGGCTATGTCCTCATGTACTTTTGCAGAGGTGAGAGCTACAAAACGAGGAAGCGGAATACAAGTGTTTTGCTGCATTGGTCGAAGTGCGTCCTTCTCATGGTCGTAAGTGAATTTTTCAGTGCGCGCAAAGTGCGCTCGTTGGAGGGGGGTAATATGGTGTGCGTGCAGCGGGGACGCTCCCGTGGCAAGGTATAAAGGCGAATACGAAACAAGAAAAGTATCATAAGATCATGGAGAAGAAGATGTCTACGCCAGTCGAGGTTCTCTGCAAAGGATATCCTCGTAAGCGCCCGTCGAAAGAGAAGCCGCATTCAATTTCCTGGAAGCTCCGCTATAGGCTGTAGCAGTGGACACTGCTTATCGAAAAGGCCTCCGATTGAGAAGCTCAAGCCAATTGTTTCTGTTGGCAAAAGGCACCCAAAGCGGCAATTAGTATGACATGCGTCTCCCCTGATGTGTATGCCTGGGTGCAGCGGAATTCGCAACCTATCTCAACTATTGTCGGCAGCTTCGTTTTGAAGATCGCCCGGACTACGCATATCTTCGGGGTCTTTTTAAGGATCTATATATTAAAGAGGGATTTGATGTACGCTATTGCTATTTCCGAGTTGCTTAGTGTTTTCTCACCTACGCCAACCTTTTGCAAACGACTAGCGTTCCTGTCTGTTGTCCTGTGTCTCTTTTCAGCAGCAGCCCGATGGCGTTTTTGACTGGACGCCGAAGCTGGCGGCTCGAAGTTCCACTGTTGGCTATTCAGTGAGTAGACAGTCGTCTGTACGGCATTGGACCTTAGCCGTGTCAGTCCATCAAAGGGGGGAGAGTTAATGATATCTTTTTTTCTACGCTGCTCCTTGGTAGAAGTGGGAATTGCGCCGCATCCGCAGAAGGTCTAGTCGTGAACCCTCGACGTTTGTATCGATACACGGACCCTCGTGACGTGCATGCGTGGAAAAAGCCTTGCTGGACTTGTGGGAATTTATGCTCCAGCGACTCTTTCCTGAGTCATTATTCATCTGAACGTGCTTTCAATTCATTCACTGTGAACGCCATTTCGTGTTTCAGGGGGATCGTCTTCATGGCCATTGTGCGCAGGAACCACGGCATCGCTCTCGACGGGAGCAAGACAGGCTTGCACGTAGGGGTGCTTCTAACATGTTACCCTTCTGTTTTGGGGCAGTTCGGTGTAAGACATGCGCTGCCTTTGATGCGTGGCCTGAAATGAGCTTGGTGTCACTTCGCTCTTGTTCGTGCAGCTGGCCGGAGTCGAGATGCCAGCAAAAACCAGATAACTGTTGGTAATGGCAACTTGGGAAATCCTTCGATGGCAACCAACCCCGGCGGCCCCTCGTATGCTCTTTGAATTATTTTCCTGCCCCGGATGCATGACGCCATGCAGTTAATTTGGCAGTATGGCTGTGTGGTGCCAGCAATGCTGTCTCAGGTGTCCTTGTGTGTTGCCTGACCAAACTACCCGCTTGGAAATTCGTGCATTTTGTTTTTGGCGGATATGTACTGCAGAGTGATGGTTCCGGAGCGTGCGAGTGGTGAAGCAGGCGAGCCAGCTGCAGCGGACGCGCAGCTGCAGGAGGAAGCGTAAGCCGCATGGCCGTCGTGTAGTGTGTTTTTTTCACACCCTGATCCTTCTAGTTTGTTTCGATTCTCTCCACTAGTTGGAACTCATTGCCGATTTGCTGGACTGAGCGCATGAGGATGCTTTTGAGCACACTTGATGTTATTCTTCTCACCTAGGAATGGCTTTATGGCTGGGTCAGTATCATCATGCGGCAAATGTTTTCTGCAGGACGAAGCAACGCCGTCATTTATCTTGCTTGCCTTTTGTGAGATCTTGTACTTCCCTCAACTGCTTAGTGCACTAGCACCTTGCTTGATCACCCGACCGTCCGTGGGCTGGCTAATGATACGCTGTTGTATGTTGTGCTGCGTCTTCTCAGTTTTGTGTCAAGTCTCCCACGAAGGCATGAGAGGCAGACAGAGCCTCTATCGGCACACAGCTAAAAGCTGCATTTTGCACCACAAAACGGCATACTGCAGTGACGAATTCGGATACGCAGTGCCCGCCTGCGGGTGGCCTGTCCGGAGATTTTCATCACCTGTAGCTCATGCGGTGATTGTGCTGAAAGCGGAAGCACATGAATTCATGGCAGAACTCGGGATTCATCGCTGTTTCAAACTTTTGAAGCACTACCAACGAAGTTCCGACTGCTGTTGTGGTTCCACTACCTTCGCACCTTCGTGCCTCCCTTTCGCCGGGTTTCGAAGTGCCAGTTTTAGCCGTCGAGAGAAGTGCGCAATTAAGGGGCGGATGCAACACATTCATGTTAAATAGCTTAACAGGTAGAGTGCTTGTGGCATTCTGAAAAGTAGCGCAAGGCGCTTGCTGTTGCACAGGGGCGTTTGCCAATAACTGGCTGCCGGCGTGACGGACGCAGCAAACGCCCCGTGGACCAGGACTGGAATTATCGCCGCTTCATAAGGCACGCATTGTATCAGTTGATATTCTGAGCTTCCTGTTGGATGCTCCAGCAGTGGCTCCTTTCTGCGAGCTACTGCTACAAATGGCTCGACTACCCGAAGAGCCTGTATACTATTTGTGTGGGCCGAGGGTGACGGTTATTGAGTGTGTAGTGCTCTTCAGGGTGTCTGAAGGGGCAGTGGACTCTGCGCCGCTGACCCTTTTAGCGCTGCTTCCAACACAACGTGACACAGAACGCATTGCAGTACTGTCGCAAGTGCTTTCTAGGTGGCGAAGGCCGTCCAGGCGACGAGAAATGCATACATCAGGGAGTATTCAAAATATGGTGCTTAACACACACTATACAAACACGTTGGTTTAGCTTATTTCGATGTTACGTCAGTGCGACGCTGGCTCGGTCGGTTGTACGGACTTCCATTCCGCACTTTGGTGTTCCGTTGTTCACCACAGTGCCTGCGGCGAAAAACTAGTCTTTCCTTGTGTACTGCTCTACGTAGCTCTTCCGAAGGTACGTTTCGGAAGAAAGACAAGAGATTTGTTCAATACTGGAAAAAGGACTATTCACGGCTGGCCTGCTGCGTTGCCGGATTCGCGATGAATAGTTCGACTGAATTCAACAATAAACCAGGTGGCATCAGCTGTATGCGCGTCGCCGTGTGTGCCTCAAGCAACATACCGCTGCAAATTCTTGAGGCACTGCTCCAGTTTTGCGCACTGCTGTGTGGCGGACTGGAGTGCTGCTTGGTGGACAGCCAACACTTGCGAAATAGCTGCTACCGGCTCGGGTTGAGTTCTCCGAGCTGTTTGGGAGATGGCTGAAGCCAGCTCATCCATTTGGGCATCTATGTCTAGCACCCGCTGAGACATGTTCTGTTCCATAGTGGAGCAAAAGTTTCTCGATTCCTGGGGTGACAGCTTTGCCATCAGGCTGCTTTCGATCGAGGCCAAAAGATTCGAAAGGTCTTGCTGCTGCTGCTCGATCATGTCAATGGTCTCGCCGACGAATAGCTGCCTGCGGTGCACGCGCTGCTGCTCCTCGCGAATACTTGCTAGCGCTTTCGCCTGAGCAATGAGCGAAGCTTCTACTGCAGCAACTTCCTGGGAGAGCTCATCGAATTGTCCTGCCTTTCGCTGCAGCCGCCTTTCCCAGTTCGCCAAAAGATCGTCCATTCGCTCATGCTGCATTGTCTCCAAGGCAACCTCTTCAGGCGGCACAGCTGGCACAGTCGGCGGTACCGCTGCCGCAGTTGCTGCAGCGCTGCCTGCCGCGGCTGCATTACTATCGCTGTTGCCTGCTGGCTTGGTTTCGAACGCTGAGCTTCCTCCCGACGATCCGGCAGGAGCTGCAGAGCCGAGACGCGATCCGAACAGACTTTGGCCGCTACTTGGCTTCTGCTCGCCAGGTGGAGGGGCCTGCGCCGCAGGAGTGGCAGCAGTATCCGTTCCCTTCTGGCCACTTGTTGCTGCCTCTGCTGGCTTTGCAGAATCCGTCAGCAGCCCACCGCCGCTGCTACTGCCAACATCTCGGCCGGATCCAAACAACGAGGTTCCAGTCGATGTGCCACTAGCCTGGCCATCTGCTTTCGCTGCTTGCGTCGCGGAGGGGGAGCTCCCGAACAAGCCGCCGCCCTTTCCGTCGCTCCCTCCGCCTTGGCCTCCCGCTGCAGTCGAGGAGGCATTTCCAAATAGACTACTCCCGCCGGAAGGCTTCGACGCGTCTCCTAAGCTACCAAAGAGTGTCGATCCCTTTGAAGCATCACAACTTGAACCGTTGCCCACAGATCCCCGAAGAGGTGCTCCGGCGGCAGTGCCAGCGCTAGCAGCGGTAGTAGCAGAAGACGGTCCAGCTCCTCCAAAGAGGCCTCCAGTCGGCTTTGAACCGTCCGCGTTTGCTGTTGAAACGGCACCAAACAACCCCCCCCCTTGCGCGGAATCTGGCTTCCCACTCACCGCTGGGGGAGCGGTGCTGCCAAAGAGGCCTCCCCCCTTGGCCTGACCCAACGTGTTTCCACTTGTCGACAGTCCGCCAAAGAGGCCACCAGGCTTCGCAGACTCCGAAGTCTTGTTCGCTGATCCAGCTCCACCGAAAAGCCCCCCTTTTGCGGGATCGGTTGCACCGGCAGTTGTGCCTGCAGCGCCTCCAAAAAGCGATCCTGGAGCTGAAGTCTGCGAAGTACCACTGCCGAATGAGGTGCTGCTCCCGAAAAGAGAACCCCCTGTAGAGACAGCTGAGCCGCTTCCTGAACCTAGGCCAATGCCGATGGTGCCACTGCCTGTAGCACTCGTAGCTGAACCGCTGCCAAATAGACCCTGCCCACCTGCTGGAGTAGCAGAAGCACCAGAGCCAAAGAGACCACCGCCTTGCGGCTGTGCAGGCTGAGCCGTTCCGCCATCCGTTGCTTGGGGGGCTGTTGATGAAGTGCCAAACAAACTCCCACCAGACGGAGCATTTCCGAAGATGTTGGTCGTTGCTCCAGAGACCGGAGTTGCCTTGGACGAGCCAAAAAGACCCCCCAACAAAGGGGCTGCAGAGGAGCCCGTTGCTGGAGTTGCGCTTCCTCCCGGTGCAGATAGGTTACCAAAGAGGCCTGAGCCTCCTCCGCTAAGCATCGTGGTTCAGTGACGGCTCTGGCCAGGGTTACTAGAGATTTCGAGTGTCCGGTAACGCTCTCCAAAGCTGCTTCGCAGCGTCTCTACAAGGGTGCCCCTACAATTTGTGGGATGGCGACTACGTGTTTTACAGATGGTGATGAGCGCTCCAGTGGGGCTGATCTTGCGGCGGCTACGTAGCATGCAAATCCTCTCGAGGCAGTTTACGAGCTATTATAGACAATTATGTCAACGTTTAAAGAGATCTTTGTGTTGTAATGGTTATGGCGCTTCCCTGTACGCAAACGCGCCGCTTTGCCACGGCCGCAGCAAGCCCCTCTAGACATGCCCTCGTCAACGAGCGTCTCAGCAGAAATGAGCGGAATGAAATAGAAAACTTTGTTCAGCAGGTAGTTTCCGCTAAATTGTTTGGCCTATGTAGAAACGTATGATGCCACACGCCGATTGATCAGCATAACGACGTAGGAATTGGGCCCTTCGCGTAACCGGCTCAGCTATTCGTACACTGATGGGCTAAGACGGGTTGTTATCCTGCTAAGAATTATTTAGAGCTCTTATATATGACTCTGTATTCTTACATTTTATTCATTGCAAAGCAAGACCACCTTTCCATGGCATGGACCTATGTTGCGCCCAGTGGCTGCATAGAATTCCCTGCAAATTCTTGGGCGCCTCTATGAGTGCGACCGTCTGCATCAGTACTCTCCTTCATTATTGAGCAGAAAACTATGCGGGTTTAAGCTTATAAGCGACTCCAGAGTCAACAGGCAAGATAAACAATCCTACTGTCTGGGGTCAAGCCACCGGTTAGGCGCTCTGTATTACACTAGTAATGTGCAATTTGAAATGTGTGAAGAGTATTACATTTGGCTTGACTGCTGGTATATAATGGCTGTTGCAAATATTATTTAAGTCGACCCAGTAAGAGTGAACGCCGTCACAAGCTAAACGACAACTGGCCACCCTGTCGTACACCAGTTATAATTGATTGAGCATTAGTAGAATACTAAATAAGTAATTGGTTTGTCAGTCGCTATCTCTTGCCCATTTCAGACTGTTTTAGCATGATAAACTAGAAATATTTCGCATTAAATCTGCAGTGATGTGTCTTCTTATCGTAACCTTAATTGGTGCATTACAAACAGCTCAACCGTTGGCAGCCACCTTCTTTTCAATGCTGATCAGACCAGTGCAACGCTATGGCTGTAGTCAAGATGGCTCTGGTACCTTAGTGGTATTGGTCTCGGCGAAGGAGGTCCCGAGAGCTGCTTTGTAGAGGTTCCTACTTTGAAGCATGAACTCGCCCTTTGCTTGGAAAACGCAATGCATTTCTCCCAGGAACTGCTTAGGCGCTCAGCACGGAGAGCTTTGCAGGAATCGTTCCTAGTATCTACCGAGTGAGCGACGAGCGGACCCTGACACGTACAACGGACAGTGAGACTCCTCTTCTGGAACAACAGGAGGAGGCTGAGGCTGGAACATGTTTGTCCGACCGATTATAATTTTCGCCACAACAGTGCTGAACAGTGATATATGATCATCTCGGAAGTGAGATGGGGTTTGTTTATTAGCTAATCAGATCGCCCTCAACATGAAATACGCTTGCAGTTCCCTATACTCTCCGTAGAAAAACAAAACTCTGGACTAAGTACAAATTTGATCGAGCGTTACTGATTATTCATTGAAGGGGCTTCTTGCAAATGCGTGCTCGCCTTAGAGTTTCAGACATTCGGGGAGAGGGCCAGCTAGGCTGCGCGCAGCTGCACTTGGATCGTTTACAGCTAGCTACATTCAGCATCTGCTGCACAGTCACACAAAATTACATCTTCCTGTTTAAAGCTAGCACTACTCTGCAATTAGTAAAAACAAGAGATACGAACAGAAAAACCAGTGAATTAACTCTCTACCCACTCGCAGTCAAGAATAGCTACTCGAGTAAAAGTCTGTCAGGGAAACAGGCCACAACACAAGGTATGTGGCGAAAGCTGCTCTTCAGGCCCGCCTCAATCGTCGGTAAGAGCATCCATGGACTGTCACCAGGCTAGCTCTTCGTCAACTAATTTTGCGCAAACATATAAGTCCACCACAAATGTACTAAGGCTGCATCTAGTTGCACTCCAGCTATAGCTTATCCTAGGAGGCCCGTGGGCCTGTGACTTTGAAGGTATTACTCAGGGGCTAAAAGCTACAAAATGTGCTTACTCCAATTTGTTTCATGGATGCGCGACCTTTTGGGGCACCTACAGCGCAGCCTTTTAGCAGGAGTGCTGCAGGCTAGAGCTCGGATATCCGGCTTCCCATAAGAAAAAACAATGCACAAAAAGTCAAAAACAAGGTTTCACACCTTTTCCGAGGCATGAAATGGCTCTTTTTTCTTGAATATGGCTATTTATTCGTGTGGCAGATCACGGGCCCGACAGGAGTCGTTGCATCGTGCACGCCACACAATGCGATACAAGGCTCCGCTATCCCAATATTCACTGCATAATGTTAAACACGTATGATTAACTTATGGCATCGATTGCCACAAGGTTGATTACTCAAGTGTGGCTTAGCCCATTGCAAATAGCCTTCCCCACGGTTCCCATTGCAGGATATTCAGATATACGGAAAACTGCTCGGACATCCGCAATCCTTGGAAGAAAGCGTTCAAATTCTGAAAGTGCATTCTTTTTACAAAGCGTGAGTTTGCAAACCCTAATAAGCACAAGGAGGCACAGTTTCCAACAGCATAGACAACAGAGCATATTTTTTAAAACTGCAACAGAATTGAAGAAAAAAGTCGTTCCCACAATGTCTAACAAAAAAATAGTTAGCTATAATAATAGAGATGAGCGATTATTCGAAAAATGCATTAAGTAAAGCAAGACCTCTATGGCTTGAAGTGCTCGGTTAGGATCAGCAGACTGCAGTGTTCGAAGGCGAAGTCGGAACTTGCCCGAGAGGCTGTCGCAGCCCCTCAGACACAATATATGCGATTTCCAAAGTATTAGTCCAGGAGTATTTAGAATATATGGTTTCATCTTAATCTGAGTCGTAACTTGTATATGATCGCCCACAAGATATTTGCTGATCGAATAACCATCATCGACTATCTTGGGAGCACAAGGGTAGCTGAGGCCCATGGACACAAATACCCATGTAAACAGCTATAGTACGGTGTTAGCACACCTTCAACAGTCAAAATGAGTGATAGCTTGAGCTCTGGTACTTCAGGAAACATCGCCGGCAGTTCCGCTGCTCAGAGAGCCAGTCTTCACCCGTTTGCACACCTTTTGGAACAATTGAATGGGTTTGACGAGAAGATTTACGCTATTCAGAAACTGGGAAAGGATAAAGTGTGCCGTCTACCGCACTGTATCCGTGTGCTACTGGAATCAGCTGTTCGCAACTGTGATGGTTTTCTTGTGACTGAAGCCGACGTGGAACGGATCTTGTCGTGGGACCCGTCTATCAACCCGAAGACGTCTAAAAATGCACCTGTACTCGACGTTGCGTTTATCCCGGCTCGCGTCATTCTCCAGGATTTTACGGGTGTACCTTGTGTAGTCGATCTTGCGGCCATGCGCGACGCTATGGTGGAACTTGGGTGCGACCCTCTAAAGATTAACCCAAAGGTTCCAGTGGACCTAATTATTGATCACTCTGTTCAAGTGGACAAGGCCAGAAGGTATGACGATCTACTGTTAGCTGACACAGGAGGTCGTGCAGCTGAGTGGCACAGGCCAGCCCCCGTTGTCTGAATCGAAGAAAAGCTGGTTGCCAGTGCCTTCTTTGTCGTTGTTTATTCAGCAAGGATGCAGCGTCGTACAACGAGGCAATGGAAATGCATCGCAACAAGGAGCGTTTTGCCTTCTTAAAGTGGGCAGCGAATACGTTTTCCCGGATGCTAATTGTGCCTCCAGGGTCTGGTATCGTACACCAAGTTAATCTGGAGTATCTCGCAAAGGTTGTATTGACTAGAGACGGCGTTTGCTTCCCTGATTCACTTGTGGGAACAGACTCGCACACCACCATGATCGATGGACTGGGCATTCTGGGTTGGTGAGACAGCGCCGCAAGTATAGTTACACAATAGAATTGGCGCTAACTGGGAATCCAAACGAAGTAGACTTATGGTGGAGGGGCGCAGGAAAGCTTTCACATGGCTTCAGCATGGGAAACGTCTCGCATGTCTTGTGGCCTCTTGGTTTCATTAGGTACTGTTATCCAAGCTTCCTAAGAATATGTAAATAGAATACTCCCCTGCTTCTGTGTTTGGCGTCGCACATTAATACAGGGGCGTCGGTGGCATCGAAGCTGAGGCGACAATGCTGGGTCAACCGGTATCCATGACGTTGCCACCCGTTTTGGGTGTACGCCTTGTTGGACGATTAAGCCCATCTTGCACTACGACAGATGTCGTTCTGCATGTAGTTCGCATACTGCGCATGCGGGGTGTTGTTGACCACTTCGTGGAGTTCTTCGGAGAGGCGTGTGCCACACTCTCCGCCCCGGACCGCGCAACCATTGCAAATATGAGTCCTGAATTTGGTGCCACAATTGGTTACTTCCCCCCTGATGAAGTGACTCTCAAATACTTGCTTTCCACTGGTCGAAGCCCCCGAGAGGTTGAAAAGATCAGGGCCTACCTCTTACAGCAGGGGATGCTTCGGATGTACGACTGCTCAGAGCCGGAAGTATACTACACAGGTGAGGTTCTCGCACCAAAAGGCACCACGGAGCCTGTCCATTGATTCCAACAGTGTATCCATGATGGTTCTGTATCCGACGAAGGCGATTACTGCAGACGTGCTGGAGATTGACTTGTCCAAGATTGAGCCCTGCGTTGCTGGTCCCAAGCGCCCACAAGACGAAGTCTTCCTCCGCAACCTTAAGGCAGAGTTCACTGTACGTTTTGGAATAGGCGGTTTCTGGCGATTGTGGCCGAAGTACCCCTCAGTATATCTGTGAACCGCCAGTGCAAAACAATGGCTGTGCGTGCAGGCTAATTTGACTGCACCACCGGGGTTTAAGGGCTTCGGACTAAAGTCGGAAGCTGTCTCTCTTCGAGTTCCGCTGAAATTCCAAGGCAAGAACTTTGAGCTGAAACAGGTGGGGCCACATTCACCGCTAGAGGGCAAGCAGCGTGGCTGCTAGTAGGCGTGACCTTGGTGGCCGGCATAGAATTGTTGAACTCAACCTTCTGTGTGTATTGCTCGATGTTCAGGGCTCAGTCGTAATCGCAGCAATTACCAGCTGTACGAACACATCCAACCCATTTGTTATGATCGGAGCCGGTCTACTGGCGCAAAAGGCAGTTGTGAGAGCCGCAAATCACTGCGCTTTTGCAGGCAGACAATTACAATACCCAGCTGGCTACACTGAGTGTTGGTAGTGTTTATGATCGCTGACGCGCAACATGTGCGTATTCTGTGCTATCCAATCTGTAAGAATTCTCTGTTTATGTGCTTCCTCGTGCACTCCAGGAATTGGGCCTTTCCGTTCCTCCGTACATTAAGACGTCTCTGTCACCAGGCAGCCACGTGGTTCTGCGATACCTCGAAGCCGCAGGCGTTCTACCAGCCCTCGAGGCGCTTGGTTTCTACCTTGCAGGTAGGCATTTCAGCTTTCTTGTCCTCTGCGACGCGCTCACTTTTCTCCAAGGAAAACGCCGTACTAGTAGTTTTTCTCTGGACGTGAATAAAAAGTCATTTGCAGGTGGCACGACCATTTCAATGCATTGTGTTCTGCCTCAGGATTCGGATGCATGACGTGCATCGGCAACAGTGGAGATCTTCCTGAGGTATGTCGAAAATCCAAATTTCCTTCACCTCACAACAATACGCGATGGGGAGATTCGGTAACCCGAAGGTTGATCGGAACTTCAGAAGCTTCTGATTTTGTGCTGTTTTGTGGTGTGCAGGAGGTGACCGCAGCAATCCAGGCGAATCCAGACCTTATTACGGCAGCCGTCCTTTCCGGTAGGCGCGGAAGCCTCCACGATAACTCAAAGCTTTTTTTCTGGAGCTTGGCTGCACTGGATATTGGGGGCACGAGTAATAATGCATTTTATCATGAGAAAGCGTTGCTTATTGACTTCGCGATTGCGTGTACAGGCAACAGGAATTTCGAGGGCCGCGTTCACCAGCTCACGCGGGCAAACTATCTGGCTTCTCCACCGCTTTGTGTAGCATTTGCAATCGCAGGTACAGGCGTTTTCTTCGGGTAGCCGGTGGTAGCTCTGTGTTGCCGCATGCGCCGTTTCTGATCGTGTGCCTTGCAGCATGTTTTGCTGTGATGCTTTCCAGGCCGTGTGGACATAGACTTTGAAGCAGAGCCACTCGGTATTGGGAAGAACGGTGCGCCCTATTCGATGTTGGTCATTTGTGCGTGAGTGGTGCTTCATTACACAGCATTGCGTCTCCCGATCGAAGCTTTCTTGTGGCATTTACTTTGACAGGACAACAGGTGTACTTGCGCGACATCTGGCCGAGCCCGACTGCCGTAAATGCTTTGGTAGAAACTGTGCTGCTGCCTTCACTCTTCGAGGAGGCATATAGGAACATCCAGCAAGGGAATGAGACGTAAGATTGCTTGAAAATCAAATCGACTGCTCCGTGTGCATTTCCCCAACACAGAGGCGTTAGTCGCCGCATCAGCGCACTTCAGAGCGGCAGGCACCGCTCAGTGATCCAATTGGACGTGAAGCTACACTCAAGGATGTGCATTGAATGATTTGGTGCAGCTGGAGAGCACTTGAGGCACCCGTGGGCACGCTGCTCAAATGGCCTGAGAACTCAACATATATTCACAAGCCTCCCTACTTCAATGGACTGACTAGGGAACCGTTGCCCGTACAGTCGATTTCTAAGGCCAGGTGCCTTCTTCTGTTGGGTGCGTGCCCAACATACTGTCTGCATGGGTAATTCAAGCGGATAAGTATGCAGTTGGCTGCCAAAATCTTCATATTTTGACGTACGATGTGGGCGTTGCCACCAGGAGACAGCATTACGACTGACCATATTTCGCCAGCTGGGAGGATTGAAAAGAATTCCCCCGCCGGTCGTTATCTTTTGGCTCACGGTGTAACGGTACGCATTATGAAAAATCACCTGCTGGCATTACGTGTGCTGGTCGGTCTGTATTGTAACTGACCTAACGTGCAACGCCTCTATCCCTCAGTATGTCAACCTCCTTAAACGTTTACTAGGCGTCACCACGGTATATTTTAATGCAAAACTTGGTGTGTACAGCAACGGGATTTCAATTCCTATGGGAGCCGCCGTGGTAATGATGAAGTTATGACACGGGGTGAGCCAACAGTTAGGCGAACATTTTGGGGCTGGCCAAAGAATTGCATCAGCCTTATGGAGGAGTGATGCGCCGTGAGAGCGGCAGCAGCGTAGCGTGCGAGGAGCCTGTGATGAAATAAATCGAAGACTTCCGGTTTACGTTGCTCTGCCAAGGAACGTTTGCAAACATTCGCCTGGTTAACAAGCTTGCTTCTGCTCCTGGCCCCATTACAAAGCACTTCCCCTCTGGGCAGGAACTACCCGTTTTCGACGTTGCACAAGTAGGTCTATGTGCGCCTGTGGAAGTGGTGTTTCTGCTTTCACATAAGGCTGGCGTGCACCGCAAAACGCAGCCTGCTCAGGCGTATTGCCTCTTGTGTGCGTTTTTCAGATGTATAGAGAGGCGAGCACACCGTTGATTGTCATTGCCGGTCGGTCATGCAACTTTACGTTTTTGGTGGAAGCGTATACCTTCTGCGCAGACTGGGTGCCTGACCTCTTGCTTAGCGCGCCACCTATTTGATCATACGCACACATAGGGTGACTCACAATGGTGGATGGGAAGCCTACGCTTTGATGCCCGTATGCATGCTCTTATGCATGCTCAGGAAAGGAATACGGCAGCGGAAGCAGCAGGGATTGGGCAGCGAAGGGTGTGGCTCTTTTGGGTGTCAAAGCGGTTATTGCGGAGAGCTATGAACGGATTCACAGATCCAACTTGGTTGGAATGGGAGTATTGCCCCTCCAATTCCAAGAGGGCGAGTCTGCCACCTCACTTGGACTCACGGGTACAGTCTCCAGCAAGCCTTTCGATTCAGTGGTGTGCTGCGTACAGCATCAATGAGTGCATGATTTTGGCATGCCGGCCAGATGCAACAGCCAGGCAATAACAATGCATGTTTATACAGGGGCGGAAGAGTTTTTCATTGACCTGACTAATTTAGGCGTGAAGGCAGCAATTGAGGTGCAAGTCGGCGACGGGCGAAGATTCACAACTAGGTGCCGCTTAGAAACAAACGTAAGGCAGATCTGCAGTACGGAATGCCCCTGTCGTAGGAACGAGTATCTAAAGCGCTTTTCTCTGAAAGGGGCAAAGATGCCTTTCACTGAGGTTTGCTCCGTCATGCGAATATGCTTTCCCAGGTAGAACTCGAGTACTTCAAAAATGGAGGGATCCTGCAATTCGTTCTGCGGAAGTCTGCATCGAATTCAGGAAGTTAGATCGAGGAATTTTCATGTTTTTCTGTAGGTGTCGAATTAAAGAATCCCTTAATAGTCCAGCCCTGAAACCGAGGACCGGTTTCAGTGGAGTTCAGAATTGTGGCCTTCATAGATCGCATGCAACCAGTTGGGTATGTTATCCCTCGGCTATGCTGATATTTTTCCATAGATTCAAAGAAACAAAGACTAGGTTGGTGTCTCCACTTCTTGCTGACACTTTTCGTACAGCTCTGTAGGTTTTCTGGGTGGAAGGTGCCAATTTTAAATATAACAAGAAGCGTTACTGCAAGTGAATGCGTGATTATTTTTTCGAGCCTACTTACCCAGTGTTTTGTTAAAGCAATACGGCTGCTCGCGTTAAAACAACTTGGTCGCGCGGTTTGCTGGTGGGCTCATGGGTGTTTGCAACTTTTCTTTGATCTCCAAAGCCAACCTAATCCAGAACTATCAGCTGTTAGTGAAATATTTTGCGAGCTACCAACGATAGTACATTTTAAAGCTGTAAATGATGGGCTACCCCATCTTCCACTCTTAACCGGTAATTCTTTGTTCTTTCTTGGTCACTATAGCTGCGACCACCAACAACATCTCTGGATACTGCTTCACTGAAATCCGGCGTCCTCAGGCATTGGTGGCCTCTACAACGGGGCTGCCCTTGACGGCAGCAGTAGCACTGCACGAAAAGATTTTTCCAGCAAACCCTTAGCATTCAAACCCTGTGTTCAAGGTGAAGCATCAGCCTCTTAACCGAGTACTAACCCTCTTGACGTTTACTGTCCCTGATGTGGTGTGTTACAACATCATAGCTCGTAAAGAAGTCACTAGTCCTAATTGCTAAGCTCCACCACAGTTTAGCTAGTGCAGCGACTTATGCTATAGTTGAAATTCTCTTCCACACTAACTATACTTGACTAAGATTTAGTATAAACTTGATTATTTGGTTTGTCTGTGCAATGTCCCATTATTGCATAGTACTTTTAGCTCGAAACAAGAATGCGTAAGGTTGTCGATGTGTGCATTAGATGCCATGTGCAACTAGATGTGAATGTTAGGAGTGCCGTAGGGCACAGCTGCACGCATTGTAGCTCTCGCTATGCCCTCTTGTCGAAAACCCTGAAGGGTGCAGGCAGTCATGGGTAGAAGTTTTTCTATGGAGCTCTCAATGAATCCATTGGATTTGCTTCGATTCAGGTGTTTTAAACCACTCGTTTGCGACGTTGGAATTGCAAAGACGCCAGCAACTCAGTTCGTTTCAGCCATTCCCCACTTGTCTACTGTTTGCAGATTCAAAGGGAGACGAAGTTTACGGGCAGCAGTCCTCTGATTTTGAGCAAGTCGTTTGGTGCATCAACAGTCTGATGGTTACCAGCAACCGACTGGGAGAGAAGAGCCTTTTGGCGATGCAAGTTGACAGTGGTGCAATGCCTTGTGAGGCGGCACAGCCAAGCCTGCAATCTGGTTTCAACGCAGTTGCCCCGCAGCCAAACGAAAGGCACGATTTGTCAGCCAGTGAAATGCTCACGAATGCATGAGTCAGGTATGTAGACCAAAAACGTACAACGGCCGTAACAATGAAGAACAACTCAGAGGTTCGATCTGTCGGTTAGAAGTGTACCTCGCGTTGTACCTTAAAGAGAAACGAGTGCTCTTTGTGGATCATCAATTGCAGAGAGCAGGTCAATGACGGCTTAATCCACGCAGAGAAGTTCGTCTGCATAAATCTATTACTCTGGTGCAAACCTTCATACGCGCCCTGACTCGTCGGTATGTGCCAAGATCAGCTTACCGCACAAGTCCAAGAGAGACACGCATGAAATTATGATAAGCGGAGGTTGGCTGTGTGTTTAGCGAGCCTGCAGATTCGGTCCTGACCGATTGGCAGGCTCTATAAGGTACATTAGGTGGCCAGGCTAAGACATTAGCGACCGGGTGGCCGACACAATTTGTGGTGCTCCCACAAGGCAACGATTTTTCCTGTTGCTCGATTTTCCCAAGAGTTCAACGTGCGATAGATCCGGTAGCGCTGACTTCCTCCTAAATTTTAAGACTCTCCAGTTTCTACGTGGACTTTGGCCTGCAGGCAAATGACCCTAGTGGAGGCGAAGAATCAACAGGGAACCGTAGAATTGCTGGGCTCTGTGAGTATTGAGCACCGGTGGCAGTCTAGACGGGAGGTTCTATAAAATGGTGTGGGTACCACCACCCCCAGTAGTTAACGGAGGAGCGCTTGCGGATTTCGTTGCATTCTGAAATCTTTCGACCCTATTTGGTTAACGACGGAAGTGGCCGTGCACGATTCCCTTTTTTCCATGGAATCGAACAGCGACCGTATGTATAAAATAGCTACCTCCACCTAGAGCAACTGCTTTGCACTTCAAAGATCATCTTTGTTAGGGCGTTGTCTACACTCAAATCATGCAGAGGCACTCTCAGGAAGGTTGTCTGTCGGCCTTTCATTATGCCTCTATGGGGCTTGGCACTCGACTAAGCTACATGCATCGGCTGTATGTGCATGCAGAAGTGGTTGAATTAGGCCTGAAGGCACGGCTGAACTGTTTTGCATATTAATTCTCTGCATACACTTTGCTTGTTTTCTGTTTTCTCGTTGCAAAAGGGGCTCACATTTAGGTGTCGCGCCTCCGCGATCGTGTTGGCTCGGTTCCTCATTTCTTGTTGGCTAGTGTGTGTCTCTTTCTTCCTTCCGACTTTTCTTTGCCAGTCGATGCTCCCCACACACACTTGCTTTTGCCATTGGGGCTGTTTTCGGTCTTTAGATTGCCTGAGGAGTGGCAGTGGGGCAGGAAGCCTATCGCCGTTGTGCATGCAGTTGTCCTTGAGGAACGGGTAGGTACGGCAGACGATGGTGTACATTTTAATCTTGTTTGAAGAAAATGTAATGAGCTAAGCTACACTTATCCTTTTTCAAGTAGAGCTAGTGTAGTTTGAAGTGTTTTGGCAGAAGTAAACTAATTTCTTACTGCCGAATACTTTGGGCTTAAGCTGAAGACGACACAATTATGTGTACCTATGTGTTAGATGCTATGTGTAGCCAGCTATAAAGTTTCGGAGTGCCTAGAGGATGCAGCTACACTCATTCCCCACTTGTCCTCTCCCCTTATTTCGGCGGGTTCGAAGGGCGCGGGTAGTAAAAGGCGAGGGATATTTAGAATCGTACTCAGTAGCTTTCTATTGAATTTGCATCGAGTCTACAGTTTGTGTTCCCAGTGGCGGCGTAAAATGGAGCGTTATAGAAAGTGTCATCATTAGTTTGTTCCAAAGTAAAAAAAATTGGGACATACACTGAGAAGCTTGGTACACCGATTTGTAAAAAATTGGGACATACACTGAGAAGCTTGGTACACCGATTTGTACCTTTCAGGCGTTTAAATAATAAATCATATGAGGCTTCTAGGAAAGCCCTGCCTTTCTGAGTCCACACTCAGAGGACGCAGCATTCACAATGAATTTTTGCAGCACACGTGACTCCTCGTAAAGAATGTATGGCTCAGTGGACAAGTGATTTTAGTGGGTCTGGTGTGCCATGAAGTATGCATACGAAGGAGATGGGACTAATTGCGTGCATGGAGTAGCACTGAGGGCACACACGCTGCACGCACACCCGGGACTACCTGTTTTTCATCCGGCGTAGTCTTCGGGTATTATGAAGGCATGGAGATGGGAGCTGGAAAGAAACATTTTTGTAAAATAAGGTATTACTTTGTGCTCTCTATTTGTATCCTCCCAAAAGAATGCAGCCTTTGGGAATTTTCATCAAAGGTGGGCATTGTTACGTTCACAGCAGCACGATTTGTGGCCCTCATGATTCACCTCGGCTAGGAAGAAGTACGGATCAGACACACTCTGAGAGTATGAAAGAAATTTGGTTATTGCCTCCTTGTCTAAGCATGCATGATGGTGTGCCTCCGCCCAGTCCCTGCAAGGCGCTAACTCACGGGGGCGCACAGACGAAGACCCTGCTGTGTGGCGGTGCGAATGAACTGCTAAAACTGCCTGTGATCGCAGCAGGCTGTGATAAAAAAGTTTAAAACATAGATTTCCACTTAGTTATTAAGTAGACAAGACTATATTCAATGGGTTGATGTACAACGACCCGTTGGGGCTGTCGACTTGGTGAGCCACGTATGTCCGGGGAACGGGTCCTCAGTCAGCTCCTCCTGGGCGCGTACCATTGTCCAGCCCCCCAAAGAATAAATATTATTGAAACAGCAAATCTAGTAAGGAGGAACTGTGAGGTGCTGAGAAGCTGATCTTTCCGCTAGCTTTTGAGGGTGGCATACATGGCTATTGCGCCAACCGCTACTGACTCGCTGTGGCTCAAGAGGCACAGGAACCACTTGTCGGGTTCAAAGGTACCATTGCCATTTTCCCGCAGGGAAACTAATATATGGCATTTGTACTCTATAAAGCTGGGGCTTTTGGCCTCGCCCAAGTGACAACATACTGTCTGACCTATTTGCAAACTGCACATTGCATGAGCCACTGCCGTTAGGCTCATATTTGTGGGACCAGCTTAAAAGAAGCTAAGCAGAGGACAACGAGGAGATGGAGGGCGACAGGGGCTCAAAGCTGATTTAGCTAAGGTCGGAGCCAAGGAAAGCACGAGCGTTCCAATTTACTACAATTCCCCCATGATGGTTGTACAGTTTCTCACGAAGACGCGTAGACGGAAGCATTTCCCCTTCGCCAGACTGTTTCTTCTATTCTAAACAAGCAAATGCGATTTTCTTCATCACAGATCAACGGGTATCTCCCATTTGCTACTGTGGTGGGCGCCTGTGCGCACTAGAAATACATCACCCACTTTGCAGCCAGCGGGGAAGAAGATGAAGCGATCGAGTCAATCCCAGCTCGCCAATTTACTAGGTTTTTTCCTAGTAACCATTTCAGCGGTCCTCCAGTGCCATGCTAGTTCGACCTCAGGTACTTTTTGGATGTTCAACCATCTATTTTGGGGTTCACATGGGCGGAACGCGTGGTGCCACATGACGATTAGAGCTGGAATAATACAGCGTCACACACAAATAACTGACGATGTGAAAAAGCGAGATTTGCACCAAACAGTATTTGATGGCTTGAAAAGTTTCGTGTTGATGCTTTCAATGAAAGCCCCTAAAAATCACTCTTGTGTGGCTAGGAACAGCCGTCACGCAGCATCGTAATCGTTTCTGCGTTGATGCACGTGCATTCAGATATCTTAAGGGGAAAGGCTACCGTCAGAGGCGATGGCTCTTGGGTGCGAGTGGACTTTCCTACTCCAATGAAAGAAGCACTAGTATTTTTAGGGTCGCTGGATTCTATTAGCGACTACAGCTTGGTACCTCAGGTGCGGACATGCCCCTAGCACTTGCAGAGCTGATATGATCGCTTCTTGCACAGCTTTCGGAAATGCTTTAAGCCACTGGTTGAATACTGTGTGTCTGATCCTGCAGGTGGGAGAAGTGGATAAAGACGGCTTCACTGTTCGAGTGACGGTGCCGTCTTGCGTAGTCACCGACCTGTCGAGGACTCACTTCTCTGTCCCTTACCTTGCGTGGAAAAAGACAAGCGGTTCGAATTACATTGCAGCGTCCATTACCCTGAAAATGACAAAAGGGTTATCGGGGTATGATACATACTCCCGCACGTACCACTTGGAAACTTCGATTGCTAAGAACGTATGCCATTCACTGCAATAAGTTCCCATACATCGAACAGCAGAGCATACACATGGAGTCATGTTGCAACGGAAATCACCAAACATGGCCAGCGCTGTCGCAGAATCATAAGCCTATCATACATAATGCTGCCATCTGAAAACTGTTTGCTGAGTTGCGTTTTCTAGGACGACTATCTCACACTCATGCAGATTCAGAACATGAAGGCAGTTGAAGATGGTGCATCTGAGTTCAACACAACACCATACGTGTCCGTCAGGGGCTTCACAAACCCAGCCACGCAATCTGTTACGTACTCTTTTTCAGACACTGTTTATTCAGTGGTTTCCTCTGTCAGTATTGCGGTTTTTATTATCGGCTCCGCTGGTCCCGCAAGTCTTGGAGGAGCCAAACTTCAAGTGGGTTGGGCACATAGCTTGTATTGATGCATAGGGTTCCCGCAACAAACGCTTGTTAAATGTAGATTGTGTGAAATCTTTCATAGCTGATCAGGCCACGGACACATACGAATAAGCTTGGTGGCACCTGCTCTGGTGTGAAAACTCAGGTCAAGGGAGATGTGCTTGTAGATTCTGGCGAAAAGTACTCACATGATCTAAACTCGCCTGTTCTAGCATTCATACAACCACGGGACACATCAACACCGTTTGCATTCACAGTTGAAGACTCTGATTCCGCGACGCATTTTGTGCCAAAGCTTAGACAAGGCTGCCACACCTATTTGACTGATACTTCACTAACGGCCTCCTATTTATTGCTCGCATACGGTAAGTCACACTGCATATTTAGTGCCTTATTCCTCCAAGACATCATTTAGATGCGAAATAGGATCTGTTGGACGCCTATGAGCTTGGGACATATGCTGGTTACTCCTCTAGGGGATTATGATGCACTGCTGCGTATGGGGTATTTCAACACAAATGCAGATGGACCGTCGGCTGTTCGTAATATGGGCCCAAATTGTCAGGATGCAAAGTCTACTTTGCCAAATCTCCTGCACACTTGTCAAATTGCATGCACGATGCTTTGGGACGAAAAGAAGGAAGATTACGTAACTTGCCTGGACCCGATGGAATGCTTTACTGCGGACTTCTCGACACCCTCAACCCTGGTTTCTGTTTTGAACAACGACGTGGAATTCCTGTTGGCCCAGAATCTATCAACAAATTGCTCTTACGGTAATACTCCACTAAGGTCCTCTTAAGCGGACTCAAAAACGGTCCATTGAGGGCGGAGGGCATACGCGTTGTAGCCTTATTAACAAAAGTAGTCTATCCCACAAGGAAGACAAAATTACGCTTTTTTTGTGCGTCTGGAACTTCACTCCTCAGCTACAAGGCCATCTTCCTCCCGAGTGGACCAGTACAGTAAGCTTGATTGTGGCGTATGCTCAGTTGGACTCAAAGTCCTTCAGAACTTTCTACACTTGTGTAGTCGTCTGTGTGGCTGGATTGTTGGTATTTATGCAAGTACTGTTGCTCAATTCTACAGAATTTGAGAATGTTATCACGTGGAGCGATACCGTAAGCGGCAGTATATGGAGTACTGAGGAGGCGTGCGGCAAGCACAACATCCAGGTTGTGCAACTCCTCTTCAGCGATGAATCCATTTTTAACGGGAAGTCGACGGAAACAGAGGCATGCAAAACGCAAGACGTCACAGACTTAATGGTTTCTTTCTGTGGAGAGCAAGTAACTTCAACGTCAGGGGCATGCAAGGTATCGATGCTTGCTTTTACCAACGCGAGTTCCTCAACCTTGTGCCCAGCAGCTCCCAATCCATCGATGTTAATGCGCTTCAATTGCGATGCAAGTAAGGTCGATTCCACTTAATATGCGCTCTACTGATAAGTATAACACATCGGGATATCTAAGCCATGAATTGAGAATTGAGGTTGTGTCCCTACCCGCAGCATATGAAGAGTCATCCTGTCTCGCTTTACATCCAGCTCAAGGTAGCTTCGCGACCACAGGTAATTGCAACGTTATTCGATCACCCTGATTCCCCAAAGTGCATCGCTTTGTGAAGTGCTTGTTCGCCTAACTGCACAGCGAATCACATGCTGCGGCTAGCTCAGCGCTTGCTTAAGCACATGAAATTTAGTCTTATAGCTCGAGTCGCATGACTCCTGCAAGTTGGTATGAATTTGCGTAGGCTCATGCAGCTGTCCTAGTGGCCGAGAGCAATGCAGTCTTGAGGTAGCAATTGTGGATACTAATTGGCGAAAGGGGCTGCCAGCTGGTCGAACGATACTGCTTTCCAACCCCATTACGTGAGCAGAAACTTTCAGAAAGAACACGTACCACGACTTCGCGTTTTCTTTCCTGTAGACCTACAAGTTAATTGCCTCAACACAGTCTGCGGGAAGAACAGATGGTTGTAAGGCGACGAAATGACTTGTGATGCTCAACGTCACCTGTATTTCTCATGTTAGTATATTCACTGTTCTGAGGCCAGGTACAAAACAAGCGAGCAAAAATTTTCACTGGATTTTGACTTGGTGGTCGACTGCAGCTCCACCGATACATATATTCTCTGCCAAGGCAAGCTAAGTGAAGGTCGCTCCTCTCCGCCAGCTTGGCATATCAGAAGCATGATATGTTTCGTGCTGAGAGAGGCAGGAGCGGGCTCGTCCTTGAGACGCGTGTGTGCCCACCGCACCCGTTAGATTTGAGCAAACCTTACGACACATATGCGCAATATCAACGATTGCCACCAGAATGCGTGCTGGCTGTGCAGCGGAAGTGCCAAACACCGACGACAACGGCCCTCAATGTACGGAACTCGCAAACCCAGATCCAGAAACACTGGAAGGCGTTGTCTGCAAGAGCATTTGCCTTCAGTTATGGGAAAGCTTTAAAGATGAGTCATTGGCATCTTCGTCTCCGTATGAAGCATTCATGACACTCAAGAACAACTGGCATGCTGAAAACTTATGGGCTCTTCCGATGAATATTAATAACATCGCCGTGGACTGCACATACGGTAGGCCCACATCATTAGCGAAAACAACCTACAACAAAAGGCTTTTCACCACGGTGGCACCATACCTGACCTTGAAGCTACGTTGTGTGCGCAGAGAAGCGGCCATATTTTTCTCCCGTTCCACAGTACCGTAAGTGGTCGCAGTGCTGTAACACGTGTATGATTGTTGAAAGCAGAAATCTTTGCACACCTCGAACGTTCACACTTCATCGGCTTCCTTGGGCTTTAATTTCTATATAACGTAGACAGTCTGAGAGACTCCACCAAAGGCATGCCTAGTAGAGTCTTAATGCTCATTTGCAGCACCTATTTGCTTTGTGTTTCGACCCTCAGAACGACAAACTACGTTCGCCAAAGAGGGTACAAAATTTTCCTTGTACAACCCATGCCCTGATACGTACACCACGGAGATCGTGGCCGCCGTTTATGGCTGCGAATCGGTAAGGCCCTGCCACTAATAAGGATATTGTGGTTCCTTTAACCTATGAGCATTTTTTGCTGGCAGTGTCGCAAGTGTACTAGTGTGTGCACAGTCTTAATGTTTTTGAATATTATTCACAGTCACCCAGGGTCGCTTCTTTGTTCCGGGTAGCATCTCCTGTTAGCTCTGGGTGAGATGTAAATTGAAAATAACATTATCCGCCGCTGCACTGGCCTGCATGCATAAAATGGACCCAAAGAGCATGCAAAAGCATAGCGGCTTCAGCTCTCTCTAGACACTCTGACCTGCTGGAGGGCATCAATCAGACCGCAATTCCCTTGCAGGCTACTGTACCCCATTATTATTTTTCAGGTGCTCCTCAGCCAGGGGAAAAAAGCTGCCTGCGAAGTAAAGGATGTCACAGCGGTGCTGAATTCAGTATGCTCCTCCTTGAATACTGAAGATGCGAGTTGCACTATTGCTGAGGACCTGCTACCGTCGAAGACGGAGTTGTGTCCTTCCTGCGATACCTTTACTATGATGGCGTATTACAACTGCCGGATAAGTAAGTTTAAAGGCTAGCAGACCCGTTATGCCTCCTGTGATACGCCTATTTTAAAGTTCCTGGTATTACGCTTAGCAGCCTATAATATTAAACGTAGTCATGGGCCCTTGGTATTGGTTCTGATAAACACTCTTATGCAGAACGTTTTGCGTGCTTTCAGGCGAAAATACATTGGCAGGGTATGATATTTTTACGCATTCGTCTTCTGGCAGCTTAACTTACTCTGGCGACATCCCTTCCTGTGGATGTGTCGATGGGTCAACGCCAGCCACCGAAGAGGAGGTCGTTGTGAGTTGGCATGCATCTGGCTCTAAGAAAATAAGCGTGCACTTTTAGGCTTAAGCACGCTCACGACTACCAGGAGCTATTTGACTGCCTTTCGCTCTTTTAGGCTAAATCATCCTGGAAGGCGTACCTTACTCCGCCAGCAACAGTACGCCTGGGTGGAGCTCGTAGCCTTTTTGTCGACAAAAATGGCAAGCTGGAATTCTCGATTTGGGCCCCCTCTTCGGATACAGACTGTTTGGACGACGATGTACAAGTTTTCTGCAAGCGTAAGACTGCTGCATGAATTCTAAGGGGAGTATCCAATGCGTGCTACCAGGACAGTCGGTAACAGTGCGGAGCAGATCCCAGTTGTAGCTAACCATTGAGCTCCCTGTTCTCTATGCCCTGAACAGGACCTTCCCAGACAGCTTCAGATGAAGGCATGATGAATCCTAGTGAGGTCAAGGGGCTTAAAAGCCTACACTGTTGGGTTCTTGGCTAAAATGAGTTATGGGTTAATCAGGTCTGGGTGTACACCCTTCAGGCAGGATGATTGACGGGGCATTTACTTGTATACTAATGCTTGGTACTGTTCTGACGGGTAACTCCCGGAAATACACATGCGAGAAAAAGCTCCTCTTGGCTATACTATCATCCACATGAAAATGAGTATTTTACGCGGCCGACTGTGTTAGATTGTGCCCGCCTGCGCCATCAGCACCGCTCTGTGAAGAAGCTTACTCGACAAAAGTTTCCAGCGGCACTTTTCAGCATGAGCTATGCCGGGAGTATTGTGCTCATTTGCTAAAGGTGCGTACGCTGCTGTACAAAGCTTTTGCTCAAGAGATGAATAGACATAACGTGAGAGTCGTGGCTTTGGGTTTGTCAGTCGTGAAGCCTCCTCAAATGGCGAACACAGTTAGTGACAAAACGTCGACATCAGCGCGTGCGATGCTATTCAAACCCACAGAGGGCAATGTGTTTGCTGCTTGCTGCATTGGCAGAATACATGCGCATCGGCAGAAAACAAGTGGGCTTGTGTTTTTGAGAATTCAACCAACTGCTACATCCCCAACTCCACGCGCACAACTTGTGCTATACGAGCGGTGTCTGCTGAGTATAATCCCAGCTTTAATAGCTGTGGATGCGAGAACGACCCCACTATGGAACCATGTACTGAAAGTGAAGTTAAAATGCTGTCCGTCGACTGGACTAGCGATTTTATGGAGCACTACCAAGGAAAAGAAGGCTTGTTGCTGCTGAGGAACATGAGGGTTATGGATGGCACAGGGTCAATCTATACGGATTTCGGGGTTTCCCAAAATCTAGCCTGTACTCGTGCCTCAAAGTACAAAGGCATATTTTGTCGAGGTAACGAAATCGGCAGGCAATGCACCAATTGCACCTCTCCACCCGTTGGTCCAAAGGTGACTAGGCGAGTTAATAGTGCTCCGCGAAAACACATCAATGCTCTTAATACTGGCAGTTTTGCATTTTGGTCGTTCCTTGCAGTGAACAGTGAGGCTGACTCCGTGGATCGAGCAGGTGTGCCGCACATGCTCTGCTTTCTTCAAAACACCCGCTCAACCTTCTAAGAGCTTCTGGGTTTTTGCTACTCATTATGTTCACCCATTGCAAGCCGCAGTACTCTTGCCAGAACGAAAACTTTGCATGAACTTCCTGCTGGGTGCGGTGTGCTATATTTTGCAGAACTAGAGCCTAATTGTGATGGCGCGGTTTCCACCGATTTAAGTAATGTATCCGATTATCAGTGCGCGTATTCATGCTACAAAATATATAATCAGTGTCGAGAGCAGAATGACACAAGCATCGCATCGTGCTACTCGACGGCACAGAAGGACGACCCGACCTTACGGCAATGCAGTGTTCCGTTGGGTAAGTACGAACACGGCCAGTCTGCTGTAAGTGCCTATGCTGCTGCCTTGATTTGAAGAAATCATGGACACGCCCCTTTGTTGTTTCCAAACAGGCTGCCGTTGGCCGTTAATGTATCGAGAATCGCAAAGCCAGCATGTGTACTAGTCTACCTCAGGAGTGCTTTTGTGTGCAGTGCAGGAAGACCTTATCGAGGGTGGTAGGAAGAATGCTAGCGTCTCACCACTTGCTGCCAATATTCGTGCAAGCACTTCTTGTTACAGGAAAGGCACTGAGCAAATCGATTGGACAATCGCTATCTACGTCCTCAGTCCCGCTGAGGATGCGCTTCGGCATCAAAGTCTGTTTTAGGGTGTAGTGCGTGATGGGTTTATCGCAGAATCGAATATGCTCACCGGAGTGGTTGCGATAACGACGGAGTGGATAAAAGTGGCTTTCCCGTCTTTGGTTTTTCCTAACCCAGTGGTATTGACAGGTTAGAGCTTCGAGATCACCACTATTAGGCTTCCGGGAGCTCAAAAGCACCTTCCGCTATGTCTCTTTATCGGATGACGAGGACCGATGCCGTGCCTCTGCCTAGAGTGCAGGGCGTCCTTAAACAAGCGCTACTGCCTTTTCTTTCCGTTGATTTAGGTCTTATGGAGCCCCTCGATACCTTTGGGCAAGTGCAAATCACCGACGTGTCAGCCACTGGATTTAGTATTCGCTTAGCATTGGACTATTGCAGGATTGGTAAGTATTCAGGCTGAGCCCCAGTTGCAGTGTGCGCACAGGAGGACCACTAATTGCAGTTACTGGCCATGAGGGTAGCACATCGTGTGCTAGTTTAAACCCTGTGGCGATACAGTGTTCGTCGCTCTGTGCACGTTCAGGCTATGCAGCTGCATATGCGAAGGCGAGCTGGCTTGCCGTATCAGAGGAGCGCTACGCGGTCTCGGGTTCCGGGACGCCATTTCGTGTGGGAACAATGGATATCACTATTGACAAAGATATGGATATTCTGCCTTTGATTCAAGTGCATTCCTCTAAGGTAGGCTGGATACAAGGAGTACAGGCCACTATGGCTGAAAGAGCGGCTTAAAAGCTTCCTAACAACAGCGATAGGTCCTATCGGGAATGCAGCTGCCGGACTTTCACATGGTTGCTTCTTACTTGTCTAATGATTCTTCGCAGCCTCTATTACTGACGCAAATCCAAAACATTGCGAGCGACCTGCCGCCTACTGATATTCCATTCGTTACGATATCCCGCCTCGATGCCACTTTAGCAACCATCAGCGTTCATACCACATCTACAGCGGCGCAACAGAAGAAATTCACAGTCGGCTATCTTTACATGGACCAAATTGAAAGTACCGAGTGCTCCACCGGCTGCAAAACAAATAATCTGGCGTTAGAGGTGGGAGTTGCATGTACGAGGTTTCCCTATTCATCGCCTGCAAACTTGCCAATCCCCCGCTCCGTAAAAATTGAATGGCCTTTCTTTGAGGTGAGAAAGCACGCTATGTGTAGTCGCTGTACGCCTTTGTCTTGCGGTGTGCTCACAGACGAAATCAGCTACACTTAACAAAAAAAAAAAATCCCCCGTATCGTATTCTGCAGAGAACTTTTCTCAAGCACCGTTGATGTTCGGTTCGATAGTGCCAACGAAAACAGATGGGAAAAAACGAATGCTTGCGCAAACTGGCTCTCAAGATGGCTCGACTAAGGCCCAGTGGACTCCCAAGGCTTTCGTTGTAACAAATGATATCTGCTCAGAGTTTGTGTTTCAAGAGGTACCATCTGGTTCTTCTACGCTAAGAATGGTTGCTCTTCACGTTCAATCGCGTGAGACACAGATTCGAATAGCCTTCTCCACCGGGAAAGTCAGGCGACAACCACGAGAAACCTATTGATAATGGCATTTCTATTGCATATAATCGTTTCTAAAAGCTTTCCCTATTCGACTGCATGTTCTTTTGTGCTCTGTGCTTGCCTCCAAATGGTACTCAGCATCACTTGCAGACAATGGAGAAGCCATACCTGGTACTGCAACATGCCTTGTAGATCGTTTAGACCTTTGCCCCTATACAATATTGCCTGCTATTCGACGTCTTCTATAAGAGCGCGGTTACCTGGCAGGGAAATAGCCCGGTAGCAGAATGTGAACAACGTGAGATAGTGTGCCTGCTGAGCTGCTCAGATATCACTCCGAATTGCACCGAAGCCAAGCCCAAGAACGTAAGTTACGACCCTAGCGTTAAGGATTGCATGCGTGCTAGGCCTGTTGTATCATCTGTTAAGTGCTTCAATTGTGCTGAAAGCTCGAGCTGTTTTTGTACCTCCATCAAGCCTTCGCAACTTTCCAGTGCGCAGCATCACTGAGCTATGTGTATATGACACCACTTGGCTTTCCTTGTGGGTAATGATGCATGGCATAATGCTCTTCAGACTGCGGCCCATGATGTAGACTGCGTCAAGGAATGCAGCTCCTTATCTGCCTTGTGCCCACCACCCAATTCGTGGGATTGTTTTGTAGCTGCGGCTTCTGAAAAGCTCAAGGCCGACTGCTACATCGAATCATGTAGGCGACCCTTCCAGTGCTGGAAGAATTAGAGACCTCACGGGCGAAAAAGTACCCAAGGATCTTGTTGTAAGGATTAGCTAGGGAAATTAAAAATTCTACAGAGCACTTCTGTGCGTGTGCGCTTATGTTTGACATGGGCATATGACAGACATTGATACTGGGCAGACCGTCACAACTTCGACTACTGTCCCTCCAATTGGAGGTAAGAGTTCTTGTCCGTTGCACTGTGAGCCTCCAACCCAGCAAGCCTTATAAAGTCGGCCAGGTCGGCGACTTTTGGTACTGTTGAGTGGCTTTTGTGTCAAATGCTATTTACGCAGATACCGTTCAGTGCAGAGTGGTCAACATGGAAGACGATGAATACTTCGCGGACGCAGGCTGGGATGTCAACGCCATGAGCTGTTTGTGCCCCCAAGGGTTCAGCCCCTGCACGCAGCAACAGGTTGAGCAAGATCGATCTTACTGGATTGAGGATGTGACACCATGGAGTCAGCCAAAACGCTGCTTCCCTGTTCCCGCACATAACGGCGCTTCAGCCTCCATAACAGTTCAAAAAGCTCAATGTTTGGAATGCAAAGCTCTACCCTTAAGGCATAGAAATCAGGCAAGGTTTACGTGTGGCCTGTGCATTTGTGGGTGCAGGCGACATATGCCGACTCTCGTATACAGTACAGCCAGTCGCCTGGGGATTTTTGCAGGTGGCAAACGACTTATGTATGAACTCGTCGAATCTTCAATGGGGGCAGCGTCAGCTGCCACTCTATTCCTTGAACGATGTGTATCTTGATAGAGGGTATAGAAGTGGCTACAACCAGTGTACGACAGATGTACTTTATGTCTTTTGTCCAGGTAAGGCATCCTATGGAGCCGTGGACTTGGAGACATTCCTTTAGCTTTGACGTACTGTCTGACGGGCAATATCTGCACCTTCCTAGCTTGGCGGGCTTTCCCGTTACCTGTGCGATCATTGCTAGCTTGCGGCAACGGTGTCTGAGCCCGCAGCTGCTTCTCTAACCACCACAACAAGCACAGCGGCTCCAGTGTGGGACTGGCCAGAAAACGCAGACTGTTTGCCGGGTTACTGGGCAGACTGGTCTGAGTGCTCCGCTACCTGCCTACCGTCTGAGTAAGGCCTGAAACTCGCCGTACCCGCTAATTCGGACATGCAGCTTGTTAAAGGCAACCCTCCGACGTAAAGACTGATTAGCAAGGAATAACGATAGAGCAAGCAAGCTCCATGCATGCCGTCTTCTTTCTCGTTTATTGCCGCTTTGCATCTTGTCAGTTCAAGGGAGTCAACTCCTGTGCGGAGGCGACGAAGGCCCCAACTGCTGCCCGCCAGAGGCAATGGCACCCCTTGTACACTGGAAGAAACAGTTTCTTGCGCGTCGGACACCCTGCTGCCTTGCGATTCGCTGTGCCTTCACTCGGAGTGGACGGAGTGGTCCAGCTGCTCAGAGAAACTGCTTGAGTTTGGAGTAGCACCAGTGAAGACATCTTTGAGGGAAAAATTGGTTTCCGCAGAAGCAGGTGAAGCTTGCGCTGCGCAACATCTGAAGGAATATGACGCCTCGCGCTGTACTGGTAAGTAGGGAAGGAGGTCAAACCACCAGCTGTGTGTTAGCCCCGCGGGACAAATAGCACATTTAAAAAGTCACGAACTGGATTTCAGTACACACGCATACCTTTCATGCTGTAGCCGTAGTACGGCTTGATTCACCGTAGGCATGACCATGAGAGGAGAGTGGCAGCGCAAAGCACTAGCACTATGCGTGTGGCAATACTTCAGATGGGAATGGCCAGCCTACAAGCTCCCTTCCACAGCCTAGCGCGCTAGAGCTTGGGAGCAGTGAGATTGTCGATGAGGGAGGCGAAAGTTGGTCCGAATGGTCTTCGTGCGATGCACCGTAAGGCTTGCTCGAGCATTAAGTACTCCCTGAAAAACTAGATAAGCCAATTGGTTGGGATTTTGAATCGCTGGACTCGTGTAACTAGTACTGTCTAGTTCCATTCATGGCAATGTGCCTACATTGAAACTGTGAGATGGGCTGTTCAGGTGCCTTATGAACGGCAGGAAGCCCAGAAGGCACAGGCTGAGCATTAAACCGGGCGCTAATGAAGAGGGCGGGAGAGTTTACTACAGTAAGCTTGGGCTTTGCTTGCCGTAATGACACACTGCTCTTAATGAACATGCTTACTGGCTTAGATCCATGCGTATAAGAGGTGGTGCGTGCGTGCGCATTTTTTAAACACGATGATGCGCAGACACCGAAAGCGAAGACTGCCCAGACTCTCTGCAGCCTTGTAGAAATGACCGAGCCCCAAGTAGGTGGAATGCTTCCAAAGAGATTCGCGTGCATCGCCGCCTTGCATGTATTACGTGAGCGGATGCGTTTTCCGCGGCACAACCACAAATTTCATCTCATACGGGATTGTGTCAAAGTTGTTTTTTACAGGCTGCGATGATATTTTCCCCCAGCACGATATTCCAGGAACACGCGAATATTGCCAAGAAAAATGCCGGGAGATCCTGAAGTCGTGCTCAGATGAATCCAGCCTCAAAGAGCAAACACCACTCCAGTGCTTTCATCAAAACATTGTCCAGCGTCTAACACTCACTGGACAATGCCATTATAACCCAGACCTCGATAAAGGTACGCAGAATGGTCAGAAAGTTGAGCAGTTATTCTAACCTTTAGTTTTATGGTGGCATTTGATTTTGTGATCGTTCTATTCTGTCTGCTTGCAATTTCAGAGATGTTGGCCCCAGTGTGCTTCCCAAGTTTAACTCGGATGAACGATGATGACTCATCGGAATTCCGGTTCTTAGACCCCAACAGCCCGTCCGCACAATGCTTGTGCCTTGAGAAGGACGCTGTCCCATGCACCGCCGCAGAAGTGTTTGAATCGCGAGAATATGCTTTTCCCTCTTCGGATATTTCTTCATGCCCTTTACAAGATTCTGCCGGAGCGATGTTTGGCCCGTGGGGGTCTGGCTCTGCCGATTCAAAGTTGTATTTTGCCGCAGCAGACTCAAGCAAAATATTCTGTCCCCTGAGCAACAGTAAAAACCAAGAGCAGAAGTCAGATAATGCAACGTACTCCAAATTTGCAACTCCTGCCGAGATGAACGACTACTGTGCAAATGGGTTGGACGCGCAGTACCAGTACTCAAGCAGCACTCCATGTATGTTCGCCGACTCACCACGCATGATACTGCTCCAAAACACAGCTTGGATGTTTAATGTAGTACTATCGACACCGCCAGGCTACCTTACGTGCATCGTGTTGCGATTTGAGGGCTGTGCTTGCAGACGACATTGATCTTGACTGCGATGCCGTGGTGCCCCGAGATGCAACTGCGAGCCTTGAAGATTGTCAATCAAAGTGCCGTCAGATTCAGGAGGATTGCGAAATTTCCACAGTAAACTTTTTGTCATGCGTCGCTACAAAGCGCCGAATCACCAAATTTGACGTGGGGTGTGCAACTAAAGGAAAGCGTCTCGCCGGCAGAGGATTTGTGTTTTGCAAAGCTAAGCAAAAAGACTGCATATATTCGGAATGGGGAGCGTGGTCAGAATGCAGTGCCACCTGCCGCAGTGGCCCAGGAGGAATGGCCGGAAGCGTCAGACTCCGCACTCGGCAAATTGTGGCACCCAGCACTGGTGGAGGAGAGCAATGCAGGTTTCTCACCCACAAAAGTACGCGTTACGGATATGTTTTTGAGTCTTATATCGTTCCTGTGCGATATACCACTTACTGTGGCCCACTATGTACCGCCAAACTTTGTTTTGACTGTTTGACATGCATCGCAGCGAGTTCCTCAACCACTGATACAGGGACCGTGGAATTGGAGATTTGTACCTTCCAAAAACTATGCGGTGCGCGTTGCAGCATTACATTCTGTTTGCGTATTTATTCCACCGTAAACTAGTACTCGGTGCAAGAGAACGCTCAGTCTTTTGTTTGAGCGTTCGCACTACGCTAGGGCGGCCTAGAGTGAAGCACATAAGTAGGTGATGCATGACAACTTGTATCAACCGTAAGAGAATAAATTTGAGTGTGTTCAGATGATTCTGACGATTGGAGCACCTCGAGTATAACACCCAAGCCCGAGCCCTCCCTGGAAGACTGGAGCGCCGATATTTTGAGTACATCCACAACTACTACCGAGCCACGTGATCCGGGGGAAATGATCTGCGACATCGTCGACATGGCTACTGACAGCAGAAAGATGGGATACGATAAAGCGGTTAGTATTCTTCCTTTGCTCAGACCTCATCTGTGGTCCTGTGCCGGCATTGCCGCTTATTTCCTACTCTGATCGATCAACAAGCATTATTGTACCCTTTACGGTCGGTAAGAAGCTTCAGATAATGCGAGTGATGCTATAATCTTTCTTTCTTGCGTATTCGTTTTTGGCAGTACCGGACTTGCAAATGTCCATCGTACACTAGACCGTGCCTGGCTGATGAGGCAGAAGCATCTCGCTCTTTGTGGAACCAAACAATGATGGTTTTGTGCAAAGACAATAAGACAGGTAATCCAGTTGCACCTAGAACCTTGATGTATCTTTGGCCACTACCGTAAGGAAACCTTGTTTCGAAGTTGCTAAAATGATGTAGAAATAATTACTGGTCTTATGCAGGGAGCAGTGCCACATTAAGGCCCAACGATATGCGTTGAAATTGCATTTCTGTTCAGCTAGGATACCACTAGCAAGCTTTATAGCATTCGATTGCGAAACGCGCACATTTTTTGATGCTCATGCGGATTTAAATGAGTCGACAGCGGAGACAGCGTGCTTGACAGAACAATATTCTTCTGTCTTTTGCGTGGGTAAGTTTGCCGGAGAGCAGCGCTAAATCTAATTTCCCCAGTCGACTCATGGGTTCCGTAGGCTTCAATTCTTTTCTCTGTACTTAATGAGGAGCACAATTGATGGTATGATTTGTCTGCTCAGTGGCAGAAGACCTTGAATCCGAACGGCGTCAAGCTGCCATCACAAAGATTTTGATATTGCTCGTGGGAATAATGTTAGGCGTCGCAGTAGTGCTTTGGTTCATTCAATACAGCGTTGACGTTCAGAAAGTGCTTGGTTTAAGGGGCAGATACGTTGAGCTCGTCAATATGACAAAGGAATAACACCTCACGCAGTGGGGGAGCCAGCCCGTCTGAGTGGGCAGAGCCACTCTGACGCACGTGCTGTTGGCTAGCCCACTAACTAGAAAGGAAAGTTCCTGCTGGTTCCCTCAGGAACTACATCTGGAGAAATGTCGCACAGTGTTTTCCCCCAGGTGTACATTTGTTGGGCATGGTAGCCCATAATGTTTTTTACGTGTTAGGTGGAAAACACAGGATTTTGGTCATCCGTTCTAGCTAGTTGTCCCATGTCACACCAAATTAGTGTCTGGCATACTACTTCAGATGCAAAATCCTTACACATTACATACTTGAAGAGCTAATATTGACCTTGTAGGCTTGTATTATCCCCCGTGCTAGACCATACGCATTCATAGGTACGGTGGTTCCTTGCTTGATGCCTTTAATGATCTAGGCTCATAACTTCATCATCCAAGGCTTAATATTGACTAGAACGTGCTATCAACCCTATTTGTCCCCATTTATCATTATTGCTAACACATTGAACTCGCTGGACCACTGCTGTGTCTCAGCAGGCAGCCCACGATCAGCATAGTAATGGGGACTTCACCCTTCCCCTAGAAGTCTTTATAGGCAGAAAGTATTATCGCACTGTGTTGAAGAGGCTTGGAAGTTTCAGCTAATCGTTTACACACTGTGCTAGTGGCACAGACACAAGTGGCATGCATCCGGCGTGATCTCCCTACCCGTCTGTTTCCCACCAGTCCACTCGCAGACGAGCGTTCCGAGGCCAGCTTTCCTCAAAAAACACGCAAATACGAGTTTGTGAGAAGGTATTTTCCTTCTAACTCCAGAAGTCGTGCCTACCATTTGACTGCCTGGTGGTCTGGCCCAGTCACATCACAGACCATGAGACTGCTCTATTGGCTAATCGGATATGCTGGGTGCTGCGTACTGTCCTATAATGGTCGACGCTCCAGAAATATCTAGCCTTAGTTTCAAGGCGGCTCGATCCTACAGCTTTTTTTTCTAAGAGACGGGCATTTCAGTTCAAAAAACAAAGGAGGGCAAAATCGACCGCCTCGCTTTGGGACCAGAGTACTCACGCCGCCTTTGCGGGTGACCCAGCGTGTTCTCGAAGTGGTCATGCAATTGATACATCATGACAGCGCAGAGCATATCTCTGCTGTTGTGTGGCCTCATATGCCTGTGCTTTGGCGGCATTGCTTTCGTGCAGGGGGATGATTCCGACGCAGATCGCAGTAAGTTCACGTGCACCTAGAAGATGTTTCATGGCTATCTTCAGGGTCTCGTGTGAACCCCCGCCTGTGTTTGGCTCTACATGCCTCCTACCAGGTGTCCGTCTGACTGTGGCAAGCAGCTACGCTTCACGTGTTGGGGGGATATGCGAGTGTGCCTGCAGCACGTTATGCAGCAGACTACAACAATGGAGGCCCGCAGTGCAAATTCACCGGAACTACCGTCATAGAGCGCCAGTGCAGCTTTATCTGTGAGGAAATTTGGAGTAAATATGCTGCGGAACGCTTCATGCGTTGTGCGGATCCAATGTCATGCTTTACCAACTTCTGGAACACCACAGAACTAGCGAAGGAACCGCAAGTGGATTCAAGTATTCTCATAAAAGTTGAGACCAAGTGCTCCTTTGGTGAGCCATATAAAGAACTACCTACTTTCCGCCAGTTTGTTCCTACGTACCACGCACTGTGTGTGATCTGGCCGCATAGCATATTTGCATCGCTGGTCACCCCTAAGATGGGTTGCTTTCGACTCCAGAGCATCATTTATGGATCATAAGGTGTAAGGCAAAAGGTGGAGCTCGAAGCTCTGTGCTTTTGTGCTTTGGTGTCATCAACCAGGCATACGACCAAGCACCGCGCCAGTCCTCCAATACTGTAAGGCAGAGCACGCTTCATTTGTGGCATTTCCATCCTGATGGTGCTCTGCGGATCGTGTCTCCTGAGACGCTTTTCAGATTGTGCACTACGATTGCTTCTATGTAGCTGAGAAAATTCACTCTAAGGGGGCACACGCAATCCGTGTCTTTCGCAGATGGGTATCAAGAATACAGTGCAGAAGACCTCGAGTCCTCTGCCATATTCGGAGGAGAAACACTTTGCAAGAACCAGAAGGAGTTAAAAGTCGTTGATTTCGTTGTTGGACATCCTTCCGCGTTTCGAGGAGACGACTGGAACTGCTTGCTGTACTCTCAGGCGGAAAAAGTAGCGGAGGCTTGCCAAAAGGACAGAAAAGAGAACAACAGGCTGTACTGCGAATTGGGTATCTACGACCTCCCCAATGCCCCAGAGTTGTCTACGATATGCACTGATGTGCCTTCCAATGAATACCGATATGCTCTGTTCTACGACTGTGACCCTCGTGAGCCGCCATTCAACCCTTAGCCTTAGAGGAATGTGGAGCAAAGGCCTACAGTGGTTCTTGCCAACGCACATAACGCTGCACTTGAAGCCTTAATTAATGGTGCACTTCAGCATTTCAGTCGAACACAGGCCCCATTCTATTGCTGTGGTTACATGTATGTATGGTTGTTGTCCTCCTCCTCCTACAGCCAGTTCTTCCTTCTCATGCGACGTGAAGAGCACGACTTCATGGGATTCTTCCAAGCAGTACTGCAAATGTCCAAATCTCGATTCACCGTGTACAGTAGAGGAGGCAAAGATTTCGGATTCATGGAAAGACGATGTCGCATCTAACGAACGGGTGTACTTAGCGGATGGTATCCGATACTCCGCTGCAGATAAGGCGTTTGAAGCATTCAGCACCGTTTCGAATCCGTGCAAGCGACAAAAGGCGCTTGCGCTTTGCAAGCGTAAGCACATTGTACGCTTGAAGCGTCGAATTCAATCGGCCTAAGACCGCCTTTACGAAACGTTCGCAGTGAGCTTCATTTTATGTCTGTATCGCCGATATGGGTGACTGACAGATACACTTGTGGAAGGCTCCTGAGTTTGCTTTTGCAGGTACGATAGACCCGCCAACAACTACAACCACAACAACATCCACTTTCAAGGAGTTCTTAGGTTCGTCCGAAACTTTCATCGGGGGCTGCAGAGCCTTAAAACTTCCTCCGTCCGTGATTTTCGCAATAGGTGCTTAAGCTTGTGTGTGTATGTGTATGTATGTGTATATATGTATGTGTGCATGTGTATGTATGTGTATGTAGGTATGTGTGCATGTGTATGTATGTGCGTATGTATGTGTTTCGTATGTATGTATGTATGTGTGTGTGTGTGTGTTTCGTATGTATGCGTACTTACGTATGTGTGTGTGCATGCATATATGCGTATATACGACTGCATGGCACGAGTGCCTTCTGCTCCTCTGCCGGTTATCCAGGAGATGTAGGCCCCAATTGCTACAAAGGAACAGACCAGCCGTTTTGTCAGGTGCCCTGTATAACGATCTGGCGGGCTTTTGAGGCTAAATTTGGCGTCCATGACACCTACGATCAGTTCATGAGCATCTGGAAGAACTACGACTTCACGCGGCTCTCATTCATCAGCTCCTCTGCAGCGGAGAGGGTTCAGGCTTGCATCTTCGGTCAGCCTTTTCTGAGTCTTTATTCACGCGTTTCCACCACGCATGTGATTGTCAAGTGGCGCGGGCAAAGGCAACTACGCCTCCCTCTGGGTCGCTTCTCCCTCTGCGGAAGTGCGGCCTCATGCGCTGTGCTGGGAAAGCTGCCTCGTGGCGCCTTTTCTTCTACTTGAGAGCGTCATATGGTCTCTAGTTCTCGAACCTGAAAGCTTCATTTCTTCGCAGAGCTTGCGTATGCGCAGAAAAACGGTGGGACTATGAAAGCTCCACTCAGAGCGGTCAGTTTTGCATCGCGGCCGCTGTCTTGCAAGATCGGCAAGGCCGCTTTTCTGCAACCCCTGTCCAGCGAGCGCTTTTTCCTGCTTTGTGGAATCGGTTTGTCTGGCCCTTGCACACGCCTGTAGAGGGGATCCGTGCATTAGACGCTATGGCGATCCCTGGTGTGCAACACGTGACTTGTGCTCAGAGTTTTCCACTTTCGTCAAGAAGAGCAGCGCCACCAACACGCTGCGGCTAGAGACTACCTGCGAAACGTATGAACAGTTTTCGCTTGTAAACGTTGTTTCTGGAAGCTCGTCGACGCTTAGGGAGGGCAAGAGAGTCACGGGCTGCGCGGAGGCTGCCCTTACTGATGCCGTCGAGCGACTGTTGCCTGCTGAGTTTGTGAAAGGATCCTTGCGGACCTATGAAGCATCCCTTGAGGGGATCGAACCTACTTTCGACACGTGCTCCGAAGACGAGAGAGAATTCTTTGTCTCTTGGAATTGTGCTCGCGGTGCGCGTTTCTTGACTCCCCCATGCATCACCTGCTATTTCGTATCTCTCGTGTGTGTCGAGCGACACCGCGTGGATTTTTTTTCGTGTTTTTGTCTGACCCCACAGAATCGCTTTTCTCTGAATTTGCCTCGCAGACGATTCAGCTTCCGAGGACAAACTTCCCTTCCAATGCACCTTGTATCGCGCGCAAGGAAAGCAGGATGCGACGCACCACTCGTGTGCTTGCCCCAATAGCGCAACACCCTGCGACATGGATGCTGCTCTGGTGAGCCGCAGCTGGCGGGAGCACGTTTCGGAAGGCGCAACTGTCAGTTTATCCAACTACCTTGTGTTCAAACCTTCGAAAGCTGGACTTTTGAGCGTGAGCCTCATGGAGGAACTGAGCACACCATGTGCAGAAGAATCTTCCTACGTGCTGTGTGAAGGTGAGACGCGGGGTGGCTACCAGCGAACTCTTATCTGCCACAACGCAGGGGATTACGGGGGTTTGGTGCCTTCTTTATGTGCTTAGTAGAATGGAAACGGCCTCTCGTGGCTATCTTTTTTGACCCTAGCCTCTTGGTGCTCGATAGAGTTTTGCGATGCTGCTGAGAGCGAACGCTTTTGCGGAATCGCGCTGTTCTCAGCCGAATTAGGCGAAGTGTGGAGACTCCGTGAGCAGACAGTCACTGTGTGCAAGCCATGCAGATTGGTTTCCTTGCTCTTTCTATGGCCACTCCTCAGACATGCGTCAAGACGTCGCTCTCGACAGCATTCCTTCAAGAAGTAAGGCGTGTGGTGGGAAGCGATCCAGATAGAAGCTTCAACCTCTCAAGACTCTCATGTTGTGTTGCACACGTGACGACATGCGCTCAGTCTTGCATCATGCGTGCTCCAGCTGCTGTGCCCCGCTGGCTGGCTCGGGTTGCTGCTGCATGCTGCTCTCTATTGCGTGCATGCATGCAACCCTTTCCGCTCATGGAGTTTGTTTTGTCTCGGGAGAACAGGCTGGATAGCGCTGTGCGGGCTGCATGCGTGCTTCTCCGTGCAGTGCCATCATGCAGCAGCGCGTTTTCAACTGTGGAAGGGGCTTCAGCTGCGGATGATGAAGAATGCAAGACGCAGTGCTCGCAAAAAGCTGGCGGCCTGTGTGCAGCCTCCGCAAACATCTGGCTGTGCATCGCCAGGCAACTGCATGCGGAGTGCTACATTCCGAACAGAAACTCCCTCACCTGCTATATTGAATCTCCTGGCCCCGAAGATGCAAGCCATGGCACTTGCGCATGCAGCACTTCTTCCCTGGGGGCATGCACGTCTCTAGAGGCAGAAGTCACACACTTCGTGTGGCAGGAGAGTCTTTCCCAGTTCTGGGATGGCTCCGAGGGTGTCATTGTGGCAAAGAACAACCGCGCGCTGTGGCCTTCTGCAAAGGCCTCGTGGCACTATGAGGCTGGATCTCAGGCAGGCTTGTGTGAGCAAAAGCGATGGATCAAAGGTGTCTTTTGCTTAGGTTAGTTCCCTCCACCGCCTCTTCCTCCCCCCGCAGCCTTCACTCAGCTGCTCGCCGAACAAGGGTCGTCCTATCAGGATGCAGCTTTTGCAGCTTTTGCAGCTTTTGCAGCTTTTGCAGCTTTTGCAGCTTTTGCAGCTTTTGCAGCTTTTGCGTGATTGGCTTGCTTGCTGACCTGTAATAAAGTTTCGCTGGTTCGCTCGTGTGCAAAACTCCGCAGGCTCCGATAAAGAACTGCTTTCCCAGCGAGGCGGTGCGGCACCAGTAGCAGGGGGAGGGAAAGAGACAAATAAAACCTTCAAAGGTTTTTCTTGTTGGCAGAATCGGGCAGCCGAGTAGTTGCACACAACAAAGCGGCAGGCACCACATTTAAAAAACGGTTTTTTTCGAGCTATACATCTCTCTATATACATATATATTTATCTATATGTATAAATGCATATACGTATATGTGTATATGTATATATGTATACGTACATATATGTATACATGTATATGTATGTGTATATGTATATATGTGTATGTATATATGTATATGTATACATGTATATGTATATTTGTGTATGTATATATGTATATACGTATATATGAATATGTATATATGTATATGTATATATGTATATACGTATATATATGTATGCCTTGTCTGCTGCGGTTTACAGGCTCTCTTGCGCCAGACTGCAGCACTGCTGTAACGACGAATCCCCAGAAGGCAAGCACACTGTACTGTCAGTACTACTGTGGACACGTTGAGTGGGAATGTCGGGTTCTAATGATCCAAAAGCCTACTTTGTACAAGGATATCATGGAGTGCTTCAAGCAGCTACAGACGGAAAGCGCGCTGAAGTATTGCGAGCTTGACACAAGTGCGGCTGCAATGCCACGCTGCGTTTCGTAGGACTGTGCATGCAGAATACCAAGCTTCCCAGTAGAGAGTCCTTGCGTGTGTTACCATTGAGTGTCGAGGCATGAGACACTTCTTTTCTGCTCCTAGCAGACCATAACTGCCTTGCAAACGCTGTGTGCTGTGCTGCGCAACATTCTTCCAGCCACTCAAACACCAACGGCCGGAGGTATGGCATGTCTAGCGTCTTTCGGAAGTCCTCCTAGAGCGAGCTCAGGAGACTCTCTACACTCCCCGACGTCAAAGCAAGCTCGACAGACAAGCAACTCCACCCCTTTTCCTCCCCCCTCGCTTCACCCCCCCTGCCCCCGCTGCATGCGATCCGATTGCTGCAGCTGCCAACATGGCCGTTTCCTGGATGGTGGCAAGCGGCACTGAAAGTCAAGTTTTGTTTGCAGAACCCATTTATCCTCCCCCAGTTGTTTTCTCGGGAGCACCGCAAGCGCTAGCGGGAGTTCCCAAGCTAGCCATATCCGCAGTGACGTCCTACAGCTTTAAGGTGCAAGCCTTCGGAAGTATTTGCGGGTGTAAGCTGCTCACCGATACACCTAAAACGATAGCACTTGCGTTGCGCAGAGCGAAGATATTTCCAGCTCTTTAGCACGATGGAAAGAGGCGGAGAGGCAATTGTGCAAGGGGCTCTTTTTTTGCGAGACGTGTGTCGGCGCTTTTGATCTGCAGCTTCACCTCAAGCAGCATCAGCGGAGCTTAAAGTCGTGACCAGCTACTTAGCTCTCCCGCCAGGGCAGTACGTTGCGAAGCATTCGCCGATTCGACTTCTTGTCGGCAGTTTGAGCTTGACGCAGCTGGGAGCCTTCCAAATTCGCATTCCATTTGCGATTCAGCATCCTTCGAAGGTGAGAAGGCGAGGCTGCGTGGGGTGGCTTTCTTTCAGTCGAGCGCTTCTTCCCCCCCTCCCCCCCTTCCCGCTGGCTGCCGTCCTGCAGGAATTGGCGCTCTTCTTTCAAGCTCACCTCTGCACCGTTCGAGAGGGGCCTCCTGTTTCTGTTGCTCGACATTTAGCAAAGCAGACGGGGTCGACCTGCATGCGTGCCACTCTCCGCAGGCAGTTATCCTCTTAGAACCTCAAGCCGCTACAGGGCGGTTCCCTGCGGTGATTTTGGCGGCTTCTGCATTTAATCTGCTCGAATTAAATGCGCAAGGCCTTCAAGCGCGATTGTCGTGCACGGAAGACTTCGCGTCGATAACTGTAGGCTACTTGATTGCCGACTTGTCGGAGGCTGGATCGAAAAGCAGTCCGCTGGCAGCGTCGCTAGGAGGCCGGTCCTTAGCGGTGAGTTATTTAGGGGAGAGTGGTAATGGAACGAAGATAAAGAGGGGGGGCAAGTAGAGGGGGTAAGTAGGGGGGTAAGTAGAGGGGGTAAGTAGGGGGGTAAGTAGAGGGGGTAAGTAGGGGGGTAAGTAGAGGGGGGCAAGTAGAGGAGAATTCAGTGCAGCGTAAAGCTTGTTTGAATGCGGCACGTCAAACCCCCCCTTTCCTTGTACGACGGGTTAGAGGGGCAGGAAGCGATTGTGGGCAGGAAGCGATAGCTTTAACCCTGCGAGGCAATAATGCAAACTGCAATATCCTTTGTTGGGCATTCTGCTCCTTCCTTCTCCCTCGACAAGCAAGCCAATCCTTAGCTCCTTCCAGGGAGCAAGCCAATCCTTGGCTCCTTCTAAGGACCTCACACACTGTTGTATGTATGTGCCGACGACGTGAAGATTCGCGCAGGGCTAGTGCGCGGAGAAGGTGGCCGCACAAAAAGCTGTCGAGAGGGAAACACGAACTCTCGCTCGGTGAGCTAGCTGGCATCGGGATGCTGTTCTGTTGCGCTGCTGCTCGCAGCTCTTCGATTCGACACAAGTCGATTTGGCAGCCATACCGTTCCCCGAGAACCTGCCCACGTTCTTTACCCCCCACTTTTTTCCGCAAGTCGCAAGAGTTGGCTTTGACGGAAACGAGAAGTACTCCATCCAGTGGAAGGCAAGCGCAGACAGTGCAACGTGGACGCCATCCGCCTGGATGGCCTTGTGCGGCACAGATGAGCTCTTGTCTTTGATGCCTCACTCCATGCTGACGTTTACGGGATTGTACATCGACGCCAGTAAGCACTCCGGCAAGGCCAGACGAGCGGCATTAGGAAATAATAATCTGAATCGACGGCGTTATGTACCGCTGCCCCTTTCAGAAAGCTTCAGAGCCATCGTGAAGACATGCATTCCACACCAAAAAACGGTCCTCCTTTTTTCAAGGCCGCAACACACGTGCAAAATTGCTTCGTGCACGCTGCATTCGCGGCTTGTTTGACATATGCCATGGTTTGTCAGTTGAGCTGCATTTGCGGCATGTTCGACATATCTCATGGTCTGTCATTTGAGGTGCATTTGCGGCATCTTCGACATATGCCATGGTCTGTCATTTGAGCTGCGTTTGCGGCATGTTCGATATCCCATGGTGTGTCAGTTGAGACACGTTTGCGGCATGCTTGATATCCCATGGTGTTTCAGTTGAGACACGTTTGCGGCATGTTCAATATGCGGTTTTTTCCGTTTGCGTGATCTTGCAGTTACTCAGATGAGCGCAACCTCCCGTAAGTGCAGTTTTGATTGCCTTTTGGCCGTGGCAACCTCGTTTTTCACGGTTCTACTTCTTCTCGCAGAGGCGCAGCTGCCGCGTCTCATGACATGCTTTTTACACACCACTGGTCACTTTATGACCGTCATTCTGCTGTTCTTGCCTCGGCCTCGAACATCTGCCTGCCTGTGGAATTTGTGCTGCCGCAGCGTTGAGCAGCATCTGCAATGTCAAAGCAATAGAGGTTTGCTCGCACGCAATGCGTTTTCGTACTTGGTCCTTTCCCCATGTGGCAGCCCTGCCTCCCACCCCCTTCCCCCCTCTAAAGATATGAAAATCAGAGCTTCGCAGAATGCAATTTCAATGTGTCAGAGAGACAAACGCCCATAAAAATGTTCTGTGTAGGACAAGGCCTTGACCGACGCAGAATGCACAGAAATGTGCTCGGGAGTCTTTCAACTGTACTGCTCCAATTCATCAAATCCTGCATATTGTATTGAATTGCATTCTCCAAAGGACTTCCTTGATTCTTGCACCTTACCACGTAGGTTGCAGCAAACCACCAGTCCTAGACAGCCACAGAGACACTCTTCTGCTGTCTAAAAGTTCATGCATTTCGCCCACTCGCGTTTCTTCTGGCGCTCAGGGTATCTCCCCATGTACATGCGTGTAGGCCACACGCAGCCCGTGCACAAACCCGAAGTGGCGCTTGAAGAGTCCTCTTAATCAAATGCCGACTTTCTCAGAGCTTTCTGTTCATGTGTGTATGTATGTGTGTATCTTTGTGTCTGTGTATCTATGTCTCTGTGTATCTATGTCTCTGTGTATCTATGTCTCTGTGTATCTATGTCTCTGCGTATCTACGTGTCTGTGTATATACGTGTCTGTGTATCTACGTGTCTGTGTATCTACGTGTCTGTGTATCTATGTGTCTGTGTATCTACGTGTCTGTGAATCTATGTGTGTATGGGTTTATTCGTTGGCGCATTTTCCATGGATTTGCATGGCCCAGGATTTGTAGTCTTGCAATCATGTGTTTGCGATTTGTTTCAAGAGCTGTTGCGGAGTGCCGTGGAGGAAAGTGTGTCGCAGCGCCCATCCTTAACTCTGAAAGGGCTACCTAGAAAAGGCGTTTTTTGTAGTTCTTGTGTTTTGCGTGGCCTCTCTCAGAAGAGGACATGCCTTCCGATGAGGCTCAGGGGGAAACGAGCGGAAAGCGTGAGGAACGTTTGCTGGTTTTTTTCTTTGAGGCAGGACGGTTGTTACTACTTCGAGGCGGTCCTAGGGCCAGCAGTAGTATGCGTTTTCTTTCATTTTTTGCGTGGCATCGCGCGCACGCATGCATGCGTTTATTTACCGCCTCCGTCCGTCACAGCGGGGCTGCTGCTTTTGCTGCAGCAATGGAGGATGCCGAGACAAGCGCGCAGTGTCGCGTAGTCGACATGCGGAAGTATCCCTCAGATCTTGCGTGGAATTCGGCTGCATTTACGTGTGGGTGTCCAAGCCACGCCGTGCCTTGCACGTCGGCTGAAGCGGGGCGAGACTTGGCGTGGCTCCGCGATTTGCGCTCTAAAGGCGGCCTCTGCGAGAAGGCGCCTGCAGAAGTCGTGCAGCCTGTAGTTCAGGAGTATTGGCAGCTGTCTGTGGACGCCTGTTCGCTAGAGTCGAGTGGAAATGTGTATTTATCGTGGATTAAAAAGACGTATCCCGCGTATCCGGATCTTCCAGGACCTGGAACTGGTCAAGAGTCGCTCAGCGGCTCTCACCTTTGTCAGTACAGCACTCCTTTCGTCTTCTGCCCCGGTGAGCGTATGCCTTGGGGGAGAAGGGGTGGCAGTGGCGGCTGCTGCTGCTTGCATGCATGCGTGCAGGAGCTGTGCGTGCCGCTCATTTTGCGGAGCGGCGAGCAGGGGCAGGGTGCTCTTCTTACAGCTGGGAGCCGCGGCAGGCGGGAAGGGCTGCCTGCTGCGGTGAGGCCTTCTGTTGATTGACTCGAGAGGAGTCGAAAAAGAGGCTTCCGCTGCCTTTTTCCTGCAGCAGAGCCACTGCCCTTTTGCTTTTCGAACTGCAGCGCAGGCTACTGGGGAGGAACTCGACGAAGAGAAGAAGGAGGAGGCTTCAGGCAGCGATGCTGCCCTTGACCCCCCTTCCTGCTACGAAAGCGAATGGGGAGACTGGTCCGCCTGCAGTGCGACTTGTGTAGCTGGGGACGGCTCAACTCCGTATCGCCACAGAACAAGAATCCCCCTTGTCGCCGATGGGCTCAACACGGCCGTCAGCTGCATTCTGGAAGAAAGCATGCAGTGTCTAGGACTGCTGCAGCAATGCGAAGGGTCTTGCTGGACGGCCGACTGGTCCCAGTGGAGTGCATGCGCGTTGGTGCTCAAAGACAGAGAAGTCATCAAGGCGAGGCGGCGATACAAGCCGGTATTTGCGGGCGCCAAGTACTGCAAAATCGACGAGATCCAGCAATTCCTTCCATGCGAATCGAGTGAGACAGTGCTCCTCCAACGCACATCACAATGCTCACGACACCCCTCACAGATCGTGCATGTATGTTGAACATGCATTCTCCACATTAGGCCCAGCCATGCAAGTTTCGATGCGCTGTCTTTTTTTATCTCTTTCGCTCTGTCTGTCTCTCGCTGGCAATAGCCTTACAGATGCGCAGACTCCCTCGTATGCACAAATGCTTTTAAAAACCGTGATTTCGAGAGAGCACGCTTGCCATGTGGCAGTGGATGTCTTTTTTTGAACAGAAGACGAAATCCAGGAGAAAGCAAGCGAAGCGGGAAGTCCCCAATTCGCTGAAGTTTTTTCTCTTTCAGAAAGCACCGTAGAAACTTCAGACTGGTCAGGATGCGACGTGCCGTGAGTATCGCTCCTTCGCACATTTTGTCTCTCATGGCGCATGCATCGCAATATGCTTAAAAAGCCCAGCGTTTCCTAAATAAAGGACGACCTAAGGGCACGTTCGAATTTGCTCGCCATGTATGCAGTTGACAACTGCGCTCTGTAAATGGTGGTATGTGGCAAACATTTCCAGCGACTACATAGGACAGTGCATGCGGACGCTGGCAGCTGATTTTTCTTTCTGATGTCTCGTGGGGTACGTACACCCCATGTTAGCTGCTGAAAAGGCCTCTTCAGTGGACTTGCATCTTTTGACCATTCTGCATGCCTCAGGTGTTTACTGCCAGCCGTTCATACGGCGGTACAGTTCAGGATTCAGAGAACTAGCAGTCCTGCGTCCTCATCAGGTCGGCGACTACGCATGGCTCGGAATAAAACCCCTTCGCCCCCCCTTCCCACTCCCCGTTTCCCCCGCTTTCCTCAGCTTCTGTCGGATACAGTCTTCTTTCAAGCGTTGGAAGGAGGCGACACATTAGCAGAGACAGGGGAACTGTTTTCGAGAGGCGTGTTAGGGGCTGTGGTGATATCTGCGTAGAAACCCCCTACCGGCATCAGATTTCAATAGCCTGCATGCATGTATGTATGTGTGTGTATCTACATGCATGTGAATGTGTGTGTATGTGTGTGTATCTATATGCATGTGAATGTGTGTGTATGTGTGTGTATCTATATGCATGTGAATGTGTGTGTATGTGTGTGTATCTACATGCATGTGAATGTGTGTGTATGTGTGTATACATGCACGTGTGTGTGTGTATACATGCACATGTGTGTGGGTGTATATACATGCATGTGTATGTGTGTGTGTGTTTTGTGCATGTATGTATGCATGTGTGTGGTGGTCTAAGCGGATGTCGGTGCAGTCGTGACTACGAGACCTTGTGCTAGCGTAGAAAGCCTTGAAGAGTGCAGCAGCGCTTCTTTCGATCTTGGTGAGAGAAGATATGTACGTGGAAGTCGTAAATAAATGTTTGTACGAAAAATACGTGCGACGGCCTGTTCCTGCGAAGGGCAGCGTACAAAGGGTATGTGCTTTCGCTGTGCGCTTCAGACTGCTCTCAAGCGACTCCTGTTCACGTCGATTCTCAGTCCGGTGATGCCTGCGTGAAAAAGTGTGAAGCAGTGAAGCAGGCGTGCACAAAGCTATTAGAAAAGAACGCCTTAGAATCGCCGTTCAAGAGCTGTGTCCTCTCCGAACTTGCGTCCTCGGAGTTCTACCTTACTTGTAAATTCTCTGGAGCTCTCCAGACTGGTAAGGCAACGCTAGAGAGTTGTTAATTTTTCCACTAAACCTGCCGTTCGTGAGCTGGATAGCCGCCACAGGTTTAAATAGCGAGCTTTGTTAAGAGAAAGCCCAGGCAACTTCAAGGCAGTGCAGGGGGCCTCCCTGTTTTGCCTTCTCTTTCATATATATATATTATAGATAGATATACATAGATATGTATATAGGCGGGCATGGCACATTGCATTGCAGTTGGAAACGGGTTTGTCGGGTAGTGCATAGCTTCGAATGCCGCGTGTGTTGCCCCTCCGTCAGCTAGAAGGAGCGCACTTACCCGCTACGCATGCACGGGATACAAGAGAGTATTTGGGAAAAGCACTCTTCTGCTGAGGGCTGTGTATGTCTGCACGGGGGTGTCATGCGGGCACCCTGTCGCCAAGGCGTGTTTTTGTCTGCATGCAGCGCGACAGGTGGCATGCAGACCGACCTTTACCAGAATTATCGATCCAAGCAGCCGATACGCCTTCCTAAAAAATACAGCTCCTGATGAAGAAACGTCGGCAGACACGGGAAGCGTCGAAGATTCGCGCTTGCCCGTCAGCTGTGCGTGCTTGGAGGACGGCCTGGAGCCGTGCAGTGCAGACGACATCGTTCAAGACTGGCTAAATATCCGAAATGCCTTACTAGGGGCTAGTGGGCTTTGCACGACAGCACTTGCCCAAGAACCACTGTGGCAGCGCTCTGAAGAGAGTGCGACAAAAGCTCCAGATTCAAGTATTTTTTTAGCATTTGCAGGTCTGGGTAGATTCCACTGTCCCCTGCATACGTCCATCAAAGACACGACGGCTGACTCTCAGGAGCGCTTCACTTTCACGCAGTTTGCCAGCACGGAGAGCCTCAACGACTTCTGCCAGCACGGACTGAACTATTGGGAAGGCGTAGAAAACCCCTTGACTTGTAAGCCAGCGGCTTTCCGCGATGGGTGTCTACACGCTGCCGCTCCAGACGCTTGTTACAGCCGCTGACAGAGGCGTTTTGCACGAGCCGAGGGACTGCCCTGGCCGCTTGAAGAGCCTTAACTCCAACCTTTCATTGCTTGTGGCTTATTATTATAGCTGCCGCTGCTGAGACGCGCGCAGACACGAGGATGCCAGACTGCTCGGGGGCGATGGCAAAGAACTCCGAAGGACCTGAACCAACAGAAGGCACTGTGTTTTGCCAAGACTTATGCAGAAAGCTGCTACGCGCATGCATTGCCGAAGCTCAAGAGTTTTCGTACGAAGCGTGTTTGATTAGGCCATTTGAGACCCCAGAATTCGCGGACAAATGCACGCTTTCGCCCGGTAGGCTCTCCCTGTTTCTGCATCAGAGAGCTAACCGTTCCATACACCATGCCAGAAGGGCGCGTCCTCTCCTTCACATGTTAGTTTTCCCCCCAAAGCCAACAAAATACGGCGGGATACACAATTAATGCTGCAACCTCGAAGCTCCTTTTTGCTCGTTTGTCACTTGCCGCAGTGGCCGCTGGAAACGGAGTCATTCTATGCAAGGGTAAGAGCGTGCGTAGGCGGCCGAAAAATTCAGCTGCAGACGCCTGTGCTTTCTCTGCCATAAATTCAAGTTTTATTCCCGTCGCCATGAACTCAAGTGTTATCCCCGTCTTTCCTAAATATACGTCCTCTGCACTTCCCTACCATTTTTTTGCATGAGAAGGCGCTTTCTTGCTCTGCTGACAGAAAAGGAACCCAAGTGCGAGTTTACTGAATGGAGCGAATGGTCGGCCTGCTCATTGAGGTAAGAAGAAAAAATGTTTGGCGACTCTTGGCTGCCTCATTCTTGTCATAAAAGTCAGCGCAGTTCATGAGTTGTGCGGCAGGGATCGCTCATATAATACTTCAGTAGGGAGAGCCGTAAGAAGTAGTGTCTTCTGAACAGGACGCGTTTGCCTTTTTCTGGCCGGCAATGCCGCCCTTCAATGAGATTATGGTGCGCAATATTAATGTTGACGGGTTAAATGTCGTCGGTAAAACTTTACCTTTTCCCGTGATTCCTATACGTGCCTATGCTACAATTCTGCGCAGCTGTATTCCAAGTGCCGGAAATGTAAGCTCGTCGGTGCGAATAAGGACCCGCGAAGCGCTAGAGTATGGAAAGAGATCATTTAAGTGCCGTGATTTCTCGCTTGCTGGTAAGCAGCTTGTGTAAGTTTCCTGCGATGCTCGCCTTCGACAAGCGCCTCTGATTACGTGGAAAGTGGAATTGGTGGCCGCCTTGAAGGGTTGTAGGGAAGCAGGTGCAGGAAAACGCACTAGAGTATTATCTGTGAAGGGTTGCTTCCAGTTTGTGCCTGATGCAGGAACGGTGGAGACGAGTGTGTGCTCGGCTACACCTTTTTGCGGTGCGTTGAAATAGGGGCCCCTCGGTTAGGAGATAAGGAATGCAATAACAACTAAAATGCAATACATATACGCGCGCTTTTTGCTGCGCTGTTCCTATTGCTAGCCCTCTGTTTTCATGACGCCACTAGTGAGGGCCCACTGTCCGACTTATCAGCCTTCGAGCTGGGTGACTTGTTTTCGTTTTGCATGTAGTTCAGATGCTGTGTGTGTTCTGCAATACCGATTTCAAAGCATTAGCGTCATTACAATCTCTCACTCGCTTGTATCTCCTCCTCTGCCAGTTCATTTTCTGCATGTACTTTGCGGCTGCACTTGCCAGATCCCAGTGCGGAAAGCGACCTGTTGGTGCCTGCCACGTTTACCACCAAGGCCCCTCCGCTTCTTGAGGATTGGAGCCCGGAAAGCACAACCACAAAGCCACCATCAGTAGATCGGAATAGCATTCCTGCGGACATCACTCCTCAGCGTTGCACTTTTGTTAACATGGACGCGGAAGGCGCGACGAAGGAATACGACATATCAGTGCGCCTGTGATGCGTCATGGGGAATGCCGTTCTAGAACGCTAGCTAGAGCTGTAAAATTTGAAGCAGTACCTCCGAAATGCGCAATCTTGGCTTTTTTCTGCGCGTAAATTGCCTTCAGACCGATTCGTGCTCTTGCCCCAACGGGTACCGACCATGTTTCAGAGGAGAGGCGCTCTTGGCTGGGCAAAACTGGCAGACTGACGCGTACAAACTTTGTGCTTCTCTTTCCAACGGCACCATTGGTGCAAGAAACTTTGAGCAGTACAGTTGCGTTTTCCGCGGTTTTGAGAAAGACCTGACTGTGGATGCCGCGTCGAGCGTCGAGGAGAAGGAAATTTTTTGCGCCAAGGCTAAATACATGCTCTGTGCGGGTGAGAAATCACGGAACTTCATATGGCGGCTGCGTAAAACTTGAGTCAAACTGCTCAGCACAATGGGGTCACCGTCATGCCCGCATAATGGAATAGTTACCGGCCTAGACCCGCAAATGCGCAGAACTGCACCCAGCCACACAGGTATGCATTCAAATATGTAAACGCAATCATAAACTGACTCTTGTTTGTTCTGCTGTGTTGCTGTTGCTCATGCTGAACAGTTAGTGACCCTGGAATCGCGGCTGAAAACGCCACAGTATTTCTCATTACTTGCCTCTGCCTTGGGGCCTTCACAGGCATTGTAGTAGCATACATTTCCCTGCAATACAGCATAGACCTGCAGAAGCTGGTGGGGCTGAGGGGGAGGTATGCAACTATTAGTCTCGAGCTACAGCAGTTGAGGGAGAAGCGTGATGAAGAAGAAAGCGAAGAGGCTCTACTTCTCAACTCCGACGATAAACATACAGAGCCGGATGTCACTCCAGACTCCGTTCCCGCGTACGAGGGTGATGAAAATGACAGTGCGCCCGTGCGGCGAAATTCGTTAAGGAACTTGCAATAATGACAAATGAATGAAGAAAGAATCTCTTTCGGGGAATTCACTCCTCGCACTTTTTGACTCACTGTTCAGAAAAATGTGACTCAGCCCACTTTTCCTCCCCGTCGTGTACTGCTTGTATTCGAAAGGTGAAGGGAGAATGCCTGGATAGTCGATGGGGCAGGCAAGCAGTGCCGCACACAGACTGTAAGCGGCAATATTCCCCCAATAAAGCACGCGGTGTTGGTTTAGTGCAAACTAGGGGGGAGACGGCTGCCTAGCCCCGCAGGACCTGTAGCTGCTTTTAGTGTACTTCATCTTGATAGGTCGTCTTGTGCTCCTTGTGTTGGCTAGGGCAGCCTCCGAGACATTAGTTACTGCTTCCGTGCATCCATCAGGGAACACTTTCTGGAGGGATACCCGTGCCAACTTCGCACACGCGTCAGTGTGCCTCCTGCTTCTCTTCCTTGAGGCATTATGCATATTTAAATGCTTGTGTGCAAATAGTCAATAGAGCCAAACTGGTGTACAACTTCAAGATCTTATAACGGTCCACTAAGGGTCCCCACAGGGTTAAAACACTTCAGCCCCCTACCCACTAGAAGACTGACCAGAAAGTTGTTGAAGGTCCTTTCAGAAGAGCTCCCCCGCCCTTCCTTGCTCTGTATCCCGAGGTTCCGGCAAGAGGGGACAGAGAGAAGCAGCTAGGGTGCATGTGCGTTGCTGCGAACTCAACTGCTTAGAAACGCTCACAGGGAGCTTCACATCACATCCCATAACGCGGAGGCATGCAATTTCGATTCTCATCCTCAGCTGAGTAACTCGACGCCTGAACTAATAGAATGTGTTTGCAGACAGCACAACGCAACGATACACTCAATTTTTCACTGATTGTGTAGTAGCTAGGACATGGTAGTGGAGAGTGCGTTAATGTAGCCTTGGCCTCTATAGATGTATGAATTTTTAGTACAAGGTGAGGCGTTCATTTCGTACAAAGATTACGGCATAACTTCCAGCTGTCCAGCATTTTCCGATGACATGCAGCCCTTATGTGCACTCCTCACCTCTTCCATATTTCTGTGGCTTCCAGGACTATTCATTGCGTAGCAGCTCATTGCAATAACCCTTATTTCTGCATTGCCTCTTACGGCTCATAAAACTATAATGCCATCAATGCCCAGAGAAAACACCGCCAAAACAGCTTTAAATTCGTGGGAACGTTCAATATATGAATTTTAACCCATTCAAGCTGTGGCTGACGTATGCATGCGTAGCGGAAACGCGCAACCCTCTCAAGTTCGGTCGGAACCAACATGGCCATAGAGGCTGCAGAAGCAACTCTGTTTTTAATAGGGTTCGCCGCTGTTTAATGTGTACAAATCGTCCTAAAACTCGTTTTTTGGGTACCCTAGTGCTTCATAAGTCTGAATTACTCGTGGCCACAAACGGTAGCTTAGGTCATTCAAGGACCACGGCCGGTGCATGCAACTTTACTGGAGCTCAGATGACTAGCTCCTATAGAGGAGCACTCGTATAATGGTCAGAGGCGATAGATTGTCATGCCTTATTTGAATGGCTGTCCGGGCTAGTGAGGACGAGTGCAGCCTTCTTCTTCCCTGGCTTTCCCGTTCCTCGCTAAACTTCAACTTTTCCTGCATACGAGCGAAGTAATCGGCGGCGTTCGCTTCCTCCGCATGCTGGATCGCACGGATGCATCTACGCTCATCATCAGAAAGAGTAACACTGCGGCCCATGGAAAGTCTTTGGGCCCCCCCCTGATCCCGGAGGTTCCTACCGTCGCGCAGCCATTAAAGCGTTGGTCGCATTGCAGTTTACTTCCTTCTGAGCCAGCGTCTGCAGGCACCTAAAGGCATCCATCGTTTGATTAATGACGAATCAAACGATGGATGCCTCTGCACCGAAGATTCTTTCGTTTTCTCTGAAAAAGAAAACGCCCCAGGTGGAAGCTGACGGTGCAGCCCATGGCGACGCCAAATGTGAAGATGCACCATCCACAAGGTTCCGGTTTAGTGCAAAGCTAAAAACAGGAGGCAACCACTCATCACCTCCTCTTCCACGGGCACTGGGGTTCGAATGCACCAAGGCCGAGACAGGCGCACCGAGGGCACAGGCTTTGCTTAGCATCAGCGAAGGACGACTGGAAGTTGAGGGAGGACAAATAGAAGAAGCCTTCCCTCGAGTCATTCCTTGCCGCAATCAGCTGCCTTTGTCAGACTACCGAATGCGGATTTTGGACCAAAGCAGCTTGAGTATTGCAGATTGTGCGGAAGCTAGGGATTCTACAGCCCCAGCTGTACATACACCCGAGGTCAGCACTAATGCAGATTCGACCGCACCCCATGAGTCCCATGAGCCTGCGGCACCCGTTTGGGGTCTGCAAGTGAAGCGCGTGAAGGCTTTTCGCCAGGAGAAGCAGCAAGAAGCTGTAGCGAGTAGTCCCCAAGTTCGAGGCATAAAGAGCGAGCCGAGTGTCGAACCTGTGCATCCGACCGTAGCAACGGCTGCTGCGGCGGAAGTCAAGGTCAAGAAGGAGGCCTCGATCCCTGCGCGTAGCCGGGTGACGGATGAAGAAGCTGCTGCTTCCTTGATTGCAGAGGCAAGGGGAGAGCGTTCGTCGTCTCGCGTAGTGCCCCTGTTGGCGCGAAATTCAGTCTTAGCGGAAGTTAGGCAGAAATATAGAGGCGAGGTCTCACAGAGGGGGCCGAGGCAGAAGCAGCAGGCGGGAGAACCAGACAAGGTGCTGCTCCAGCGGGAGCTCGAGCTTTTGCCGGATGCCCCTTTGCCTGGCAGTTCGGCGTATGAGGCAATGCCAGTGGAGGAGTTTGGAGCTGCTATGCTGCGAGGCATGGGCTTGAAGGACATTCCACCCTCAGAACCCCCAGTCAAACGCAAGGCATACACCCGGGCTGGCTTAGGCAGCGAAAGAGAAATCGACAGACTCAGGGAGAAGCTCGAGCAGCATAGGCGCATAGAGGAAGCCACAAGGAAGGGGCAGAAGGGCTTCATTCCGCTGAAAACAGGCACACGACCAAGAGAATGACATGTAGAAAGCAGTTTCACTCACACTGCCGTCAACAAGCAGTTTTACCCAAACCGCTGTCGTGTTTGGTCTCAAGAGCCGTTTGAATATGGGGCGACCCTGCAAGCGAACGCCGTTGGGGGAGCGTGTGAACTGTCAACTGTTGTTGTGGACAGTGTGTCTGCTGTGTCTCTGCTGCGTCGCTCTCCCTTGCGCGCCTGTGTGTTTCTGTGTACCAAATACGAGGCGAGGTGGGATGCGCGTTAGATAGCTAGTTTTTCTCTCTTTCATATGCTCAGAGGTGGTCTGGAAACGGCAGAGCTGTTTCTCCCTTCGTGAGCACGCTTGCCCTTTTGCATGCTCGCAGCGGTGCAATGAAGACAGGGCTTATTGCGGTGTAGTTGTATGTAGATGGATATATGTGTATAGGATGCCCCTGGGAAGCGCTGAGCGGGGAGAGAGAGACAGAGCAAAAAGTAGAACCGCATGCCCCTCATACCCTAAGGGGTGGCTACGCGCCGGATTGCGAGCCGAAAGGAAAAATTACCAGAGAGAAGTGACATCGCTCTCATCGATCGCAGGCCCAACGAGAGCGGCACCGCCGTCCGCGCTGCTGTGCTGCTGCTTACAAGGACAAACCACACGGGAGACATACAAACTTGGGTGTGTAGAGTGGCGTGCACAATAGTCCGATCCTGTGCAACTTCATCATCTCCTCGACCCTTCTTCTCTCCCTTCGCTCTGGAAACGCGATGAACTGCCTCGACAGCCGCGCAGCGAGAGGGCGGGAAACGTAGTTAGTCCCTCGAGTGCACCCTTCGAGCCACGTCGCATCGGAAGGGTTGGAATTCAAATAACCGGCTGCAACTGGTGCTGTGAGAAAGCACACGTTTGCCCGCGCGAGCCCCACAATGTGACACTCAATTTCTAGGGCCAGCATAGGGGGAAACTTGACTCCAGACTCAATTTAGACTGGGTAGAAAGCAAGTGCGAGGTTTTTAAAGAGGTCCTTTTATCCCGTCTTTTTCCCTCAGAGCTCCTTGGAGCAGCTACGGGATACACGCGCACCACGCACTCGGTGGATTTACACGTCGTTGAACCCAGCGGAAAGATGCACACAAATTGGTGTCTTCTTGCCTCAGCCTAACCGTCGTGCAGTCTGCAGTGGAGCCACGAGTCATGACTCGAAAAACTAACGAGTCAACACTTGCCTATACCCCAGGTAGAACTAGCATGGTTGAAAGTTCTTAATCTAGCTGAGCCCGCTACGTCTCGGTTTATCCTGCGGGTGCAGGAGGTGCAACTGTGCACAGTCCTTTTCCCTGGCAGCCACAACAGCTAGTACCTGAGCTAACGTCCAGCAGCAGAAAATGGACTGCGGTGCTGCAAGCGCTCTATTGTGGCCAGCAGTCTCTCTCTCTCTCTATCCGCGTTTTCGTGGGTGCATTTTTTGAACATGAGGTGTACGGGGAGCCGCATGTCCGGCTCCTGCGGCTCTGGAGCGCTACGTATTCCTAAAAGAAGACAGGGGCTTGGTGTTTCTTGCCTTGCAAGCGTCTGTGAGGGGCTTAAATGTAGGGTATGGGAGGGAACGTTCGGGCGGGGAGTGCCCCCTAGGGGGCAGGGGGGGTTACGGCAGGCCCGTTCCACTCTCCCTCTCTCTGCTGCTCAGGTTCGATGAGGAATACGACATTTGGACAAAACATTCAAATAATCCTCCTGGCTTCGCACTGTGCGCCTAATGCACACGTAGTGACGGCCGTTGCCCTATCCAGTCCAGCTGGGCGTGCCGGCTGGTTGCAGCCCTCGTCGTCGTGTCTCTTCCTCCGCGAGAAAGCTGCATCCGTTAAAGCTGGAAGAAAGGCTCATAAAGCAGCAGATTCTTTGTTAATTAGGCTTAGCAGTCATGCGAAAAGGGGCACCGGGTGCGCAACAGCGAATGCTCCAGCGTCCCACGCAGCAGACGATGTGCTACCCAGGGGCTTTCGCTGCCCCCACAGCAGACGATGCGCCGCTGATTTTGGGCCCCTTGGCTTCCCCTCTTTCCTCCCCTCATGTCTGCCCCTTTTGTTTCGACGGTTGTCCTTTGATTTGCTTCTGGCCGCCCTGCGGAGTGCCGTGAAAAGACGCGAGCGCCTGTATATGCACCCTGGGACCGGGGGTGTATATACGACACCTCTGCATGCCTTGCGGGCGGCAGCTGTTCCTTCGCAGCGGTCACAACCGCCCTTGCACTTTCATTCCTCGACCCCTGGGGTTTCGCTCAGCAGTAGCGGAGGCAGAAACTCAGAGGAGAGGCTGCGCTGGCTGGCTGGCCACAGCGCTTCCCTGCCATCCCATCGACCAGCGGCGGCTCTCCACGGCGCGTCATCCTCGAGCATTTCAACAGCGTTCGCGCAACGACAGGAGCTTCTTTAGCCCTCTTTTTGTTTCCCTGACTTTCGACGAAAATGGAAAACGGCGCATCCGGCCGACTGTACGTCGGCAGCCTCCCCCCGCACTACACGGAAAAGGATGTATACAGGGAGTTTGAAGTATGCGGACCCGTCCTAAAGGTGGAACTTAAGAAAGCGGTAAGAAGTAGAGCATCTCAGCGCGCTTCTGCAGGAGTCTCTTGAAGGCCCTCTCAGTCTTTCCACTTTTGTGCTGAGGAGGGCCCATACTCCGTCGATCCCGCTTCCTTTGGGGTTCTGCTTGCGCGTAGTAGGGGCGTCTGCTGGCACAGGTGGACGCGTGCCGCGTCTTCCACTTCGTCTTCTCCGACGCAGTGTCTGCTGCTGCACGCCTGCCTGTATGTGAATGTGTGTGTTTGTGTTTGCGTGTCTGCGTGGGTCGGCTTCTGGCGCATGCAGTCCAACGGCACTGGTTACGCCTTCATCGAGTTTCAGGATCCACGGGATGCCCGCGATGCGATCGAGCAGATGCACGGGAGGCCACCAGCAGGCGACAAGGACGGAGCGCCTCTGCGTGTGGAGTTGCCGAACAACCGGCGAGATGTCGGCAGGGGTGGTGCTGGGGGAGGTCGCATGCCAACTGGAGTGAAGCGGGGAGACTATATCTTGGAGGTTGCAGGCTTGCCGCCGACGGGGAGCTGGCAGGATCTGAAGGATCATTTTAGAGTCTGTGGAGACGTGGGCTACGCAGACGTGTGGGGAGGCGGCGATCCGGATGCCCCCCGTTTTGGTGAAGTCAGCTTTTTCTCGCGGCGTGACATGCTGGATGCCTTGGAGCGTTTGGACGGGAGCACTTTCAGGAGCCATCAGAACGAGAAGTCTCGCATTTCCGTCCGGGAGAAGCGCACAGCGGGCGGAGGAGGAGGCGGCCTTGGTGACGATCATGAAGAAGATCGAGGAGGGGGCGGGCGGGGAGGGGGCTACGCGCCTCCGTATAGTCGAGGAGGGGGTGCTGAGCGAGACGCATATTACGGCAGTAGCGACAGCAGGAGGATGGGGGGTTATGGAGGCAGCAGTGGGGGGGGAGTGGGGGGGGGAGGCAGCTATGGGGGGGGGTACTACAGCGGCCGTGCAATGCATCGCAGCCCCTCGCCTAGAGGAGGCGGCGATGACTATTACGGAGATCGAGGATACAGGAGACCTCGAAGCAGATCAAGGGATAGGAGAGGGGGCGGAGGAAGCGGCAGTGGTGCTCCTGGATATGGCAGCTCGAGCTATGGAGGGGGGGGGGGCGGTTCTTCGCCTCCCCAGCGACATCGCGATGACTACGGACCTCCTCCGCCCCACAGGCGGTATGAGGACAGAGAGCGGCTATGATAGAGGCAGAGCGTGCGCGGCACTTTGCCGTGTACAGACAGACAGAGAGAGACTCGAATTTAGGAGGACAGCAGCGCGGAGATGTTGGAAGAGGGATGATGGATGGATAGATGCAAGGAGGGAGGGGGGACGGCGCCACAGAACAGACAAACATACGGACAGATGGATGGACAGATGGATGGATGCATCGCCGATTCTTAGTGTGCAGGCGCTTTGACGGAGAAGAGAATAGCGCGCGAGAGGGCTGGCTCGCTCGCTGATGCGGGTGCGGGTATGCCTGTGTTTTGTTAGCCGTTCCTCAGGGGAGGAGGCGCAATGCAGGGTGTGGTGCTGAACAATGGGAAAGTTAGTCGCAACAGAAGAGCGAGGAGAGAGTCTTCTTTGAAATGGCCGCAAAAAGTCGCCTGCTGTTGGTTGGCGGGGTTGGTAAAGAGGGGAAGGCGGGAGGGAGGGAAACGGGGGGGTAGAAAAAAAGGAGGGGATGGAAGCGACAAGGAGTATTGAGGGGCGAGCAAATCAAAGGGCGGCGCGAGGCAGTGGCGCAGGCTTGTAAAGGATTACAGATAGATGCGTAAGGGCAACTACTTTCAGAGCAGAGCTGCTGGAGGGTTGCTGCGTTTCTCTCCTTTTCGGTTTGTTTCATTCTGTCGTTTGTGCTGCCCCTTTGTAAGGCTCTGCGCCATATGGCCGTTCCCCGCCTCTCTTGCCTCACTGGCGCATAGCGTCAGCTCTCCGTGGAATGTGGGGTCATAAGAAGCGGGCGTTCAACAACACACACGTTACTTGGAGGACGGATAGAGGGCCAGTGCTTCCTCCCTCTTCCACCCTGGCTAGAACCTCGTGCACCATATATACACATCCATACATACCAATATATATATATATACATATATATATATATCTACATTTATGTATATACATATGAACACGTACGTATATACATCCCGACATATATATATATATGCGGGGAAAACGCCGCACGACCTTGCGGCGAAAGGAACGCTGGCTCCTGGATTCAAACCGAATGCACGCAGTAGTGGCGGAAATGCGAGGCGGGAGCCTAAGGGGCGCGTGGGGAAGGTCTCGAGGGATTTTTTGTCTCGGTGTAGGAATAACGGCCGCTCAGGCACAGCACACATCCAAGCGCGATAGGCTGTAAAATTCTCACGTCGGGGCGAGCACACGGCCACTGCCCGTGTGGGCTTTCCGGGGAGCCGGAGCGCGAGATCGCCTTTTTAAAAAGGGCTAAGCAGCCTGCCTCCCTCCGAACCGTTCGTTGCGGCACAGAGGGTTGGAGGGGAGGAGCAGGGTGAGGGATGCAGACGCAGAAGGGGAGGGGGTGGGGGCGAGTCTTGCCGCCTTGTAGAGGCCTTGCCTTCGATAATTGCCACTCCCCCACGAAATACATTCGCAGTGTGCAGGCAGGGGAGCCTGCTGCGGGAGAAGCGGAGCTCCCATCGGCACTTTTAGGACGCACAGGCAAAAGTTTTCCCTGCCTTCTAAAGGACCTTGCGTCCAGGGAGTCGTCGGTCAAGCCGCAGTACCTAAGGTTGCAGCAACCTTTCAAGGAGGGGCGAGGGAAGGAATTTGCGCCTTGATGAGCGGAAGCCACGCGCGCAACCGGCGTCATATGGCCCTGGCTGCTGCTGCTGCCAGTTGTAGCTCCAAGGAAAGTATTCTTGGGGAAGGTCCCCTCGCAGAAGCTGAGGAATACCGCCGTCCGACTGCACCGCATGCACAGCATTGCTCGCGCGTGGAGAGAAGGAGGGGCGGCAGGCAGAGGGAGCTGCACACAAAGGCTTGTCCATACGTTTGTAGCATGGGGAGCACAACATACTCAGAGAGGGAAGGGAAGGGGAAAGCCCCCGTCGTCTAGGATGACACGACCACCGCACCAAGGGGCAAGCTGTTTCGCCTGGCATCTATCCGTATTGCCTTAAACGCACTCCCCCTAGGGATCTGCTTGCTGACTGCGGACGCGTGCATGCATGCGCTTTCCATGATGTCTGATCAAGCCTAGCCACTGCTCCTTTCTACCACTGTCATCAAACCCCTTCGTGAGGGGTGTTAGCCTTTCCCCCCCAAACCCCCTTCTCCTAAGCCCTCTCCCCCTCGACCCTCCATGTGCGCCGCCTTCGCGCGCACGCCCATCCGCCTCCTCCCTTCCATTTGCAGCAACTGCGTCTGCTTGGCTAGCTGCCTCGCGGGAGGCGCTGGGGGGGGTTACATGCGCCCGCGACGGGGTTTGGCGGCCTTTGACGAGCTCTCGAAAGGCTTTAGGCCTCGTTCTTTCGCTGCTTGGACGGCCATTCTTTTCTAAATCGGGGTCCACTAAGCAAAGGGAGAAGAACTTTTCCCGTTCCTCTCCCCCTGTGGAGTTCACCCCCAACTTGCGCATCCTACTAAACCTAGTTCTTTTCCAGAGGATGCCTCGTGTCAACACTGGGGCACTGGAGAAGGCCACAGAGAAAGGCACGCGCACAACACGCATCCGCCCCGCTTCTTTTCGCCCTTCTCCCCCTGCTTACACAGTGAGCCTGCAAGGCTGCCTAGCGCTCAGCGAGAGGTATCTGCCACCGAGGAAGAAGCGCAGCAGCCCAAAGAAGAAGGGTGTCGCAAGGGGCCGGCAGAGCACACGAAACATACAAAAACGATGCGATCGATGCGCGCACCCGTGCTGCTGCGTGAAGCGTGCAGGCAACAACAACTGACACCCCTCTATGAATAAAGGTTTGCTGGCCAGTTCGCCAGACGCCATCCAAGGGGGGCGGAAACATTTTATCGCTGTATGCGACTCCCCTCGCCAGAGCAGACAGACACACCAAAAAGAAGGCAGCGCGGCAGCCGCTCCACCTCCCACGCGGCGTCGAACGCGTGATGAGAAGGCCACCGATACTTTGCAAGAAAGGTTTCACGACAGGGTGCACGTTATGCCCGCCCCCTCCCTTTCATCCCCCAAAGAAGTCTTGTTAGGAGCGAACCAGAGTTAGCTTCTTAGCTCCGATAGTGGGAGCACGCACACCTACAGAGCTTCAAAGGCCCCCTATCGCCTCTTTCTGTGCTCTATGGCATGCTTCCTCAGATGGCAGCCCTCTCAGGAGTGTGCAGCTAGGCCCCAGCGGCATACAACGGAGGCCACTGTAATCTAAACGGCGCGAATCTCGCGGAGAAGGAGCTCCAGAGCGTCGCCTACACACACCACACAGCAAACGCCTTCATTCCATGCACCCTTGAGGAAGCGAAATACGGCAGCAGACACCCCCGGGGGCCCCCTGAAGAAAGGCAGCATGCATGCAGTTCCCAGTGTGGGCAGAGGGTGTCAAGAGGGTCAAGTGAGGCGTGGAGAAGCTCCTCCGCCTCAGGTGTACTGCACATCCCGCGACGCATTTACATCAATTTCCACACCTACGCTACGCACACACAGAGCGAGGAGAAAAGCACAAAGTACCTAAATGCGCTGCATTCTCATTCAGTTCTGGAAAGACGTCAGCCTCGAGGCAGCAGAGGTCATCCCGTATTCGATCTGGCCCCAGAATCGCAATAAGCTGCTTTCGCTGGCTGCATGCAACACGCAATATGTACATACGCACGGTAAACGATTCGTTGCTGCAGCTCCGAACGCCAACTGCTGGATGCTCTCTACTCAGTGAGGCGACGGCCAGCGTCTGCTCAGTGCCAAGCACGCAGCACCCACGAAGCGGCAGCGACATAATTATATAATAGGGACGAACGGGAAATAGCTCGTTTTTTCGACAAACAACAAGAGGCGCATGCAAACTAGAACCCCAGAAGCACCGTGGCATCGACGCTCAAGTAGACTTTTAGCAAGCAGAAAAAGCACCACAAAGACGCGGCTCTCAAACCGCTGGATCCTCGTCAAGCGAGGCCTTCCTTTCTTCCCTCTCCCTCCCCTTCCGGGGTGTCTGTCTGGCGTCTCACGCAGCAGTAAGGCTCAAATCTTTGAGGCGAAACGTGACGCTGCAGGCGGACGGTACAACAGGAGACACTTGAGGGCCTCCCCAGGCAACCTGCACGGAGAGCCGTCATCGGCGCGCACGAGGCACAGCCAGCCTTTGCACAGCATTCTGAAAAACCTTCCTCCCTCCCTCTCGCAGCCACCCCTTCTTCGGCAGACCCCTCAGCAGTTGGCACGCAAGGGGAAGCAAGTCAACAACGGGAGAATGCAGGGAGAAAAAGAGGGGAAGGCGCAAGGGTCGGGTGGGAGGGCGCAAGACGACGCACGGTATACCGCAGAGAGTGGCGGAAGTCAAATCGGCTGTGTGCTGCACGAAAACACGCAGGAAAAGAAAGCTGCGGAGAAGCAGTCTTCTACAAAGGGGGTGGGTGGGCGGTGTGAAGGCAGATTGGACTGTTTCCCCCCCTCTCCCTTAACCTCGAGCGCCTCTGCATGCAAGCACGACGGATTGCGTTTGCACACGCAGCAGCCACCGGCCGCGGGGCATGAAAGACGTGCAATTTAAAAGCTATGCATGCATGCGTGCAAAGCAGCGCGGCAGCCAACAGCACAACACCCATGCGCACAGACACACAGCACCAACGCACTTGCGGATCGGGGGAGATGCGCCTGATGCTGAAGCCGCGTTAAAGGCGTTATAAAGGCACGCCCTTGAGGCTTCCTTTCGTCTGATGGCTCCGTGTCATGTGTTAAGCTCAGCAAGCGTTTCAGCTGCGCGCAGTCCAGCAGCAGCAGCACACATGCACCAGGACGCAGCCTATCAATCCCATCAACAGCAAATCAAACATCTATCTACGAGGCACTGAGGCGGTGCGAGCCACTGGCCCCCCACTACTAACCCCCCTTTCCAACTCCTAAGGTATTGCGTCGAAAGCGTCAAAAGCAGATACAGTGCCTTCGATTTGCGCTACACAGCAGCAATAAAACAAGCGCAGAACTCTTATCAGAATCCCTTTACCCCCGCCGTGCCTTACACGCATGCCACACGTCACCCACTACCCCCCTACACGGCAAAAGGCTATCTCAACCCTGCCCGCCCTCTGCACCGCATTCAAAAAACAAAGCAGACGCGAAAACAAGAACGCCAGGAAACGACATTAGCGGAGCAAACAGCCAATCTTCAAACGTACCCTATACTTGTTGCGAAATACAAACATCCGCCTTGTCTTTCGGCCTTTCACAGCGCGATACGTTTCTGTGCGGATCGTCTCAGCGATTGCAGCAGGCGGCTCGGCAGTTGTCGCATGGTCGGCAAGACGGAGAGGGGGCATCCTGCATAGCAGAGATGCCATATCCATATACATATATATATGTTTTTAGATGGCCATGCATCACCCAAGAGCAGGAGACCCTCCAGAAGGATTCCTCGGCGCGTCGAAGCACATCGACGCTCTCTCTGGAGAATAGGGAGTATATATATATGTATATATTGCAACATGCATTTTCAGTGGCAGAACTAGAATACCACCAGCAACAGCCCTAGCCGCAGAATCGGGGAGTAGGCCTCCAACTTACGAGGCTTTCGTCTCGAGTTGCTCCGGATTCTTTTTCACGACTTCCTTTTTACCCCGTTTCTTCTTTGTCCGGATCGAGGTGTACATCCACCCAAAGGGGTGCACCGAGAGCGCCCCTGAGGCGTCTGCCCTTTCGCCAAGGACGAGTTCGCCACAAATTCGCTCCTCGGAGTCTCCCAGCCGTGTATACACGCTGCTAGGCCCATAGAAAGCCGGCAAACGTGGCTGCCGAGACTGCAACACGCCCACTCCTACCGGATTCGAGGCATTGTTGCGGGGCTTATTACCCGCAGCAGAGACTGCTGCGGTGCTTGAAGCCACCCAGAGACACGCAAGTGTCTCTTTCTGGGTGCCCTGAGGCGTGCTGCCGACGGTACGGGATAAGGGGGAAGCTAACAGGCAGGTTCGCTGCAGCAAAGGACCCCATCTCCCGCCGCACATTTGTGCGGAGGCTTCGCAAGACAAAAGAGCAAAAACGAAAGCGATGAACCGGGGTGACGAGGACTGGACAGCCCGCCGTCTGTGGAGGGGTGTGCGTCAAGGCAATGGGGGAAGGTGAAATCGACACGGCCTCGCTCAGCAGAAACACACGTTGCCGCGTTGTGTTCACTCAGAGCCTGAGAAACGCCCTGGAGGAGCACGGGACTGGGGAGATCGGCGGCAGACTCGAAACAGAGTACGACAGAGCTGAGTGACTTCCCACCGACAAAACGCCCTCTTTGCTACAGCTGCAAGTGTAATATTCAGTTTCAAGCGCACATACGGAGCACGAAGGGAGCATGCTGCTCTTTCTCCCGCCACAAAGTTACCTCTGACATAGTCCCGGCCTGCGGTGTATGTACTGCTGCACTGCGCCAGCCAAACACTGGAAAGCTGTCGAATTCTACCGGTTTTTAGCCGTTTTAAAACCCACTGAAGCTTTGTGCTGTCGAGTGATCCAGCGCGTATCACGAGTTCTCCGCTCGACGACCCTGGGGCTGGCCACGGGGGGCCCTTGTCTGTTGACGTCAGGATCTACCGCCTAAAATCGTCAGCACCGGAATTCTGCTCATAAATTCCACATGCTCTGCTTGCCCCTTCGCCTTATGAATGCATTTGATCGGTGCGTTTCAATACCATTATTTGGTGTGCGTAGTTGCACTGTTTCTTAGGCCTTCTAGCCTACCTCCCTTCTGCCCTGCTGCTAAAGGCCCCAGCAGCCCCCATTTCGCGGCCACAAAACTTCTGCATGTGCTTGTGGTGGTTTTTTCGTTGCAACTCCGGAGCTCTAGGGTGCCTTTCGACTTCCGTTGCCTCCCAGCCTCAGGCGCCGTCTTGTGCTGTCCCCTATGCCTTGGCTGCTCCCTCGACGAGCTCCCCTGGCGAGCAGCGGATTGCAAGCGGAATAAAAGGCACCCGAGGGAGGAGGGCAAGCGTCTTTCCACGTGGTGTTCATTGCCTGTACACTGCGTGTGCTGTTCCCTGCAACGCGTCCATCTGCGAAGCGCTAGCCGAGCAGGTTGTGCAGCGACACGCTTCCGTTTTTCCTTTGCAAAGAGACGATACTGCTGCAGAGCTGGTGAGATCCTTGAGTTCTTCGCGCGTAAACGCACCTGCACACGGCTCAGAGATCTTCAAAAATCTTACAGCCAGAAACCAGCGAGGCTAAACACCCTTTCACGCTTTGCAGCGTGTGGCCCCCTCTGTGCCCACCCCTTCCCAGCCTTCTGTCTTCTCTCTCTCTCTCTCTAGAGAGAGAGAGAGCCATTCATGCATATATATTATATATATCCATATGTATGTATATGTATAGGTGCATAGCTCGGGCAGCTCTTGCAAAGCTCTCCCGCTTTCCGGTGTGCTTCCTTCCAAAAACAAGGGGGTGGGTGGGTGGGTAGGTGCCTTCGATAGCTATCGTAGACGCACAGCAGCAACAGCAACAATAACAGCAGCAACAGCGACAATAACAGCAGCAACAGCAACAATAACAGCAACAACAGCAATAACAGCAGCAACAGCAACAATAACAGCAACAACAGCAATAACAGCAGCTCCACCGGCAGCATCCTTGCATCTCAAGAGCTCTTCTCGGCGCTTGCTGTCTTTTTAGTTCTTGTGAGTCTTGAGCTGCACGATCGCTGCCAAGTCGCTCCTCGTCTTGAGCCCCCCTACTTCCATCCGTGTATCTTCCCTCCCTCTCACTCCCCACCCCAACAAACGCTGTAGGCGTATCGACTCACCTGAGGAAGCATGTCATAGCTGACGGCTACAGGGTGTGTTCACGCTTTTTTCAGAATCTGCATGCAGAAATGGCGGCGCTTCCACGCGCCGACGCAACTGCAACAGCAGCAGCAGAAGCAACAGCAGCAGCAGAAGCAACAGCAGCAGAAGAAGCACCAGCAGCAGAAGCAGCCGACAGTATAAGAGGGGGAAATTTGGGGGTGGCCTCTCAGAAAGTGTCTAGGAGAGGAAGAGGTAGAGGGCGTGGAAGAGGTAGAGGCCGTGTAACGCCTCCGGCATCGAGGGTGTCGTGCGATGGTCATAAGGAAGTAGTGCAGGAGACATCGCTAGAAGCCTCTATTTCGACGGGAGCTTCTTGGTCACGCAGCTGTGGGCTGCAAGATCCAGACTTTTGCCACACGACAGGAGCAGCGGCGGGGGGGGGAGGAGAAGGCGCTTTCCACAGTGGCGAGGGAGGAAGCCTTTCTCCTGCTGCGCATGAGGATGGCAGCTCTGGGGGAGGCTTTCCTCACCACAGCGCCTCGAAGCCTGCTGCTGCCTTGCATGCGCTGCTACTGCCAAGGGCTGCAGCTGCGGCACTTGCCTCTGGCAAATCGCTGTCTGCGCTTTTCGAAGGCGGCGGGGGGGAGGCTTCTGCTGGGGGATCCAGCGAAAAACATACCGGGTGGATTTACTCGGAAATGCCTGAAGGCAGCTTCCTTGCTGGTGCCAATGCTGCCAACACTGCTGCCGGTGCCAATGCTGCCTCGGGGGAGTCTCCTGCAGCAGCCTTGCGCAGGGCGTTCGGTGAGACAAGGCTCTCCGGGGAGCAGACACGGATGATGCAGCAGTGCGCTCTGGATGCCGATGCATTGCGACGCGATCTCTGCCGGCTGCCTGTCTCCGTCCTGCTCTACAAAGCGGCAGCTCCGAGCGCTGCTGCTGCCCAGCAACAGCGGCAAGCGGCGAGACAGGCGAGTGCATGCGTTGTGCTGCCCTTCAGCAGTGTTGCTCCTGCCGCGCCGGCAGCTGTGGGGCCTCCGGCTGCTGCTTGTGCTGCGGCTGCATGCAGTAGCAACATCAGTGCCAGCAGCAGCAGCAGTAGTGGCAACATCAGTGCCAGCAGCAGCAGCAGTAGTGGCAACATCAGTGCCAGCAGCAGCAGCAGTAGTAGCAACATCAGTGCCAGCAGCAGCAGCAGTAGTGGCAACATCAGTGCCAGCAGCAGCAGCAGTAGTGGCAACATCAGTGCCAGCAGCAGTAGTAGTAGCACTGGCATCCGTTCTTCTTCGCCGAAGGCTCACCCCTCCTGCAGCGCCTCGGCAGGGGCCCCTAAGAGCAGCTTTCTGCTGAATGTAGGCGGCACGGTTCTGGCCTTAGCCGTGTCGGAGGAGTGTGGGGTGTCGGAGGCGCTGAAACACTGCAGGAGCAACCCCAGTGCAGCATCAACACCAGTCGCTTCTGATGCAGGCGGCAAGACGCCAATGCCAAAGGGCAGTGTCGATACCGAGCCTGCAGAAATCGGGAGCGGGGGGTTTGTTGTGCTGGCTGTTTCGGTAAGCCCCTTCCAGTGTTCGCACCACCAAGCGCGCGGCGACGAGGCAGACGCGCTGTCAAGCAGCCGAGAGCGAAGCAACAAAACTGACATGCGCTGCCAAAGGAAGGGTGCAAGCTCTTTGGCGGTGGTTACGAACAGGGAGGCTTCTGAAACGGGGGCAGTGCTGCTGCAGCAGCAGCACTGCCTCAAAAGGCCAGGGTATCTGCAACTGTGGGTGCTGTCAAGTGACAGCAGGAAGAAGCCTTCCTTGAGAATGATCCTCCAATCCAGGGTGTGGCTGGCTGGCACAGTCTTTAGCGCTCTCTGATTTCTCCTCTAGGCTTCTGAGCACACTGCAGTATCCTGAGAAGGGGCTTGTTGCGTTCCGTTGAGAGGCTGCACGGGGCAGAATAATTCATGGCAGTCTCTGCCTCTAATCGTGCTGTTGCTCTCTCTTCCTCTGTCTGCCTCTAATCGTGCTGCTGCTCTCTCTTTTTTTCTGTCTCTGTCTGTCCCTAATCGTGCTGTTGCTCTCTCTCTATTTGCGTGTCTGTCTCTAGTCGTCCGGTTGCTCTCTCGCTTTCTCTGCTGCTGATTGTGCTGTTGCTATCTCTATTTCTCTCCTTCTCTGTCTCTCTGCCTCTAATCGCGCTGGTGCTCTCTCTCTCTGTCTGTCTCTCTGCCTCTAATCGTGCTTTTACTCTCTTTTTTTCTCTTTCTCTGCTGTTGATCTTCTTAGGGTGGCTGTTGCAGGGCTCTTCAGTGGGTGCCGAATTCAAGGCTTTTACTGCCCCCCTGCACCGCGGGGAATACTCGCGCTGCAGTGTCGCCTGAAGAACGCTGTTGCAAAGACGGTGAAGTCTGCTGCCGCTCGCGCTTAGGCTTGCTGGTGGGGATTCTTGAGAACGGTGCTCTTGCAATGTGGTCTGTCCCCCTCTGGCCCTTGCTTCCTGAAGAGGAGGGGTGGCTGCCCCTCCAGCACGCTGAGGAGGAGTCAGCAGCAGACAAGCGGCGAGAAGGAACAGAGAAGCTTTACGCCGCAGGAGAGCATCGAGAAACACCTTGCTGCCTGTAGGCTGGGAGTGGAGCTTCATTAGGGGGGCGGAGGGGCGGTGTTTGCCAACGCAGCATGTAGAGTGGCGACTACAGCGGTCTGGACTTGTTTGAACAGCGGGGGGGAGGGGGAACAGGGATCTCGTTGCGAGGCTGTAGTCACCTAAAGAGTAGCGGCAGGCGCAGCGCAGACGGGCAGCAGCGATTTGCCCCCCCTTTTGTTCTGGCGATTGCTGCGACTGCGCAATGGGCAGGGGTGGAAAGGAGGAGAGAAGGGGGAGCTCTTCTCTTTTGTTTTTGTTTGTGCCATTCTCGCTGTGCCTCCTGAGATGACTGCGCCGTCCCTCTTTTGTGTGGCCCTCATGACTGCTGCATCTTCCTCCTTCTTCCGCGCACGCACGTGTCGGACGGTTGTTTATTGCGGATGTGCCTGTAACACCTCGCTTCTGGAAAAATCTTTTCGAGAGACGTTTTTTGTCACCTTCCTGCCGCTCACCGCGCGCATCCCTTAGGAGGGCTGCGTGTTTCCTGTGCTGTGCGCGCAGCTGTTGCGTCTTGCCTCCCGTATGGACTTTCTCCTCGCCCTCCGCGCGGCTTTTCTGCTGCGCGGCGGCACCAGTGCTGCCTGCTGCCTCGGACGCGGGCTTGCCGCCTTCCCTGTGTGGGGGCCCCCCTGGGGGGCCCCCCCTCACGGTGGTTGCTGGCGCGGAGGAAGGCCGCCTCTATATTTTTTCATTCATTAGTCACTCCGCTGCAGCAGGCAACGCTGCGCGAGAGCAGGGCACCCTTTCCGCCTCGCCGCATGCGCTGTCCAGCATGCCCGGCGCTGGCGATTTCGGCGAAGGAGGCCCCCCCCTAAGAGGGGCCCTCTTAGGGGGGCCCCTGTTAGGGGGGGGCCTCCAGGTCGCGCTGTCCGTAGTGACCCCCGGTTGCCGCGCCTCCGAGATGCGCTGCTGCAGCTTTTTGCCGGTGCAGGGCAGCAGTCTGCTGGCTGTTGCTCTGCGTGGCAGCGGCAGCAGGAGCGGTAGTGTGCTCGTCCTCGACATTGCACGCTGTGCTGTAGGAGCGAGCGGGGGGGCCGCTGGTGTATGCGTGCCTCAGGGCCTGCATGCAGTGGCAGACAGCGCAGCGCTGCAGGTTGTTGGCAGCAATTTCAGCTGCTGCCGAGCACGCGAGATTAGCGACCTCGTGTGGTGTCCATGGGGTCGGTACCTGTTGGCTGCGGCAGAGAATGCGCTGCTCATAAGCCTGCAGAAGCAGCACGTGAAGCAACTGCCCGTCGGCGCTCTGTTGGGTAGTCTTTCTGCAAAGTCTGTAGCCACTGGCAGCAGCAGCGGCAGCGCCGCAGACGGCGAACGGTGCTGCTTGGGCTGCACGGCAGTGGGCCCTCTAGTTTTCTTCGCCTTCAGTGGCGGAAGGTCGGTCAAGGCGCAAAGCCCCCCTTGGCAGGCCTTTAAGAGCGACTTTCTCTGCGCATGCAGGCGATAGGCGTAAATTTTTACAGGCCCGGCGGAGGCGCCATGGAGGCAAAAAGATCGTTATTGCTGTGGGGTTTTGCTGCTGCGCGTTAAATGTCGGCATTGCCTCCCAGCGCGACTTTGCATGCGCCTATGTGTCTGTGTGTGTCTGTGTGTGTGTGTGTGTACGTGCGGCTGGCTGTTGGCTGCAGTCTTGTGCAAGGGCATGCTGCTGCGCTAGAGAGCCGAGGTCAGGGAACCCTGCGCTCCTGGCAGTGGTCCCTCGCAGAGGGAGAGGAAGAGGCAACGCTTTGCGCTGCGGTGAAGCAGCAGCAGCAGCAGTTCTTCTACCCGCACCTCGAGACGCAGAAAGAGGCGGCGCACAAGCGATTGCAACAGCAGAGGTTGTCTTTGTTGTCTCTCCTGAAGGAGCAGATGGCCACGTTGCCCTCGCAGCAGCAGCAGCACGAGGAACACGAGCAGCAGGTTGAGTCGATGCAGCAAAGGGTAGATAGCCTAGTCGCCTTGCAGCAGCTCGAGGAGCGCTGCGCGCTGCTTTCTCGGGGCTTGGTGATTTGGGAAGAGGCGCATGCAGCAGGGTCTGGTGGAATCCAGCACTCTGCAGTGCGAGCCAAACGTAATTCGAAGGGGGCCCCCAAGGTGGCCTCCATCCTGGCCTTGCACAGGTCTGTCTTCTCTCAAACGTCTGTTTGCCTATCTGTCTGTCGTGTGGATGCAATGTGTGCCGTCCTCGGGGTGTCAGTAGGTGCGGCATATGCGCGCGCTGTTAGAACATCTGCCTAGGGATAGGAAGGGGGAGATATTTTCTGCCGAAAGGGGCTTCCTTCTTCCGAATTGCAACATAGCCCTCTACCTTCTACCTCAGCCTATAGTAGTAGGAAAAGTGGAGGGCTGGGATGTGCGCTGCTGCACCTTCCAAGCACTCCGAGGTCTTCAGCCTCTTTGCATATTGCTGTGTAGCGCACAGAAAAGCGGCTCATCTGTGCTCTTCTAGGGGGCAGTCGCTCTTCCAGTGCACGGGAAGCCACGCGCAGGGAAGCACAGAGGAATTGCTGTACGAAGGCGTTTTCTTCGCGTGATGTTAGCTGCGTGGCATGTTGCCACTGCCCCGTTGCTTTGGATTCTGCGGGTGTGTGTGTGTGTGTGCATGCGTGTGTGCGTGCAGAGTCGCTGCCGTGTGCCCCTTCACGAATAGGCGCTTCTTTGGATCAGCTCCCAAAGTTGTGTATGGAGGGCCTGCAGGTCTCCTGCATCTCGAGGATATTCAGCTCTAATGCCAGGAGTGGGAGACAGCTAGATTCTTTTTTTGCTGGGGCGGTTAGCGGGCTTGTGCGATGGCTCCGGGAGGTTCCAAAACAACGGGGCAGACGGCACGCACGCGCTCACTTGGAAGCGGGGCGGAGAGTAGTCAAAGAACAGGACGGCGACTAATCCACGAATTTTTTTTCATGACGAGGCTTTTTGCAGGGCCCTTGCCTGCCCTTGCGCCGCCTTTCTAGCCGAGAACCATCGACCTTTTTGCGATCGTGCGTGTTTGATGTGTGTCTTGTTTTCCCCTAGTTTTTTTTAGCCGCACAGCTCAAAGGGAAGGCGTCACGGGCACATCTAGCTAGCAGTCATTTGAAACACAGCACGCGCTACCCCAAATCCCGCAAGCAAAACAGCAAGCGAATCGGCCTATGGCTACCCATACAGGCCCCTAGGGGCCCCCTGAAATGCCCTCTACGAGTGTCTGGTGCTGGAATGCCCTCCGCCTCGTCACCAAGAGACCAAGAGGCGCTGGCGGCACAGGTGGGCGGGGAGCTGTTGTGGCACTTTCATCGCTCTTTGGGGAGGAGAAGAAACGCTGGCAGAAAAACACTAAAGCCAGCAGCGAACCCCCCTACCTTTCGTGGCACTCGCTTGCGCTGTCAAAAGAGCAGACGCCGCCGAGAGCACGGGGGTAAATGCAGAGAAAAACAGCCTCAAAGGGCGCCGTAGAAAATGCTCTTTAGCGCGAAAAAGAATCTCTTGACAGCATGTCAACGCTGACAAACAACACGACTGGCCAATCCAAACAGCGTGTGCGTGCGGGCGGGAGTAGCTTTTGTCGGGGTTATTGTTTCTTTGTTTTACCAAGGCGTGTTTTCTTGTATTCGCGCCTCTCCTCCCGTTTACCACGTTTTTAGCCCAGGCTGTACAGTGGCGTCGAATGCCAGCGCATACAGGCTGCTGGAGTGCTTGCAAACCGCCGAAAAGATATCTCTCGAGAGCTCGCTGCAGTCTCCTTCGAATCCTAAAGTGTGCAGACGACGCACACAGACACCAGAACCAATCGCATAAACTTGCTGAAGCTGTTGTTGCATGGGGGGGAAGGAAGCTTCTCTGGCCTCTCAGGGTGACGGGCTGCCGACGCGTCCTCTGCGTTTTCCCTCTTTTGACCTTCGCTGCTCTGTGCCTCCGCACTGACATGAGTGCATGCGTATTCGAAAATACGAATGGATTGGCTACGTGTGCGATCCCAGCCTGCTGTAACGCCGTTTCAATTCGTATTCTGTGCTCCTGCGGCGATTTTTCGGGCATTTCTGGCGCTGCTGCTTACCTGTGTTGCAGATGCATCGGCCTGTACAGACACCCCAAAACGCGCCACGAACGACCCCTCTAGGCACAAGCTCCAATACAACGGCAGAAGCTGGTCTGTCCATGAAAGTGCAGAGGGACGGTCAAAACTACGTTCTCTTAGTTCAGCCCTATAAGAGACGGCATGCATCGGGGATTCTGATCCGCTAGCCACGCGGCTGTCTGATGCTCGCGCTCCCGTAGCAACACGCCAATTCGAGCGTAAGGGATAACACGCATTTCAGATCGTGGACCAACAGAGCAACAGTGCGCTGCCGGAGAGAGCAGCAGAAAAGGGAAGGAGGCAACGCTACTGCACAGCAGGCGAAAACCCAACAGAAGCAGCAGCAGCAGCAACAGCAGGAGCAGCAGCAGCACCAGCACTGACACCCTTGCGTTGCATAGATACCTGCTTGACAGACTCCTCGGGATGAACAGTCCGCGTCGGAGGCGCATCCAAAAGCTGCAGGTAAAGCGTTGGACACAGTGTATCTTTGGCACGCAAGAGAGACGCAGAGCTCTGCATCCCTACGGAAGAAAATGCTAAGCGTTCTGAGCTCTGAGCGCGTAAGGAATGGAAGAATCTTGAAGCCTCACGTGTTGCGCGAGAAGTTGACTGGCGCTCGCTGCAATCAACCCCCCCGCTTCCTGACAAGCCAAAGACAGACACGGCAAAATCCAAAGACGTAGCCATAATCCCCTCCTAGAGCAGCAGCGCGCATGGAAAAATGTGTATACCCGGCTTGAACGAGGGGGCACAAACACACATATACACATACATACATACATCTAACATACATACGCATACGTTCATGCATACATACATGCATTCATACATACATATACATACATACATACACATACAAATACATACATACATACACATACAAATACATACATACATACTTGCATACGTACATACATACATTCATACATTCATACATACTTGCATGCATACATACATTCATACATACATACATACTTGCATACACACTAACATACATACACACACACACGCTCATACATATACACATGCATACAAACAGACACTCACTCCCTTGCACACATACATACAGAAGCACGAAAGGATGGCGAGCATGAGGGGAGCAGAAGGCAACATGCAAGGTTAAAGACGGTGAGGCCTCCACCTATCGCGTTTTTTCATCGGTAGTTGCGATGAAATCGCAAAGAATAGCCTGTTTCCATCAATCTGGCAATGTGTGTTGCTCTAAGTGCGCTCTCACCTTCATAACAAAGGCAGCCTCTGGCGCTGCAGACTCCCAAACCGCTGATAAGACCCCACAAGGAAACACGACACATGAGCGCAAAAACGTATTGCGAAAAAGTAGCCACCACTGCAACATTCTTTGATATGTTTCCTGCTGGCGCGAGGCATCTCTTCTGCACAGCGGCTGCAACTTCTGCTGCTTTCCCTCTGGCGTCCGCATCACTAGCGTTCTGCCTGCATAATCCTGTGCACTAAGAGGAGCTAAACCCACCTGCAGTTGTTGAGACACATCTCCACGAAGCAGTCTGCAGCGCATTAGTTTGACATGCAGCATGCGAAGGGAACTGAAGAGGGTCTTTTCGCAGTCAGAGCATTTGGCGTGTTGGAAAGACTGGTGGACGCCGCAAAAGCGCAGCGAAAAAACGGTACGGCAATACAACTTCAAGATCTGGAGGAGCATGTCATTTGCTGTACCCGAGAGGCACGCTAGATGGCTTTTTAAAAGGCGAGGCAAGGTCTCCCCCTTTTTTCAAGAAGGCTTACCAGCACCTCCAAATCCCACGTTGCAGACGCATCGACCGTTTTCCGCACAGCGACCGTTCGGCTGTGAAGCCACATCACTTCAAGGGGAAAGCGGGTGTACAGATAAACATACATATACCGATATGTATGTATACATACACGCAGAGAGCCCACACGCTACGGCAGATGCCTCCTCGACTATGCGGTTTCGAGGCAGCGCAGGGGAAATTTCCTTTGCGGCGAGCAAACCCGCACGGAAGATGGGGTGCGTACACGAAACAGATCTCAAACAGCGAGCACGCGCTAGACAGCTAGTAAGCTGCTAGCTGCAGATTGCTATTCGCTTACGAAGCAGTTGTTGGGGCATTGGATGTCTTCGCAGGAATGCCCTAAGAAGCCTTTTTTGCAGCGGCACTGCCGCGTGGCAGGCTCGCACCAGCCTGAAGAGAAAGGGCAAAACATAGCTGCAAGCACGGAACCGCGGGAAGTAAGCGCTTCGAGAGCGGAGGCAGCAAGCAAGGGCATAGAGCCAACGAGCACTCCAGCAGGGTGCAGCTGCCGCAGATACAACAGTTCCTGCTACGAAGCCGCCGTATTTGATGCATGCGGAGAGAGTCTTCTTCCAAGTGGTTGCAACCGCACCATTTCCACTGCAGTTATTCGGACAGTCCGTTTTCTCGAGCTTTTCGACTGCGCTTTCTCTGCAAACGCATGGCCGCAGAGAGGCAGCCCGCGCATGTCAGCCAACACTGGCGGAAGAGCGAGGGGAAGAGAGAGGAGGGGAGAGGGAGCCAGGAAAAGGAAGAAGTGCAACTAGCGAAGCGGAGGTGCCAAGACGCGAGGTACGAATGCGAGGCGAGGCAGGTGCAGTTCAGGAAAAAGGGGGCAGACTCCCAATAGGACGGCGTGACTCCTCACGAGCAGTCAATTCCAAGAAATCCAGCAACACACTTGCAGCTGCCATCCACGCAAACGCCATGGCCGCTGCAGTTTTGCGGGCAGCTGCGGACGTCGCAGTCAGCACCCGTCCATCCGGAAAAGCAGGAGCACCCGTGCGGCGTACAGACACCTGAAAATAGCAAGACATGAAGCCCTTGAGAGGCAGGTGTATCAAGCTGCGTGACGGCCAAAGAGTGTAGCGTGGTGAATTTAACCACCCTAAGCCTCTTCCTGGAGGTTCAATTCGAGAAGTGGGGACGATCTTGCCGAAGTCGTTCTAGAGGAAGCTTCCCAAGGTGGCTTTGAAACCTCTCTAGCTTAGAGAGGCGTTCTTGGAGTGCAGGAAGGCAAGGGGCAAGTGTGGCAGTCTCAGAGATATACGGACTCGTGTGAGCGAGGCAGATTAAGGCGAACAAACAGAAAGGAAACAACACCGGAGCCACCACAGCAAGGGGAAACAAAAGAGGAAGCAAGACGACCCAAAGGCACACCGCTAAAAAGCCAGGGAAAAGCGGCTATCCGTCTCATGCAGCTGTTTGCCTCTCCCCAAAGCCTGAGAAAAAAACCTCTTTCAGCAAGAAAACAGCCACGCGTCTCACCATGCATCGAGCAGTTGGAACGGCAAGCCACCTGCGGCCTTGTTTCTGGGCTTGGGATCTGTGCCTGCGCCTCTTCCCGCAATTTGTCGAGAGTAGCACGAGGCAAGTGATCTACACCGGTGTTGCTTTCCACATCTTCTTCGTTCCGGAACAACTGCTGCGAATGAAAGTGCTGACGCATCCGCTCAGCGAGACTCAAAGGCCCCTTCTTGCCCCCTTCTGCTTCCCATGCCGCCGCAGAGATCTTCTCGGGAACGGCGGAAAGCGGCTCTCCCGAAGAGATGGGAGACACAGAGACAGGCAAAGACTCTGCTGCAGTTTCAGCTGTTGGTGAGGGTGAAAAAGCGAAGGCAGGCAGAGCTGGGGGAGAAATCTTAGCCTCAGCGTTGTTGTTGTTGCTGTTGTTGTTGTTGTCGTCGTTGTTGTTGCTCTTGTTGTTGCTCTTGTTGTTGCTGTTGTTGTTCGGCTCCTTTTGCAGCGGATTTGTTGTTGCTGCTCCGGTTGCCACCGATGTTGGAGCCGCCGTTTCTGGCAACGCTGATGAAGGGACTGGTGTCGGAGGTGCTGGCGACGGTTCCTGTGCTTCTGATGGTCGTGCTGCAGACTCAGGTGCTCTCGAAGGTGAAGGTATACTCAGAACCAGAGTCCGATGGGGGGGAACTGGAGGTTCTGGCAAATCCACAGGGCTGTCTGCATGACCTCGGCTGAGGCTAAAAAGGAGAGAAAGCAGGAAAGGAGCAAATGTCCGATAGGTGCAGAAAAGTGTACGGCAACGTCGCCCATTGCAAGAACCACCGAAACAAGCACTGCAGTGAGGCTCCATTCAGCATAAAAGCAACCTTAGCCAGTTGAATTTCAAGAATAAATTCGATTTTAAGGAGGATTAACAATTGAATGTCGGACTTTTTGGCCGGGATCGTCGTGCCGTTTCCCGTGGTGGCAGAAAGATACACGAAACTGAGGACAAGAGACACTAGAAAAAACGCCTCCCGGCGGGCAGGAGAAGACACAACCACGCAGAATGGCAAATTCGGATACATGGATTGACAGTGCAATTATGTACAATTCCATATTGACTGAATCCTGGTGGTTGGGGGTGACCAGTGGAACAATGCACTGTAACACCCTAACTGGCCACGTGCATGAGCCGTCAGAGCATGTGAAATATATGTTCAACTTGGGGTCAATTTTGCTTTGTAAACAGAAGAAATTAAGAAAATTACCGCTTTAAAGTCCACATTTTTGTTCTTCTTGGACCTTCCTTGGCAATTTTTCCACAATATACCTAGGCATGGTGGTAAATCAATCTGGTCATCCTTCCCAAGCCCTTCACCAACGAAGAATCATATTCACGAAGTCTAGCAACTGGACCCTGAGCCACGTTTGCGACTAGTCCTGGATTGTAAATACCCTTTAACTTGACAGTGCGTTTTTCGGGGTAGAGGTGCGGAGAATGTTTTAATGCGTTAGCTCTGTATGTGCACAATGTGGCTTCTGAACTGTTTCTAATACGCGTAATGCCTTCTATTCAGAGAGCTAATCTAGATCAATCCCCCTCGGAACATGTGTTACTCGTGCACCCGCACAACAACCACAGCCAATCTATAATTATCATGTGAAAACGCTTCTCTACCGTTGGGCCACTCCTTTTAAGGTCTCCGTAGAAGTGCCCTTGACTCCACACTCGATGAACGCTCGATTTAAACTTCTTGAATGCTTCTGGAAGAAGTCTGGCTATCCCCTACCCATGCTCCTTAGTTCTGAGAAGGGCAAGAAGCGCAGCTAGGGTGCGGGTAACTGCACTCCATACGAAAGCCAAAAATCCACAGCTAGTTGCACATAGCATCTGGCGTTCATTAACTCAACGTTGCATCTTCTTGCTTCGTTCTAACAGTACTCTGTGATCTAAGAAATTACAGGAAGTGTCAAAGCAGTCAGATCTCTACTAATTCGGAGTTAGGTATAACACATGTAATAGAAAGCGCAAAAGTGTACGTTGATATGTTACTATGTCCTTCTCCGTATCTCAAAGTTGTGCTCTTGTTTCTGTATGTGTACGTCGAAACCAACTGCATGCAGGACAGCGTAGAGTTCCCACCCTGTGGCCACTGCCCGCGCAGACAGAAGCGCCACGCAGTGGAAATGGGAAAAAGAAAGTGTGCAACAGCCGCTAGAGGGGCATCAACAAGAAGATTGACAAACTCGTCAACAAACTCAATGCAAGAAACCAAGAGGACCGTAGCAGAGCGATGGGTTGCTGTCATCGGACCCGTGAAATGAGTGAGCCTCCTCCTACTAGATAACAGAAGACAACTAAACTATCTAAAGAGGATCAAAATACACTTCCTTGTTGCTATGGAGCAGTCCCTGCATGCAAATACATCCCGAGCATGCATACGATTTTTCTAAAGCCCCAAAAGAGACATACGAAAGAATGTAGAGACAATATACTTGAGGGTGTCTGTAAAACAAACTTAGTAAACACCAACAAGGGCTTATTTCAGTAGTACTCATAGATGATTAGAGCTAAGGCAGGCAGAGCTCACGCTGGGGAATGACAATTTCCCTGGGATTCGAGGAGTGCCTACAATGACGACTACTGCAGTGATCCCTAGGAGCCACAAGTTATCGTGCAGGTAACGAACCCCGAGGCTGCAGAAAGCCATCCAAAATCAATTGTCATTCCCTACCTCATCATCATACAAAAAAGTCCTCTCTGGTATTTTCTTTGCATGTAGCAACCTCTGCTATACTTCGATGCCTCCCCTTTCAAGTCTAGCTGAAAATTGATGAGAAATTGACTAATTGGTCTGTCTGAGAGCTCGCGTTCTTGCACCCCCAGACAATCACCCCAAAACGGGCTTTGATTGCGGTGGACTGGGGCATGAAGTAAATCCACAGGCGCATGCAAAACCTAAAATAGTTGAGCATCGAACTAGCTCTAGTGGAATCAAGCTCTTTGAGTTGCAAAGAAGGGAAATAGTGGAAACAGAGAAGCCCCCGCGAAGGCGGAGGCGTGCTTTAAGGGGCTAAAGGAGATAGAGCCGTAGTGGGAGACTAAGCACAAGCAGACTCTGCGGAGTTGCAAGTTCACATGAATGGCCGGAAAAAGCTAGTGTTACGTGACTCTGTGTGCGAAGTGAAGGTCAAACCCGTGGAGAAGGCGCAGAAGTGCAATCTGCCTGTCCACTCACAGCCGTAGCCAGATTGGCAGGACTGCAACGGTAAGCTGCCACGTTGAATAGGAAATAGGGTCTTGTTAGCATTGCCTGTGGCTTTTTAAGACTCAGGTATGCTGACTTGGTGCAGAAAATGGGGATCGGCAAGAATGCAACGGCAAAGTGCCACTTTAAATAGGAATAGGGTCCTATCAGCATCGCCCGCGAGTTCCTTTTTGAACTCGTCCACCATTAGGTTATCCTAGGTATGCCATGAGTGCCCCTACGAAAGGTGAGCAAGGAGCAAGGACCTCCTGGTTTGCTCGATCAGGTCATATTATCTGTAGTGAGCGGACTATGGACGTACCCCCAACGGCGTGATGCAGGTTGTTCAGCAGCGCAGGAACAGTAGATGGTTCTGGGCATGCATTTCGTTCAACTATCTCCAGAAAACGGTGCCTTATCGAATAACTTGATGAAATGCTTAGCCGAGAACGGCGGAAATCAGCAAATCTCAAGGAGGCTCTCGCGGATGTGTCAAATTTTGATGAGCTGCCGGCAACTGGCAGCCAGCTGGCTGTGCAACACATCTATGTTGAGCCTAACTTGGGCTCAATTCCAAGTTGTTTTCCACGGTATCGGAGCTTCTCATAGAATGATCAAGAGGTTAAGCGGCACACACCGAACTACTTAACACTGTTAAAGTAAGGAATTACCGAGTGCTTTGGGGCACACCCCTATATTGTCGCAAAAAATGGACGGACGGTGGCCCACGTGTGTGACGTTTGAGCCCGTGGACAAGGACAGTGCAAAGGAGAAATACCTCCTATGCGTAATACTGGGCAATTACTCAGAGCCTTAGACAGATCAAGAGTTTCTTCAACGTAGGCCTTCACACATGCCTTCTTACACACCCCCGTTCACCCTGATGATTGGCAGAAAATGGCGTTCCACACTGGCACTCGCCAATTCGAGTATACCCTAATGCCGTTTGGGCGTATTGCTACCCTAGATGAAATGCAACATCAAGCCGATTGGGTCACTAACTGGCCTACCGAGGAGGGCTAGATGGCTGTCTGCATGGATGATGTCCAAACATCCAAGAGTACACCTAGAACACCTACAACGTGCGCTTTGGCTCCTGCGAAACAGTCGTATGTCAAGGCACGGAAAAGCATCCGTTGTTCACGAAATCAATTAAATTTCCCGAGATCCGTGCTTCGGATGCAGTAATTGGGTGAATCAGATCCCGCAAGAACTGAAGAAGCCGAGCCATGCCTTTGCCATGACGCACCACCAAGGATGCAGTAGACTACGATGGGCGTGAATCTTACCACCGGAATTTTATTTGTGACTATGCTCGGCTAGATGCCTCTTTGACTGATTTACTTAATAACACACACCGCTTGACCTAGACAGTGGAAGCTGACGGCGCAGCAAAGGCCCTCATGGTCCCCCTTAAGCCTCTTCTAGTACTTGCGGTGTCCGATTAAGCAACACTTGCACTACAGCAACCGATGCTTGTCACGTAAGGTTGGGTGCCCTTTTTCAGCAGCCTACGGCATTCTCGAAAAACCAAAATACTGCTTGCTGTTCCCATTGCTTCATCGAAACTGAGCAACGGTATCGAGTGCCGGAAACCGAACACGATCCGAGGTAGTGGGGCGTGAATAACGCTGGCACTTTTAATCTAAGAGGCCTTCTTATTGTGAAGGCCTTCCATCGGTCTTTAGTGTGCCCTTAAAAAAAAAAGCTTTAAGGCTTTGTTAAGTGTAGAGGTTCTGTCGGGCTTGGTGTCTGCTGCAGTACGACACTGCAGTGGTGTTTTACGAGCATCACCAATGTACTCGCCAAACCCTCTCTCACAACGCCCCAGTGGTTCACAGTCGCTCATCCTACTTTTGTTGTCTGTGATGATCGACGGGTTCTATCGACGTTGCGTACGCCATATGAAAATATGAGTACAGAATTATTTCCAAATTTTAGAATGGCAAGAGCATGGAGTAAGAGCACATTCAGGATGACCTGCTAGGGTTCAAAACAAAGCAGGTCTCCGTTACTTGTAAATTACGACTTCACATCGCAGTACCTTTGCTGCGCAAAGCACACGCTCCTGCTTGCTCGAGACACGATCAGACTCACACGAGAATAATAAAGTTCTCTTGGTTTGTTCGGGAAGCTGGGATGCCTCCAAAAGTACAAGGCGCATGCACTGTCATGCCCAGATTGTCAGCACCTGAAGCCACGTAACTGCCTGGAACCCGGTTTTTGCATTGCGTCTCAAGTCCTACAATAATTTGAGCAGATACTGCAGTGGAATTTTCGCTGGACTACAAGAGGTGAAGAGTGAGGAAAGCATCTAGACCGCTGTCGAAAACCTCAGCAACTATGACCAATTCATCCTTTGCACCAGCTCTATCATGGCCGTGAAAGTCGCTCAAATATTCTTACCACCTGCCTGGAAGCTTGAAGGACTTCCCAAGGTATCCGTGCGAATAGGGATCATGGATTAAGATAACCACAAAGCTGTACCATACTTCTGTCACTTTCTCATCTCATAAACCAAGCGCTCCGCCGAGATTTCCAGTTCCTATGCCCGTTTTTGCGGGGGCGTTGTACATATTCGTTTTCTAAACAGAGAAAGTGAAACTAGCATTTACAGCCTTGCATGTAGATGCTGGTTCTGATACTCTTCGTCTCTGCTTGCTAGGCAAGGACTGTCAGACACCAACAGGAGGGAGCAGCCAGCTGAGCTAGCAAAAGATTTGTCGTTAGAGTCAGGTACATATCAGTGTCGCAGGCAGCTAGGACCGTCGCTTCAAGGAAGATTCTGGTTTCTGAGTGTATGAGTCGGTGGACTGTGTGCACCTTGTTCACTTTGGGGAAATGAACAGCTCCAGGCTACACTTTGGCACATTCTATTCCCCGAGATGAATTTAGTTACGGATTAGAGGGATTTGTCTAGTGGTTTTGGCTGTTAGTGTGTCTCTTTTGCTGTAGAGTAGCCTTAGCTCAGTATGATGAGAATGAATGTCGTGTGTCAGTTGCTCTGTGGAACTAGGCTTGAACGCTGGGAGTACTTCGAGGAGCAAACGAAGCCCACTCTAACTCCCGCTCCCCCGTCATGCCCGAAACGTCAAGGCGTTAGGGCAGGAAGAAATGGAAGGGAACTTTTTGGAGAAAGCTTTAATGCCTCTTTATTGTTGAGTTTAGTTCTGAGATATTCGGTAGCAAGAGATGCTTTCCTATCAAACTCCTGAATGAGGGATCGTGTAGGGAATGCTACAGATCTGACCCTAAGAGTCCTCGCTGGGTTGCCACCATTGTCCACTTTGAATTTTGTTTGCATCATAGCAAAAGAGGCGAGTAGCACTTCGTGTTGGGCCTGACTGAGGAGGTCAAGAAAATGAGTAGCAGGCAGCTGCAGTATTAGACGTGAGTCGGACATTGTCGTGCGATGCGCTACACACAGGAAGGATTTAAATAGCCGCACACAGGCGCAGCCAGATCGGCACACAAGCCTTTCCCCGTGGAACAACTTGCAAAGGTGTTGCCACAAGAGGTATTCCTGGGAAAGTGCGGAGACACCACGCCCCCAACAAACTTGAATGGGGTTTGTGGGCGCAGACGGACTGACTAGCAACAGCAGAAGGGTCTAGTGTAGCCACCTTTCCTGCAAACTGGAAGGCACGAGACTGCTAAGTGGTGGCGGTGTATGTGTGTACGTTGCGGGCGCAGAAAGTAAACTTCGCCTTCCGTAGGATGCACCACGCGAAACTGCTAGAAAAGGAAGGAGCGATCTGGAAGCCGCAAAGCGAGTGGAGTGTCCGGCCATCCAGACTTCCTGTTTGAAGTTGCATTTTTCTAAAGGGAATGCGGCTGGTGCCAGCGCATGTGCGGGAAGCAGACACCAACGCATCAGTCGTTGGGGCTGTTCCAATGCATGCAAGGCACCGAAACAGCCCCTCAAAGAAGGCTCATTCTCCGTATTCCTGTGAGATTGCACACAGATTGTGTTTCTTTATCCAAATTCTGACAAAAGAGGTCTCGTAGCGCGTCGTCGCCTAGGGCTTCTCTCGCGCCGGTGTAAGCTTTCCCTCGAACTCGCCTACCGGCTTTTTTCTCGCTGTCTGCCGTTACACCTTCTCTTTTCCGTCCGGCTGTGTAGCCGAGGCGTCATCCCGCATTTTTCTTGCTGATTGCGTGCTCTGCTCGCCCTTTCCACCCTGCGTTCCCCGAGATGTTGCGCACCGCCCTCCTGCGAACATCGTTGCAAGTTTCTGGACGTCGTCCTTCTGGCGTTTCGGCTGCACGAATCCCTCCTCCTCTCGCGCATATTCCCACCCGCTTCAATTGCATCTCCCCTAGGGGCCAATTCAGGTCGTTTTCTTCATCGGCAGAATGCAGCAGCGGGACTGACAGACACAGCGTGGAGGGCCGTTACGCGCATGCGCTGATGGCCGCCGCGCAGGGGTCTAAGGCGCTGGACGCGGTGTATACAGACGTCGAGGGTTTGCATGCGGCCCTTCAAACATCTCCGGAGTTCGGAGCGTTCGCAGAAACCCCTGGGATCACGGCGGAGGTAAAGATTGATGTCGTTCAACAAATGGCCGAACGATTCAGGCTGCACAAGATCACCAAGCAGTTCCTCTGTACTGTTGCCGAAAACAAGCGAATGGTAGACTTGCCCAAGATACTTGCCGCCTTCGACGAGCTGTACCGAAAGCACAGAGGAGAAGTCAGGTGCACCGTCACCTCTGCGCAGGTCAGACAACAGAGAAAGTATGCGCTGTGTTTTGACAGCGCGTCCCCTGATGCCAGTTTTGTTGCTGCCTTCCAGGGCGTTGTCTGCGTCCAGCCTGCCGCTTTCTTGTACATTTATGTACATACATGTATATATATCTCCAGAGCATGGATTTCCATTCTTGTTGAGCCAAGGGGTCTCTAGAGGTTTCACGGGGAACTGTTGGGGGTTTCAGCTTCTCTTTCTCTCTGTCTCTCTGTTTCTCTCTGTCTCTCTGTCTCTCTCTCAGTAAGTGAGTGTATGTTTGTGTATATGTATATGTGTATCTATGTATATATATGCTTATACATGTGTTCTTATGTATATATGTGTACGCATGTCTCTCTAAAGGAACTAACCACAGGACAGAGAAAGGAGCTTCTCGCTGCCTTGCAAAAGAGGGCGGGCCCAAAGAAGACGCTGTTAACAGAATTTCAAACAAATCCTTCTATTGCGGTAAGTTCCCCTGCATGAATCTTTCTCGAAAGAAAAGCCCTTGCGCACAGCCTCCAGCCGCCGTCTTCCCGTGTGTCCGTATTTCTTGACCTTCCACGACCACCGTTTGGCTCTCTTTCATGCATCGTCTCTCTTTCTTTCTTTGCTTCTTTCCTTGTTTCTTTGTTTTTTATTCTCTCTTTCTGTGCCTGTGCGTTCGCCGCTTTTGGCGCAAGAAAGAAAGCTTCTTCCTTTCTTGCCGTTCCGTGGTGTTCATGCATCGCTGTCTTCGGCCCATTCTGTAGGGTAAGATGTGCTCTCAGTTTTCTTTTGCGCGATTTCGCGACGAAGCAGCGTTCAGTAGAATGCGCGTGAGCTGTGCTTCCTGCTGCGGCTCAGGGAGGCTTGCTTGTTCGAATGGGAGATGAGCTGCTGGATTTTACAGTGGCTTCCCGTGTTGAGGGCCTCATAACATCTCTGCAGTCGCCTCTTACGCTCTAGCGCTTGACCGCTGCACCCTTGCCTGCTCTGCCTCCGCCTCTAGTTGATCGGCTTCCTGTTATTTGCTGCTTTTTACTGCTTGCCACACTTTCCAGGAGAGCAGGAGCGAGCCGCGGCTCGAGCTTGCTGGACGCTTTCAATGCGGACGAAGCCAGTCCTTGTTGTGTGGCGAGAGAAAGGGGGGCGGGGGCGGGTAGCTCAGTGGCGTATGCTGCTGCTTTGAGCTCTTAAAACTCTCTCGCAACACACCCGTTCGTTGCCTGCATGCGCGAAAAAGGCAGGCGATGGCTTAGCCGACGCTGGTCTAGCTGCCGCTGCGCTCTCTTTTTGTGTGTCGCTCCCAGCCAGCCTTTCTCAGTCTTTTCCCCTTCTCCCTTAGTGTCACGCATGCAGGGCAGACCAAGCGACACAGCTGCTGGGGTGCGGCACTTTTTGCACACGACTGCTCGGCCCTGTGTTTCCAAGCAGTGAGCCTCCCGGCGACGATGGATGCGCGCGAAAAGGCTGAAAAAAGAGACTCCTTTTCACGCGGCCATGCAGCAATCACCCCGACACACACACACACAAACTTCTTTCACAGGCGTGCGCGCATGTTGCCGCCATCACCTACAATTGTAGCGCCTCTCTGCCTGCTGCCAAGGCGCCGCTTCGATGACGGGCAGAGGCGTGAAAAAAGTACAGAGGGTTCTCTAGGGGACCTTTCTGCTGGCGCTGGAACGCACCAAGATCTCGCGATATCCTTTCGGAGGCAGGCTTACCTGCCTTTAAAAGGCGAATTAAGCGTCTCCGAACACCGCTACCTACCTGCCTACCTACCGATGCCAAGGGACGGGGTCGTCTTAAGGGGGGCGAGAGTTTTTGCTGCATCTCTCTTTCTCTGAGGAAGTGGCTGCCTCGGGTTAAGAAATGCATGCTACGATAGCCACCACTAGGTAGTAGAGCCACCCTCTCCAAAAGGAGCACCCGTTCACAGCGAGGCGGCATCTAGAGAATTTTTTCGCCAGTTTTCTAAAGGGCATCTCTTCCGACGCCAGTACTTCCCAACAATACCCCGCGGGTGGACATAGAGGTCCAAGCGTTCTACATCCTTTTCCCTTGGCACAAAAATGCTCAACCGCGCGAATTTCGCGCTAAGAAGCGCAAAGCAACAGAAGCCAGCCACCAACGCAACCCCCCCTGCTGGTCGTGGCGTGTGTCTGCTTTCTGGCTAGCTGCGCTGCCCTTGGCTAGCTGTCCACTCCCTTGCCCTCGCTCGGTGATGCGACGGGCGTACGCCACGCGCAGCCCACGAGCACACGCCGAGGTCGAGAGCCTAAGGGATGGTGAGAGGCTACGAAGAAAACATGGGGGAATACGCGACAACAGCAACTCTACTATCACGCCTAAACGCCGTGCGCAGCAGCGCGCTGCAAAGCGTGCAGGCAGCGATGATCGATGACGAATCCCACTCTCTGTCGTGCGCTCCTGATAATCGACGGCCTTCTTTATCCCTCGGATGCAGCCGCGGCTGCTTGCCCACCAGCCAGTGCTGTTGCTAATGCTGGTGCCGTTGCTAATGCCGGTGCCGTTGCTAATGCCGGTGCCGTTGCTAATGCCGGTGCCGTTGCTAATGCCGGTGCCGTTGCTGTTCCCGACGCGTCGGCTGCAGCGAACAGCTGCATTTCCTCCCTCAGTTCGAGCAGGCGCTGATGCTGCATCTGCAAGAGACCTGAAAGATCCATCAAGGAGGACTGGAGCAAGAGGTACTCTTGACCAGTAACTCGAGACGCTCTATCGAAAAGCTTGCCGCAAGCCGCCAGCTGCTCGGCAGAGAGTTGTCGCAAGAAAGGCATGCTGAACTCTGCGTTGCTGGGCTCGCCTTGCGCGCCGTCTTGGCAGGCTTCCGCCAAGCATTCTGAAGACGCTTCCTGGTGAACATTTCGCCAGCTGCCTGTGACTGTCTTGTGCCTTTTTGAGGAGTCTACAGCATCTGCTGTCGCTTGGGGAGAAAGTCTTCCTCCTCCCGCCGCATCGCCTGTGCCCTCGTCTGGTGCTGGAATCGAACCTGCGTCTGCTTTTCCGCCTTCGGACGCTGTTGCTGCAGCCGCTGTACGAACAGCAGGCTGAGAAGCTGCGAAACTGCTGCCGCTGTTACGGTTACCCCCCGCTCCCGCCTCCTGCGCTGCTGTCGCTGCAGCAGCCGCAACGGCTTCTAAAGCCTCAACTGAGGCTAAGGGGGGCGTTCCACACATCTTCCGAAAAGACTGGTATGCGTATGCGTATGCCTGTATTTGCGCAGAAGCAGTCAGCTCCACACGAGAGAGACGCATGTGCAAAAACGCAAGAGCTACACCTTCTCACAATCACAGCCGCATCCTCCACACGACACCAACGCATGCAATCACCATCCACCCTCCCCAATACCCTTCCCACAGACAGAGCAGAGCAGAGAACAGTAGAGCACAACTCAACAGAGCAGAGCAAAACAGCTCACAGCCAGCAAAAAAAGAGACAAACGCATGCTGAAGAAGGAACACAACGCGAATTCATGAATCCAACAGGCAGCGTCACCAAAGACACGCGGGCTCCCTGATTGGTGACAAAGAGATCTTACTTTCCTGCCAGAAGGTGTCTGCTGAAGAAATCGCAGCGTCTGCAGCTGCAGGAGGGCAGCCCACGCTTCCACAGCCGCTGCATCCCCCTTGTCAGCCTCTTCCATGACGCGAGAACCTTCTCCTTTTGCAGCCAATTGGCGAATATGACGGAGCGCCTCCGGGGAGTATACGCACCAATCCCGCCAAATAGAGAGACATCGCAGCATCTTCGGGCGAATAGAAAGCATCTCTGGCCCTGATGCTTGGATCTAATCCAACAAACATACACAGACCATGACACACATTTCGGAGCATACAGTAGACACATGCACATACACTCCACATGGATATCCACAGGTAGCGAGAGGAAGGCATCCAGACAACCAGAAGGGACGAGAGATGCGCCGAAGGAGCATAATATATACATATATATGTACATAATATACACGCACAGTCATCGAATTATCCGTGTCAGAATAGATCCTCGAAAATACGGTGTGCATTGTGCGCATAAAAGCCACAAGAGACGGGAGCCTATAGGGTAAGTATTGGCTCAGACTCTACAGCAAGCCCATCGAGAGAACAGGAAGCGAGAGAAGGCATCACACAGCTGTGTATATGGAAGGCACAGACACCGGTAAAAGGAGGCGCTACACACAGCAGAGAATACGCAAAACGAAACACACTGGACGTCACTTGTAGGGGCAAAGAGATATCTCCTCGAGAGCACACACGGGGGGGGAAGGGGGGGAACTCTCGTTCCTATATACAAAGGAGAATCGTGGTCATAGAAGACGTTTGGCAGCAGAAGCAGCAGCAGCACAGGGAGCATCGCCAGGCTGGAAACGCATACAACACGGGTTCTATAGAGGCAGCAGCAGTCAACGTAGCTGCAAAGGGAAGCGGCCCCCAAAGAGATGCATGCCAGCGGAGGAAAAGCCTGCTGCTGATAGATAAATATCGCTACATAGATACATAGTATACATATGTATGCGTCAATACATGGAGCGCACGCATATCCATGCGAAAAAAGACGTCCACGGAATATTTTCTGACTGAAAGGCGTGTAGAGAGTCCACCACGCGGTTCATGTGTATGGACGGAGAGAAAGACAATCACAGCGATCAGAGAAGACATCTCCCTCTCGCACAGAAAAACAACGATGAAAAAATAACAGCCCGCAAGTGACGCCTACAAACACGGAAAGACACGGGAATGGCCAAACACACGAATAGCGGGGAGGACTAAGACATAGAAAAACGCCTTGTACTGGCATTCGTTGCCAGCACTCGATCCACCTCCTGCATAAACGCTACAGCATGCATGCATGCATACATGCATTGTGTGTCTGTTTTGCACGAAGCGAAGTCTGACGAACCTCTTGGAGAGCTGGAATCACAAAAATTGAGTATGCAGCATCTTCTAGGGAGCCGGCGATAGTAGGGACCTCCGCGTTCGCTCTTGCCGCTGCTGACAGTTGCAGGAGTCGATGGAAGACATAGAAGATGGCGAGCTTTTGCTTAGGAGGAGAACGTCTGTATGCGTCCAGCAGCAAGTAGCAGATCGACAAAGGGAGTGCACCAGCAGCAGCAGCAGCTGCTGCTGCTGCTTGCGCACCAGCAGTCCTTGACAACGCGCGCACTGCAGCGGGGGAGGGAGCAGCAGTCACGAGGGAGGCTGCAGCAGTGGCAGCAGCTGCGGCTGCTGCTTCGCGAGAGGCAGCAGCCGCTGCTCGAGAGGCAGCTGCAGCAGCAGCTGCTGCTACTGCAGGAGGGGGTATTGCCGCGGCAAAGCGATAAATGAAGCTCGCAGCCGTTTCCACTGACGCCTGCACTTACATAGCGACATGCCGAAGAGAGGAGAGCGCGCATTCAATACTACAGTGACCATGCGCTTAGAAGACACGCAGCCATCAAGGCGGCAGGCAGCTTGGCAACGTGTAATAAAAGATAGGAAGATCAAAAATAAGTATGTATATAGAGATAGACCTACATATATATGTAGATATATACATATATATATATATCTGTTCAGGGGAAAATGTATCGAGTGTACATATATCTCGTATATATACATATATATCTCATATACGTATATCTCGCATATGTATATATATGTATATATCTCTATATATATCTCGTACAAATATCCATGCATGTATACATTTGTGAGGTAGACCTTGCCTGCCTGCTATCGACGGACGCGAGGACGGCGGAAATTCTTTCGGTAGCAAAACCAGCGACGAGACTGGGAGCAGCCCGCAGTTGCTGTTGTTGCTGGTGTTGCTGTTGTTGCTGCAGCATGGCGCCTGCGACATGCGGGGGGGGTAGTGTGGGCGAAGTAGCTGCGACGGGGGGGGCGACAGAGGTCGCTGGAGAAGGCGTGCCTGCGCCGTTCCTCTGCTGCGGATTTCGGGAGGCTGGCCTTAATTGAGCAGGAAGAGACACCTTGTGTGGCAAGGCACGCGCATGCGCATGCGTTGGGCTGTCTAATTCCATCGCGCAGGCGTCGCCATCCCTCGACGCGAAAGAGGAAACCCGCGAAGGCGACGCGGGGGGGGGGGGCAGAAGCAGCACGGTGCCTTGTGGGCTCCATGGAGGAGGGAGCGCCTGGCTGCTCGAGCTTCTCTCGAAAGACACTGCAGCCGCTTCTTCCGCTGCGAAGGCACTGCTCTGAATGTCTTCCTCACCCTCTGCAGGGAGGGGTAACGCTGGCTCGCTGAGGGCTGCTGCTGCGGCAGCGACGGCAGCGAACGCTGACGCTGGGAAGGCGGGGGGGCCCCCCTCGGGGGGGGGGGCCCCCTGAGGAGCCTCGGCCGCTTCTCCGTCCTCCGAGATGGGCGAAAACTCCGGAGATGCCATCGAGCGCGTCTCCAAGGATAAACTCGAGGAGGGAAGGGCAGGGGCAGGGGCAGGCGGGAGAGACGAGCAGCGGCAGGAGGAACGACGGCAGGCACCAGGGAGGCTGCTACTGCTGCTGTTGGCTGCTCCACGCGTCTGTGGCGAAGCGCGACAGCCAGAAAAAGGCGTCCTCAGAAGGAGGCTGCCGCGAGAGGCAACTGTACGGGCTTGTGATCCTGCAAAGCCTGAGAATCTACGGAGGGGCAGACCTTTTGACCTTCTGGAAGCGGAAGCGGAGGCGGAGGCCGCCGCTTTCGAGTTGACGACGCATGCATTGCATGATACCAGCAGCAGCAGCAGCAGCAGCAGCAGCAGCAGCAGCAGCAGCAGCAGCAGCAGCAGCAGCAGCAGCAGCGCCCCAGCCCGGACGGAGGCAGCTGGCTGTATGTGGGAATCGGCGTCGTCTCTTGGAGGAAAAAACCGAAATATGATTTTTAAAAAGGAAAATATATATTTAGGGAGCATTTCAGCCTTAAGAAAAGGGTGATCAGTGCATTTTCCGTGCGTAGTGCTGCTGGTTCTCCCTGGTATACCCGCAACGTCAGCGCTCGCGCTCACACAACAGAGAGGCAGACATCAATCACACACATCCTGAACATCCTTCCATCCCCCACCCATCCATTCATCAGACATTCGTCTACACGAATTCCAGGAGGAGAGCCCTCGTGCACCGTCGGCGTGTGTTTTGTGCTGCTTGTGCACGCTCTGTGCCGATATCTTCTGACGGGGTTCCCCGCGGCTGCTCTCTTTGCCATGCTGCACAGACTCTTTTTGACCATTCTTATTTGCGGCAACTGCGCATTTAGAGTCGGTTCCACCGGAAGGGGTCTACCTGTGCAGTGTCTGCACACCGTTTTCGCTGCCTGCCTCCTACAGCAGCGGTGAGGCAGCGCTGAGCACCGCTGCCGACTGCCCGCCTTGCGGCCCCTCCAGTTTTCTCCTGCCGATTCAAAGCATGCAAGTGCGTCTTGCGTTTGTCTGTCTCCCGTTTTTTACCCCTATCAAGGGCTGTTTCACGCTTTTTGTAACACTGCCTCTCTGTGAGAAAGGCCCTCTCTTCTCTTCTCAACGCTGCAGGTTCCAGCGCGCACAGCCGTCCGCAGAGGATGCCGTTCACAGTGCGACTTTTCCAAAGGTATACGATGTCCTCTCACCCTACCAGCGGTACTAGTGCCTCCTACGTTTCCCTTCCACGGCTGCCAACTGAGAAGACGTTGTAGCAAAGCCCTATCAGTGTTTCAGAAGCGGATCTCACGCTCTACCGCTTCTTCCGCAGCACCTACAACCTCGTCTCCAATCTCCTTGACACTGTACGATTCGCCCTCTCTCTCTGGCACTCTGTCACATACTCTTTGTCACTCTTTCTCTCTCTCTCTGGTGTCTCTACACCACCCTCCACCCGTCCAAATCCCTCCCTATTGAACGCGCTCCACGCTGGTGCGACGTGCTGTCCTTTCCTTCGGCGCCTTTGAAAATGCCGGCACCAACGTCACTTTCCAAATCAACGTCAACTCCAAAATCAACGTCAACCCCTCCAGCAGCAGCGCCTCTGCCTTCCGCTTCGGTGTCGGTTGCCCTCCGAATACGGCCAGTGCCTTCCGAAGCTTGTGCGGCAGTCAGTTGCCTCGAAGTTGCGGAGGTGGCAGACGCACAGCGAGCGCTTGTCACGCTTCGAGGCAAGGGGGGAGCAGTGTCTGAGTTCTCGTTTGATACCGTCTTTTTAGACAATCCTTCCAAGGAAGGCCAAGTGGAAATCTGCCGGCAGGCGATACTTCCTAACACGCAAAAACACGTATTTGCACGGGTAGCAAAGCCGCTCTGCAAATCCGTCCTTCAAGGCATCGACGCCTCCATTCTCGCCTACGGCCAAACAGGTAAGCAGGGGGCCTAAGGGCATTTTACTGCACAGTTCTCTCTCTCGCGCGCGCACATGCGCATGCGCATGCGCATGCGCATGCTGTTGTTGAAGCAAGTTCAGCAACTCTTCGTTGTAGCAAAGTCCTACCTTTTTCCTGCATTGCGGGAAGAGCGCCGAGGACGAGGCTTGATCCAAGCGCGCGGTGGCGAAACCAGCAGCGCCAACAAGAGGCGCATACAATACACAAAATACAATGCACACCATACAAAATAAAATATACAATATACAGCATACAATATACAACATGCAATATTCAGCATACAAAATACAACATTCAACATACAAAATACAATATACAACATGCAATATTCAGCATACAAAATACAACATACACCATGCAATATTCAACATACAAAATGCAATATACAGCATACAATATTCAACATACGACATGCAACATACAAAATACAATATACAGCATACAAAATACAATATACACCATACAATATGCGATATACAAAACGCATCTCGATGTGCACACTTTCAAGATGCGTTGGATATGCGTTTGTGGATAGGCAGCGGGAAGACGTATACGGTCTTAGGACCGCTAGATGCCGAGGGTCAGAGTAATCCAGAGCAGCAAGGACTGCTTCCGAGAGTAATTTTGTTGTCACTTCATCCTTCTAGAAGTTTGCTTCCTCGAAAGTCGTGGATTTTGCAGCTAGCATCTGTACAGGCCGCAGTCACACTCTCAAATGCGCTACCCGAGAAGGCGCTTTGAGAGAAACCTCTTCGCTTCCTACTGTCTTTCTGATCTCTCTCTGCACACCCACGCATTTTGAGGGCTGCTTCTCTCTGTCTGTTTGTCTGTCTGTCTTTTTTTTCTCTCTCTATTTTGGACTGCCTCAAGAAGCTCTTTCCCCCGCATACGCTTGCCCTTGCCTCGTCTCACCTGCCTTCCTTCTGCCAGTCCCCTCCTTTCTTAAGGCCGCTTTACACACAGACACCCTCCAGTACACCTGCATGCGTACACATCCCTCTGTGTGGCTTGTCCTACCTTGTATATCTTCTGCTCCGTTCTTCTTTGTGCTGTTTCTGCTTTCTTTTCGCCTATTCCATCCCCTCCCTCGCTCTTTCTCCCCTGCCCCGTCTCGATCGGTCCTGTGTGTATTTCTGTATGTGTATTTCTGTATGTGTATGTATGTGTACTTCTGTATGTGTATGTATGTGTATTTCTGTATGTATATTTCTGTATCTGTATGTATGTGTATTTCTGTATGCGTATGTACGTATGTATATGTATGTATGTGTCTCTGCAGTGCCTGCGGTACCTCTTTAAACGGCTTCCACCACAGCAGAGACAGCAGCCGCCGCTGCAGCAGCAGGAGGAGGAGACAGGGACTGCTGGGGGGGGGGCAGCAGCTGAGGAGATGGTTGACTCAGATTTGTCTGCCTCAGAAGCAGCGCAGGAGGACGGGGAGCGGAAGGGGGAAGCGTGTACTGTGGGGTGGAAGATGGAGGTGCAGTTTATTGAAATTTACCAGGAGCGCATCTACGATTTGCTTGCCTCTTCTTCAGTTTCTGAAGGGGCTTCCAGAGCAGCTCTGCCTCTGCAGTCCACAGGATCAGGCAGCGTTGGAGGAGCACCAGCATCGTACAGCGTTGGAAGCGCCTGCTCACCCCCTTCGGCGGGGGGAGGAGGAGCAGGAGTTCTCGCCGTTCGCTTCGACAAGCATGGCAAAGGAGCATATGTTGCAGGGGCTGTTCGGCGAGAGGTCATGTGTCTTGGCGATGCCTTGGCGGCTTTTCGAAAAGGCCTCAAGACACGACGCACTTCGGGGACGAAACTCAATGCCTCAAGCTCGCGTTCACACGCTGTCTTCTCCGTCTTTCTCTCACAAAGCAGAGTCAACAGTGCCCTCGGCATGGATACCCCTATAGAAGTGACAGCGCAGCTCCACCTCGTCGATCTTGCGGGGAGTGAGCGACAGAAAGACACGCAGGCAGGCGGGGAAAGGTGCGTTCGTACACCGAGAGAAACATGCGCCATTTGTACAGACAAGACTGCCCTTGAAACGATAGAAAAAACACTTACACACATCATACACACATCATATACACATCACACATGTATGTGCCTCCTACGCGTCTGAGAGAGAGAGAGTCTTCTCAGGCTGCAAGGCCTCGATAGCGTCAAGCGCTGCTCCTCTTTCTTCATCTCCTGCTCTTTTGCACATTCACTTGTGGCATAGCACATACACCTAGAGGGCATACAACATATGCTGAATGAGAATTCAACATGCAACATGCATGCGTAGGACATATACACGTAGGACTGCACATAGACATGTAGGCCATATACACACTGTATACACAGAGACATATAGGCCATATATACACTGCATACACAGAGACATGTAGGCCATATACACACTGCATACACAGAGACATATAGGCCATATGTACACTGCATACACAGAGACATATAAGACATACATACACAGCATACGCATATAGGACATATGTACACAGCATATACATACACATGTAGGACATATATACACAAAGCATACACATCGACGTGTAGGATATATATACACCAAAACGGGGGAAGATCGGCGCTGTTCGATGCTCCTGCTGTTTGCTGCAGCAGCTGTCGGACTGTGTATTTTGGCTGGTTGGGAAGCGTCTGTGCGACTTTAGGCTAAGGGAGGCTGGCAAGATCAACTCCTCCCTCTCCGTTTTGAGCCAAGTTGTACGAGAGCTAGCCGACGGAGGAGGGTCAAACGGGGGGGGTGGACATGTGCCTTATCGTGACAGCAAACTGACCTTTTTGTTGATGAGTTCGCTGGGGGGGAACGGCAAGGCAGCTCTCATCGCAACCCTCAGTCCACTGCAGCAGCATGCGACTGAATCTCGAAGCACACTCACCTTCGCTGCCCTCTCGAGGAATGTTCGCTTGCGTCCTGTTACCAACCAGGCCTTGACTTTATCGCACGGTAAGACAGGGAGAATGCAGGAGGAGGGAGGAAGATCAAAAAAGACACGTTCAGGGAGAGGTCTGCAGAGTTTTGAAAAGGGTGCATTGTGGTGTACATACACA